TAAATACACATTTATAGAATAAATACCGAATTTTAAAACAAACATCATTATTCATTCAGCTATTGTTAATTAAACAAGTAAAACAAGGAAACAACTTTACAAACAATAGACAAAATTGGATTTCGCGCCGTTAAGCAGGTAAAATTTTCTTAAATCATTTTGGAAGAAATGTTCTTGGTCTGCTGGGACTCTTAGTCTAGGAAAAATAATTTTTTTAAGCAAGGCTGAGAATCCCGAGACGATCTCAGTTCACTCATCATCTCACACTCATCTCAGTGGTTTGTTGAAATCACCAATGTGGTAAAATGTGGGAAAATTGATCGATTAATATTGGAAGGTTTCTTGAAAAAAAAAACTTGCAGAAATAGTTGGAGTAACTGTTTTAAACATTCAGCATGATTGCTTTAGCTTGTCACACTAGGCGGTAGCTTTCTTTCTGCCTAGAAATCCGTCCGTAGGTGCCTACATTCTACATTTCTCATTTTCTACATTTAATATTTCTGCCGACAATTAAAAGTACCAGTGCGGGCTTTATTCCGGTCTAAAGAGTACTCTACTCTAGAGTAGTCAGTACAAACTGTGAGGCATGGGGCATTGCATCTTAGTTTTCAGAGGTGAGAACGCACCTGTTGCCTTTTTATTTTAAGCTAGTTGTACCTACGTGTCCATGGACTGCAATAGCCACTTACCATCAGGTGGACTTTGAGTTCGTTTGTCACTTCAGTTTTATAAAAAAGGTCTTTGTTTAGGACTAAGGTTAAGGACTTGATGGTGGTAATGATTTTTATAATAAGTAGAGCAGCAAACGAACTTACCGTCCACATGCTGATAAGCGAGCAATTTTTAAATATGGATGCCTTGTCACTTCCGATAATCAAGATAAAATGCCTAATAGTCTGTAATTATCTGATTTAACCTTCAAACCTAAGAACAGTATACAAACGCAGACGAGTTCATAGGTAGCAAAATAGTTCTAAGTACCAAAGAGCAAAGAACTTTGTAACCAAATTAAAAAGTATAATAAATGCTAAATAACCGACCAAGTGCGAGTCGGACTCGCGCATGTAGGGTTCCGTACCATCGTAATTCACGTTTCTAGTAGGAGAGCCCCATTTTGATTTTTAATTGATTTTAATTTTTATTATTGGTTGTTATAGCAGTAACAGAAATATACAAAATTTCAACTGTCTACCTATTACGGATCATAAGATACAGCCCGCTGACAGACGGATGGACGGACGGACAGCGGAGGCTTAGTCATAGGGTCCCGTTGGTTACCCTTTGGGTACGGAACCCTAAAAATGAAGGTCTATTCATTAGATGTTATTTGGCAATTTTATAACTTTCTATACCTTGCTTTTATCAGTGTGTGAATGTATGTATATATCAATGCAGTGAAATTATTTTATGAATCTTTCATCGACTTCCAGCCATCTGTATAATCTCATACTTTGCAGACTTATTAAGAAACAAAGACAACACAATAATTTCATGACTCTGCCTAATGTGCTCATAAAGATCGTCACAGCTATTGATAATTACGTGTTTACATTTTTAAAGTGTTATTTTATTTAATTCAGTATGATAAAGTGATAGATAAATTGGACCTAATTACGCAAAAAGGAGTCAATTCACAATCGGGTATAATTAATAGATTTGTGAATTTAATTATATATTAGAATAAAATAGACTATATAATTTTATTCAACATAATTCACAAGAATGATTATTGAAAGTCATTTATGCTTTTACCATTGTTTCGCATAAAACCTCTGGCCTGGGAATAACCAGCAATAAACCCAACGGAACATTTCTTTAAAATAGTAGATAATATTTGCCAAGATAATTACGTATTTATACTTTTATTGAAAACACATTTATAACAAAAGTAGTAGTTAATAAATAACAAATAAATCGACGTTAGCTATTTATCACAGAATAACGAACACAACATCACACGTCAATATCTCAAAGGTTCGAATAGGTACATACTAGTTCCTCTTTCAATCATTTTTGCCTAACAACGTTCGTAAAGTACATTATGTGTGACTACGATAATATTTTTGGATCGAATAAGGATGACAAACGGGCACATAATCCACCTGATGGTAAGTGCAGATGCGTTGTCACCCCTGAGGACAAATATGGAATACATCGTTTCCAATAAAATTTTCTACATTCAATAGTAATTCTGTGTTAATGTTGAGCCGATCCATTCGTGCTAGAACCATAATATAGCTTCAGTGTGGCTCTACCACGTATTAAGGTGTCTTGCAATAAAAAACGAGCGAGCCATACCGAGCCGTAGTCTTAACATCTGACATTAAATAGTTAGGATTGTTTACATTGTAGACTAGAATATTTCATAAAAAGTCAAAGTAGTATAGACAGCGAGACCCTATCTACGCTTCGGGCGCAGTAGTAGTAGGATCGTTAAGTTTTCTACCGACTTCAAAAAAGAGACGGTACTCAATTCGACTATATGTTTTTTATGTGTGTTACCTCATAACTTCTTCCTGGGTGAACCGATTTCGATGATTCTTTTTTTATTTGAAAGCTGGTGTTTCACATGTGGTCCTATATAAATTTGATCAAGGTCTAACCAATAGTTTTTGAGTTATTCTTTATTAAGAATAACTCAAAAACTATTGGTTAGAAAATTTTGTAAAAAAAATTTTGTACAACCGACTTCAATATAAATTATTTTTATATTGAAGTCGGTTGTACAAAATTTTAAATTGTTAATGTCAGTCAGAAACTTTACTTTCGTCATCATTACAGCCCTTCACAAGTCCAGTGATGAAAATAGGCCTCCCCCAAGGAATAAATTTTTTGTTATTAATTAGGATCTAAAGAGTTTTATTGGATATTATGTTTATATTACTCTAAATAGTTTATTTAAATTTGCTATTGGATTTCCTATTGTAATCTAATTAGACTGACTAAAGTAAATTTAAAGAGAATTTTGAATGTTTTTGTATAATTACGTACCCGAAGTTGAAAATGAGAATGTTTGTTTGTAGAGATATTTCAATAATTTTAGACTTAAAAGATAGGTTTAGATCTAGAATTAATATACCAGTTGGAATTATGAAAATCGAATAACCCTCTATAATAATAGAAGATATATATGTATGAGCAAAATTGTAAACTTTTTAGTTATTGTAGTTATATAAAATATTATTGTTTATACATAAGGGAATGCCTGTGATAAATATAGTAAGGTTTAGTTTTAATCAAAATTATTAATATCAATCAAGCAGCGACAGATAAATAATCCTCAAAATTAAATACTGAAATATTTATTCGAATAATTTTTTAATATACAATATTTTATTAATTTTTAATATACAATATTTTTAACAGTGGTAGAGCCACGCGGCAGCTTTTGCTGTCGCACGGATGGGCCGGCTCGAACCAGGGTAGTACCATGACCTCACAGAAAACCAGCGTGAAGTAGAGGTTTACCTCTGCGTTTCGCTTGGTGAGTGCAGGTGGCCGGAGGTCCTTTTTACTGGAAATGAGGCATTACATCTTAGTCCTCACGGGTGACAACGCATCTACATTTTGATTTGTAACAGAGGATAGATGTAGATGTCTATGGGCCGCAGCAAACCACTCACCCATCAGGTGGACTATGTGCTCGTTTGTCACCCTTACCCTATAAAAAAAATACAATATTAAAAACTATAATAAAAAAAAACTAAAACTAGTAATTTAATTATAATACAGTCCTACTACTCCCCGCGGTATCGTGCCAAGAACGCTGGCTGCGTATCCCCGCTGGATGGCTATACTTAGCCTTTGAGCGAGAAAAGACCCATACCTCTTATCACCAGCAGTAACGACCAGCCGCGGATGAAGTTCCTTTAGTAGAAGAACTTCACCGTACGAGGACCCCGCGGACCTATAGTCTTTACAGCAAATGGCACAAATATGTAGTCATTTCTCAGACTCACATTTGCGCCACTTACTCAGTTCAGCTGCCTCTGATACCGCCCCGGCTCTAAACGAGGTATCCCTGAGATGAGAGGGCGCTAGAGTGTCTACGCAAGTAGCGTCCCACATTATGGCATACCTCTCTCACAAGAGACCAATGTCATACCGTCGGGTCTCTTGCCATCGTCTCTTAATATTCCACAAGGCTCTAAAATCGAGGGAACATTTATAGAGACAAGAGCCCTTCGGATGACATCGTTCTAAGAACCGTGCCGTGAAAACCTACCAGCGTTTTTCTTACATGAAAGTCCGTGGAGCCCAAATTTGTCGATGCTGCTACAACAGGGGCACTGATGGGGTTGACAAATCGCCGCTCCTATTCGGATTCCTACGGCAATGCGCAAGCATTCCCCATCAAGTAATGTGCAGAGATAACTTGCCTATCTTACATACGTTAATCGTTTTCTTATTTTTATTTAATTCAGTTTTGAGATTGTCTAGAAAAGATTACTATGTAGTAAGCAATAAGACCGCCTTTTGTTTTACCTTCAATATTTGTTTATTTTGTTATATTATCTTTCCTTGGTGTATATAATATAATATAAAGCGTATTTGTCGTAGTAACATTATTTAATATGTGGTTTTATATTGTATTTATCGTGTAGTGGGGCGGTGTAAAATATACACTACCCCATATCATCCCGTGGCTGTCGTAAGACGTAATAGAGGGAAACAAATCAGGAGATTGGTGGTATAGTCTTCCTAATAACGACTTAAAATAAAAAAAAAACTGCGGTTGCCAACCCGCTTGGTAAGCCCGGTAACTATAGCAAATATAGTTGGGATCAGCATAGGGGGGATCTATAGGGGAGGTCTATGTTCAGCAGCGGACTTTCATAGGCTGTAACGGCAAGTTATATTAAATATAAAGTTAAAACATTTCGAGATTATTCAAGACTGCTAACAGTGATTCAGTCAGCAATCATTAAATGAAACTTATATAGAATGATTGTGGTGCTTGACGCTGTTATTGTAAATAGTTAGTGATGTTGGCATGGCAGGGGTGGTGTGCTGTCGGCGCAGTGCAACTGGGGCTGCGGGTGCGAGGGCGCGGCGTACGCGCCGGTGTGCGCGCGCGACGGGCGGGTGTACTTCTCGGCGTGCCACGCCGGCTGCCGCGCCGCCGCCCGCCACGGCGCCGCGCACGCCTACCGCGACTGCGCCTGTGTGCAACACGCAGGTCCCGATCCTATTAATAATAAACCTAGCAAGCTAACAGCATAGCAAAGTGGCGAAGCAGTCAGCTTTGTAGCGGTTTCTAACGGTTGCCGTTGAGCAATCAGTTTCAAAATAAGAGATTCAGATGCCTGGGTGATCAGTAATCGATTGCTGAAAGCAGAATTTGAAAATTCAAAACCGTTCTCGAGATAATCGTGCGACAGACGGACAGAAGGACAGACGGACAGACATCGTGAAATCAATAAGTGACTTCGCAAGCTTCGCCACTTAATAATAATGTCTCCTCCTGACCGAATTTCAGTTACAGCGGCCAAACTCAACGGAAACTAGCCATCTGCGCAGGAAAGGATTATAGTGCCCAAGTGTATGCACAAGCACAGGCGCACTCTATTCCCTCACTCTCATAGCCCGTGACGGTAATACGACACGACCGGAGAGAGATCAGGCGCAGTGAAACACCGCCAAATTTCAGACTCCAGGATGCTACTAAAAATTTCTTACAGAAGAACCCCATAACTATTTTTTTGGCCCGACCTAAGATTCGAACCGGGGATCTCATGATCATCAACGCGTATACGACCACTGAACCAACGAGGCTTTCAGTTCAGTCAAGTCGAATTCGTATGTTATTATGGGTCACTAATAAATACCACAATTTCAGTGTTGTACTAGTAAATTTTTGGAGTCATTTGCAAATACAACTATGTATGTGTGTATACTCACTACTACACCAGACAAAGAAAATTCAAATTTTAAGGAAAAGTTTTGTACAATCAAGAAAAGAATTATGAACATTATTTCATAATTTAAAAGAAAATTAAATATCAATAACCAAGTATTTTTTTAAGGGTGACAAACGAACATCCAGTCCACCTGATGGTAATTAGATACTATGGCGCATAGACATCTACATCTGTCCACGGTTAATAATCAGATTGCAAATACGTTATCACTCCCGAGGATTATTAATATGGAATGCCTCATTTCCAGTAAAAAGGAGTCTCCGATTCTCTACACTTACCATATAAAACACAGCAGCGTTAAGCTGCTATTTTACGCTGGCAATCTGTGAGAGTGTGGTCCTTCCCCGGTCGAGCGGACCTATTCATGTTACAACCACAATATAGCTGTAGCATGCTCTGTCACGTAAATACTTATCTCACTTAACGTAATTTTTTTTGTGTAAAATTTTAGTTCTTTTTGTCCAGATTCCAACTCATCTATACCATATGACGCCATCAACAACGTCTGCAGTTCCGACTGCCCGTATTTATGGCCGTTCGTGTTCCTCGCCTTCTGTGTGATGCTGTTCACATTCTTGGCGACGATGCCAGCGCTCTCGGCGACGTTAAGGTGAGTGAATCTAAGAATTGATATTTTCATAGCTTGTTTTTTTTTCTTGCATTTAAAAATCACTCACATATTCTTCTTTCCTTAATAGTCTTTATTGATTAACTAAATCTTTACAATTCTCTTGACTACCATAGTTGTAACATTTTTGTATGTGTGATCCCATTCTCTTCCATAGCCTTGTATTAATTTTGTGCGTAAGATATTAAAAAAAAAACATATGCAATATAATAAAAACTTACTAAATAATAGCATGTGTATTATAAATATATTTGTGTCTTCTGCCACAATTATCCCCTAGAATTGAAGTTAATTAAGATTAAGAATTTGGGGGCGGATTTATTTTGGATAAAACTTATTTTAAAAATTTTTTTCGGAGAAAATAAAACAACTGTACACTGGATTTTTATTAAAGATTAGCGAAAGATAAACGCTCTGGCATCAGCAAGAACTAACACGTCTTTTCTCCTTGAGGAAATCCTACATTTTCTTTATGTCGTTGCAAATTGATTGAAAGCCACGATGCAAAGTTTTCTAGCCAAGTTTAAACATTAATACCATTTTACGGTCAGTTAATTTGTAGTGATTTTATTTGGAGGAAAAAGGCGTCAGTACCCAGTACAAATAATACCGGGTTGGACGGTATATAGAATGATACGTTAACTTTGTTTCACAGCTAATACAATATTTTTATCCCCAGGTGTATCTTCCGGTCATTTAAAGCGATATTGTTTCCAGGTGTGTAAGAGAGGATCAACGATCATTCGCCTTGGGTATTCAGTGGATCAAAGTTCGACTCTTGGGTACAATTCCCGCGCCGCTACTATTCGGCTTCCTCATAGATCTGTCCTGTTCCCTGTGGGAAAAGACTTGTGGCAGCACAGGCGCCTGTTTGCTTTACGATAACTTGAATATGAGCAGGTAATGCAACAACGTCTTTAAGACATTAATTACATATTAGAATTAGGAATAGAAACTTTTTTATTCAATATAGGTTATAAATAATACATATTAAAAGTCACACATAAGTTTAATATACCACTGGTTCGGAAAATCAGAGATATTTGCCCAACCTGCGAAGAACTGGCAAGAAAGCTAGCGGGTACTTTTTTTTAATGAACAGTTTACAATCATTAAAGTTATAAAATAATTAACAACACAAAACAAATTATAAATGGCATGGCAGCGATCACTTCATTTCCAGGGGTTATTATCATCCATAAGTTTTTAAACTTGGAGGAAGTCACATTTTTCATATTCTCTGGGATTTTGTTGCAAAAGCGTATACATCGCCCCAAGAATGAATTACTGACTCGTTGGAGTAGAGTAACTGGTACCTACAACTAGCTTGTGTCTGTTCCTAGTGCAGTCGAGTATCTGGTACAATATAAGGCTTACATATTAAAAAGTAACAACTCAAAATAAAAGTTGCGGTTGCCATCCCGCTTGCCAAGCGTGGTAACTATGGCAAACCCCCTATGAGACAAATTATGGGAGAGACCAACGATCAGCAGTGGACTTTTGGTAGGCTATCATGATGATGATGTTGAGAAATATGTTTTAGATTACTTCAGTTCTGGACCTTGTTGAGTTTTATTTATCGCTGATAAGTATAAATACATCTTCTCTAAAAATTAGATTAATAAAGTTAATTTAATCTTTAACCTTTCCAAGTATTGCTTACGTAGATTACAAATTTTTAAACATGTTAATAATTTGTTAAAATATTACGTGGCGCTGTGTATTTGAGTTCGTTTCTGGGTGATTTAGATTTACAATTGGACCCGGTAGGTGGCGCTGGTGTCGAGATCCATAAATTACCCGTGCGAAGCCGGGGAGTATCCCTAGTTGATTATAAATAAATATTACAAGCTGTAACAACACCTTATGTCACCACCTCAGCCATTGGATTTTCCAAAATTCTTTTTTACTGAGTGTCAACGTCGAGAAAGGCGTACCTGTATTTGCCAAATTTCAAGTCAATATGGGCGTATAGTTTTGGACATCTCGTGATGGGTGGGTTAATGAGTGGTATTTCTCTTATATAAGGTTATTTTTCAGAGTAGCCAAATTTTCCAATTAAGTTCAAATATATAAATAATGATATACCGTTATTACAGTTTTTGAAAATACGAGTAAATAAGGTTTCTACTTTTATTTGAAATTATCCCAAATTGAATGTGATTTATGGGCAACAACTACGCGTACTCGCGCTTCTCGGTGTGCGATTCAATTCACAGCGTTTTTGCCGACCGATCGACTCTTACGAATTTGTTAGATATTTATGAATGACAATCAGTTAGTCATGCATTACTTACCACGTAATTTGAATTTAAAATATAAAAAAGACAATGTTTGATTTTTTTTATTAATTATTCTTCACCATTTGCCTATATTACTTATTCTGAACCTTCTCCGCAAATTTCGATGGCTATTGTAAAATAACTCTGTATATATGTATTTTAAATATATTTTTATATTGATTATAAATATTTCATTCAGGTACATGTTAGCGCTGGCACTAGTGGGTAAGTTATGTTCGGTGGTGTTCTTCTTCCTGGCGTGGTGGTGCTACCGTCCGCCCGGTGGTAAGAACGGCAACGGTGTGACGCCCGCACTAGAACTGGGCACCGGCGACAAGCCGCCAACCATCAGCGCCACCCAAACCAATGGCCTGCAGCCCCACGAGAACGGATACTGTAACGCTGCCTTGGAGTGTACTGATCATTTGTAGGTGGATTCACCACCAACTGATTGAGACTCTTGACTGTTCTTTCGTAAATAAATGTGCTTATTTCTTGTTATTAATTAAAACACCCCGGTCGCACGAGAACGGATATTGCAACACTGCCTTGGTGTACTCATCATTTGGAGGTGGATTCACTACCAACTGATTGACACTCTTGGCTTGACTTTCGTAAATAAATGTACTAATTTCTTGTTATAAAATAAGAAATCCTGGTTAGGTCACCTACTACAATAATTCGATAATAGAATTTATAATACAGACCTATTTGCCTTATTCCAAAACTAATTGCAGCCTTGTTCGTCAATTGTAATTCTAAAAAAGTAATTGTCATGTATAAATATATCTGTATCGTAATCTTTATTGCGTATAAGATACATTTACAATGTTTAGAATAATTTGAAAATGTACCTACCATTAATTCCGACAGACATATTGTAAGAAAATAAAAAAATCGACTAAAGCCGCACCTTGGCGCTAGTGTGCAAGAATTTCTTAGGTTAGGTGATGTAATATTCTTAAGGTAAAGTTAAAAATGAAGTTCGTATTTAAGGCTCGTGTAAACGTGCGGTCATTATTACCAGTATTATTTAATATAATAAAATGATCATTGTTATAATAAGAGTACAATCACAAAGGCACAATTTTGACCGATATAGGTAGATAGAGATATAGGAAGTTTTTGAAATTTCTTTTTGGTATAAAAGTATAGCGGTGTACAGCGTTTTTATAACTTATTTGTTGATTGTTTTAAACATTTTTTTTTTTTGTAAATAGTTCACATTTATTATATTTTCGGTTAAAGACTGATTGTTTGGTAGTTTAATTAATTAAGGATAGAATTACATAGCAATTTGTTTTTGGAACATTTCCTGCCTTTTTGGAATGCAAAGCACAATTATTAATTTTTAAATCAAACAATATTTAATAACCCAACTTACTCAAAAAAATGAAAATAATTTCAGTAGAGATTATCAGATATGTGAAGGGTCATACAATAAGTGAAAAACAATGCTTAAACGGTCCTTAATAGACAATTTTCTTAAAAATAATGTACAACGTATCGGCAACTTTTTATGAAATTTTAAATAATTTAGTCTTAGGGCTGATTTTGAAATCATCACAAATTATTCATCAAATATATTATAACCTGAGAGTGAAACAATAGAACTACTTCATATAACTGTAAATTATAAATTGTTCGTGTTGTTTTTATACTATGAATACTTTTTAATCAGTGAGTTTATGTACTACGTACTAGAGAAGCCATTTCAAACAAAAACTGTGTCCTACTCTATGTTTTCGCGCATGCGCGGGAGTAGTAGTCGCGCATGCGCCAAGACTTTAATTTAATATAAAATAAGATATTAATATAAAATAAAAATAAGAATTTAATATAAAATATCTTAATTTCATCTAAACAAACATATTTCTAAATAAAATGTAATAATAATTATTTTATGGAATTCATAAATCTTCAATTTACGCAATATTTAGTTTGTATGGATTGCACTACAGTTCAGTTGAACATAGTCAATGTTCGGACTTCGGAGTGGCTTCTCTAGTACGTAGTACATATAACTCAATCTTTTTAATATATAATTAAAAAATTGGCCCTTACTCAAAAATTGATATATTATTAAAATATGTGTAGGAGATTGCAAATTATATAATAAGTTTTTATCAGATATAGTATGTATGTTTGTGCAAATGTAGTCATTACTCATAACTTAATGTTCAGTTAAATGGACCTAATCCATACATATAAAATATATCGATAGATATTTATAAATATGTCATGTTTAAAGACAGGTAAAAAGTTGTATATACATTTACTTTTACACATTTTGCAAATTTGTAAATTTAAAAATAATAGTTATGAGAACGATTTTGAAGTTGTACATTTTTACAATTATTGACTTAATTAAAGGGAAATGTGTACCTCAAATGCCTTTTATTAACTTCCCACTCGAAAGTTGTACATAATGATTCCGATATGGGATCATTCACGTTTTCATATCATACGTCATTGTGCTGGACACAAGCCTCTTCTAATTTGTAAGCAAAGACTTCTATGTATACGTACTAGACCGGCAATTCAGAACAAAAACTCTGGTTTTAACTCCTATGCCCTTACTTTTAAATTCTAGTTTGGAAATTAATTGTTTATTTGATATATTTGTTAAAAAAATAATTTTCATTTTAATTTGAAAGTAATCAAGAATTTCAGCACATTTGAGACATCTGGAATGTGTTGAGAATGCCTCCTATGAAACCGCCTTCCAAGCGTGACGTTTAAGGGAGTCTCCATATTTATCAACATGGAATCGGCTTCAGCCGGTCAGAAATACCTTTATATCTACGAAATACGGGTGTTGCAAACACCATTCTCATCGGATCGTCCCGGATGACGCGTCGCGACGTCGACCGACGGCAAAACGAGCGGTTTGCCGATTAGTTGATCGCATCCGTACGGCGGTGAAAGTAGCCGAATGCCCACGTCTGGACTGATTATAATTATTGCTAAAAACATCTTTCAAAACTATTTAAATAAATGAACACTTCTTAATAAAGACCACGGTATAAAGTCACCATGGAACACATTAGATGTAAACACGATATTATATCACCAAAATAAATGAGACAAACTAACAGCATCACCGCCCATCACGATGCGACAAAGCAATCTCTCTGCAACAGATCTGTAGCTCCTTTACTTGTAACTAAAAGAATTACCACCATACGGACAGAATAACGACAGCGATTAAGACTCATGGAATGAACTAAGCTAGTTGCCAGAGCAGTATCTTATACTGCTTATACGAATGGAAGGAGCTTTAACCTTATTAGTTTTCACCTTTACTCGTAACATATTAAAAAACAAACAAAATTAGCATTCCCTATTACCTCCTTTCTTTCTCCAAAACGAGCGATTCAACTGTTTTTTAAACGATATTAAAATGGATTGTGGCTATGTTTGTATTTTCTTTTATTTGTATATATTATATATTAGTTAAATTTGTTTATTGGATGTTTAATAACAGTGCGGCGGTATAAATGGACAGTTTTAGTAATTTATGACAGTACATACCTAGTTTTTAAAATAATTAATTTATGAAATAAAAAAGAAAGTTACATGATACACGATTGTATCATTAAAATCATTTACTCACTTAGCGGTCAACCACCGCAGTCTACTTCACCTGATGACGCCTCATGTAGAGACGAAACACGTGTCGTATTGTCGTCAGTGGTGTGTCTTTCCTAGTGTAGTGGTGCTGGGATTAGTGGTGACGGGGATAGTGCACGCAATTGAGGGTGGGCGGGAGGTGCTCTTCAATCTAGGTAAGATACGGAATTTATTTCTTTATTTTTTTCATTTTTTTTTTAAGTTGTAGTGTCACTAAAAGTCGCTTTAAAACTTCTCACTCTAACTTATGCAATAAAGCGTCAAATTAAATTGTTTTGGAGACATTAGTAATATATGTACTACGTACGTATATGATACTTCAACAATAAACGAATTTTTCTCTAGATAGATATGCAAGGCGAAAAAGTTAACTAAGCCACGACATACATAAATTTTAAATTTTACTACTTGTTTTATACGATTGTATAAAACAAGTAGTAAAATTTAAAATTTTGTACAACCGATTTCAATATAAATAAAACGAGAACATCATTAAAGTAGCCGAAGTCAATTAAATACGCATTATTAAGAATAACTCAAAAACTACTTGTTAGATCTTGATCAAATTTATATGGGACCATATGAGAAGCACCAGCTTTCAAATAAAAAAAGAATCGGCTCACCTAGAAAAAAGTTCTGACATTAAAAAATACAGTCGAATTGAGTACATCCTCCTTTTTTGAAGTCAGTTAAAAATACAGACATCTTTAAATATGTACATCGGATCGGATCGGATCGGATTTTGTGGTCCTCAGTACTTAGATATGTTTAGTGTGGTTTAGCTTAGGGTTATAAAACACTATATTTGAGACTTGACTAGATTTGAGAGGGTATGGTGAGTTTATAAGCAAACCATACAGAATAAAAATATCAAGCAATATTATAATATATTTCAACATTACAAAATAGTTATAACTTAACAAAATGCATTCAACATTTCCATATCTAAATAAAATGTACTTACAATAATAAATATATTAAGTTACCAACCTAAGGGCGCATTTTCATTGGTTGATCGGAACGCATTTTTCAAGTCGCAGGCAAAACTTTATTGCTCTATGGCATTGTTTATTGTTTATAAAAAAAAAACACGTCGTACAATAAAACATTATACCAGGAACGCATGACTAGGTAGAAATGAAAACTCATTGGTGCACCCAGTCGAGTGGCTGGTAGTCCCTGCATGCCGTACACCGATCAGGGCATTTCATTGGGGTATTCCCAGTAGTCTTACCAAGTTACCAAGTAGAACTTACCAACTGTATAATTTTGACAAAAAAAAATTGAAGTATAGGCACTGATAAAAAATTCCATCTGTTTTATAAAGTAGGACAACTGGCAATTTTCTTCCCCAGTGATCTGACAAGTTAAGTATACTGGGAAGAAAATTGCCAGTAATTTTACTTGTAAGGCAACTTGGTAAAACTACTGGGAATATCTAATTTCATTGACCATATCTTGAATACATGGGGGTCCCAATGTGTACAGGATGTATCGGCTGAATATCACTGATACTACCTCCGCAAAATCCTTGAATGCTGGGCATCAACCAGTGAAAAGGAGCAATAACAATTTAAAATTGATCAAAAGAACTTGACACCTTGATTATCATCAAATTCAATCAATTCACACTTGCCTCTTACTTCTAGCGATTTAAGTGCTTTCACCAAAACATTTAGGTCCAGGCCATGGAACTCTGAAATATATATAAAAATAAATTAATATTTTTAACTTTTCGCTACGAAAATCAATGATTTTCAAAAAACTTCCGGGTTTTTATTGGTTTCACCCCGGTTTTCGAAACTCGAGTTCTCATCAGATATTCACGTTTTGAGGTCCTAGAAAGCTATTCTGACTATTTCTGCGAGGGTGTCTCTTCGTATGTGTGTGTCACACTCATACCTCAAAAAACAACATCATTTGCCGCAAACCGCATCGAAATCGGTTCATTTGGTCAAGAGAAATTGTTATCAAAAAATTTCAACAACGGCCTGAGAGGGCCGTGAACACAGGAGAATCTTAACATTTATTATTGCATTTAGTAAAATTTTTTATGGCTTAATTAAATTTAAGCCAATTTGACATATTCAGGTCAATATATAAAATTCAGTAAAGTATACTATTTAATTGAAAGTTACCAGAAAATCAACTATTTATAAAATTGTTTTATGTACCTACTTTACGTTGTGATTTATTATAAAACAAAATAAAACTATAATTTCAGTTGAGCTTCTTTATATCAGGTGGGAGGGCATTCAATTAATTTGCCACAGGCCTCTTCCTGTATAGTTACGCAACCAGATGTCTCGCAATGCTATTTTCTATCGCCGGTCTGAGTATTTTAGGTCTAATGTAACGAGATTTCAACTATTAGACGTCATAACATTATTTTTAAATTAAAAAAATATATATTCTGGCATTTCCCATAAACGTCTCTTACGATATCCACGGAACGAAACGGGAAGATGGATTCTTTTACGCCACTACCACAAGATATGAATGTTGTGGTGCAGTTATCCCACAGATGATATATGACATACTGTCTGTACTGGGACTTTGTCGGTAATGATCACTCAACATCAGGTGGATTGTGTTTTTTTTTTTATAGGATAAGGGTGACAAACGAGCACACAGTCCATCTGATGGTAAGTGGTTGTTGTGGCCCATAGACATCTACATCTATCTTCGATTACGAATCAAAATGCAGATGCGTTGTCACCCGTGAGGACTAAGGTGGAATGCCTCGTTTCCAGTAAAAAAGGGTCTCCGGTTCTCTACACTCACCATACGAAACACAGCAGCGTTAAGCTGCTATTTTACGTTCGTATTCTGTGAGAGCGTGGTCCTTCCCCGGTCAAACTGACCAATTCGTGCTACAACCATTATATAGCTGCAGCATGGCTCTACCACGTAAAAGCACTGTACTTGCATTTCATTCGTAATCCTGCAAAAAATACCATTTTGACACATACCTTCACCCACAGTATTTTCGCCTTCCCGCAGTTCATATAAAGTGCAAACAGTATTATTTAAACCATTACTACTAGCCCAATTGTACAGCATATTGCCCCATTCGTCCAGGGAGTGCCAGTACACTTCCCAAACATTTTTGCTCTTATCTACAGGTGCTGCTCTGCCAGTTTTGGCCATATCTTCTAAAATAGTGAGTAAAGACTCCTGAGATAGTTTTCTGTTTATTGCAGTGTTATTAAATAATGGACTATTTTGCGATTCTCTTATATCTATAGTTGATTGTTTTGTTGCTTTAAGGTATTCTGATATTAGCTGTTGCCATGCCTCTAATTGCTTAGCTCTTGTTTCGCCATGAGGTTGAATTCTGTAACAAAATATTAGTAACTAAAACTATGAGGAAATAATATTTCTAAAAAAACTGTTCATGTTGTTTAAGGTTATCAATTGTTTTTCATATGTTATATTGAGCTACCTTTACGCACCATAATTTATTAGAAATTACCAAAATAAATATCTCTTTCTTTATTTCTTCCTCTGTTTATAAAACAGGAAAATTTATTACATCTTTAAGAAAAATAAACTTTTAATAAAAACGGTCTTCAAAGAACTAAAAAAAATAATAATTGACACATATATATTATTAACAAAATCAGGCGTTACTTTGCGGAAATCCATTATATAAAAACTTTTAGTAAAATTTACTTCGCAAATATCCGCGTTATAAAATAAAATGATGTGTCTTACCTAGTATGAAGAGCACCTCCCGCCCTCCTTCAATTGCGTGCACTATCCCCGTCACCACTAATCCCAGCACCGCTACTCCCGACACCACTACACTAGACGATAATACGACACGTGTTTCGCCTCTACACGTGGCATCCTCAGGTGATATAGACTCTACGGTGGCTAACCGCTAAGTGAGCGGCGAGCCAAAACAAAAGTCTGTATAAAAGGCACTTGTTTTGGCTCGCCGCTCACTTAGCGGTTAGCCACCATAGAGTCTATATCACCTAAGGATGCCTCGTGTAGAGGCGAAACACGTGTTGTATTATCGTCAGTGGTGTGTCATGCCTAGTGTAGTGGTGTTGGGAGTAGCGGTGCTGGGATTAGTGGTGACGGGGATAGTGCACGCAATTGAGGGAGGATGGGATGTGCTCTTCATACTAGGTAAGACACATCATTTTATTTTATAACGCGGATATTTGCGAAGTAAATTTTCCTGAAAGTTTTTACATATATATTAGCTTCCGAAGTCAAGCTAAGATACAGTGTAAAGAAGAGTTAAAGCCCTGGTACAAAAGCTATTACGTGGAAATTATTTTATTCATTGACGGGTCCGTGGCGCAGTAGCTTAGCAATGAGTTGAAACGCTGGGCGCCGCGTTTTCTAATCCCACATGGAACATGTATATGCAAGGCCTACAAATAATTGTTCCGGGTCTGGTTGTTTGTCCTTGTGCAATTTATGTTTGTAAACTGCTTCCATAATTAAAGAAGAAAATCCTAGTGTGGGGGTAATGTTTTGTAATAAAAAGAAAAAGAAAAGGAAAATTCTTTTTAATGCTTTGAAGTTGGCTTCTAGTTTTTATTAAAAGCTAATTTTTGGTCCCTTTTGAGTGGACTAAGGAACACACAATCTCAAAGGTAACAATTAAGTATCTAGAATATTGTCTAAAAAGTTACATTAAAAACTTCATTGCCTATTTTTCACCCTTAGAGATGGAATTTTTCCTTCAAATTATATGTATGATGATACCCCTGCAGTATAAAGTAATAACAAAAAATTCAAAATTGGTCACAGTTAACATAGATCCCACAGTCGAATTGAGAAGCAAGGAGGTAGCCTTATTTGAAGTTGACCAACAACTATCTCATAGTAATAATAACCAATATTTTCCACTGCTGAGCTCTTCTCATTTATTAATTTATTTGAGAAGGAAATGACAGAATAACATGCGACACTACTTTAGGGTGGTGTGGAGGGCTCCACATATTCTCAATTTTTTTTTGCATTTCAGGAAATCATTGTCATGAGTTTTCTTTCACTACTGATCATATGATGAATCGGCACTCAAAACTTCTTTTAACTATTTTGAAGGCAAGGATGTTTGAATTTGGATAGTTAGGATAAAGTAACAACTAACAAAAATATAATCAAATTATGTAAGCAATACTTACAAAATGGTTATTCAGGTGTTTTAGCAATCATAGCATATATATCAAGCAGTTTTTTCTCAGTATGTTTTCTCTTCAGTAACACTTTAGCCATTTTTGGTTCCAAGTCAGTTACACCCAGGTTGTATGAAAGTTTACTATCACCAATCAATACTTTGGGGAACTGATTATTAGTGTCATTCGTAAAACTAATCATTACAGAGCAATCCTTGACAATGGCAGATATGAGTGCTAAGCGCATTGGGTCCCAAGTAGCAAAAACTATATCCCTGTGGCTTTTATTTGTTAAATCAAGTTTCTGTGACTTTATTTCATTTAAAACAGAATGGACATAATTAGTATCTCTGTCATGTAAGTTGACATTGGAATTGAAATTCTCTGATAGTTTTTGCAAGTACAGAAGGTTATGTAAAAATGAGTTATTCTCCAAGTTACTCTCTTTATTACAATTTTCAGCTTTTATTTGGTTTGCTGTTTTACTACTTTCTAATACATTAATATCTGATTTACCATCACTCAGTAATATTTCTATAATAAAATCTAGAAACAAATTGCTAGAATTGCTAAAAAAATTTAATTGTTTTAATATATCTTCAAAACCCTTATATTGTGATGTTTCTTGATAAATCAGTGCCCCATTCTTAAAAACTTTAAAATTATTTTGAGGACTTTCTATCAAGCTTCGTAACGCAAACTTCATTCTTTCTTTATTACCAGAAAAAAGATCTAAAGGGCAATAATTACTTAGGTGAACAATTTGTTTCTCTTTGAATTTCAATATCTGTTTTAAACAATAATAACATTTTGAAGATTTTTTGAGACTATTTGCAAGAAATCCTTCTTTTGGTTTGATTTCTATGCAAAAGTTTTCGGTTTTTAAAGAAATCATTGTTAAATTAGGAGCTTTTATTGCTATTGTACTTAAGATTGACTTATTTATTCTGTTTTTGGGACGAAGCTCGAACATTTTTTCAGTCAATTGAACTAATTCTTCAGATGAAATTTCTATAACTTCTTCTTGATACCTTCTATCGCAAAATATCAATGGTATCATAACCAAGTTGACGAATTCAACAGATTCACAAACATAATCTTTTTTTATTTGATTATCGTCTTCTTTAATAAGACGAAGGACATAGTTGCTTTCCAATATTTGTAGGACAACGTGAACGTTTCCTTCGTTAACGTATTTCCATTGATATCGAAAACTCATTTTAAGAATGCAAAAAAACTTTGTTTGGCAATAAAACAAATTTACTTACGTAAAAAATGGAGGAAAATTATACTGCCAAGGCCAGGAAATCTCTGCCATCGCTAAATAATAATTAGGTTTGTATAATTAAGCTTAAATTTGAAACATTAAGTGTGTAAATTGATTTATTGCTTTGTTATTTTTTTCTAAACAGTTACTCAGTGACATGAACTGAATGGCTGAGTCAGCTGAGCTCTGACATTCATGCCACTGTCACTGTCACATGGCGATGGGTCAATTCGACTTAGAGAAGTATCACAATGTTGTTAATATTATATTCAACGTAATGGTATTAAAATATAGACCAAAAATAATCAATCACTAAAAAAAATTGAAATCCATCAATAAATGACTTAGAAATATATTATTGAAGTTTACGTATTTTAGTACGGAACGTCTGTGGTTCCTGATTCGCCTGTGACCTCATTTGATCTATCCGAGATCGCCGCACCATGAATCCACATGAATCATTCAAGTAATTAGTTTTTTCAATTTCAATTCTTGTACTATTATTTATTCTTTGGTATTAGTTTCAGTCGCGCCAGGACTTTGGCCTAAAGGTCTAGATACCAGGCCATAAACTCCAAAAAAAAATCGCTCCAGTGCTCTTGCTTCGTTCGGGTTTATTTAAGTATACTCTTGTTTCTTTTTTATTTATGAGTGTGTAGTTTTATTTCATTATAACGGAAGAAAGCATCCCCTAAGGACAAAGTGATAATTTGCCTAATATTGTTATATACACAGTTGTTTAGGCCCAAACATGGGCATTTGAAATTTGCATCCAATAACGCGTCACCCGATACCATCGAGGTGAGGTAAACGCGCCGAGGGGGGGGGGGGCATGTGCCGGCTTCCCGTGATTGCGACCAGTGGGCTGACAGTAGCTTGATCGCAGCGGCTCTGTCGACTAGAGTATTATTTGCGACCGCTGGATCGGTTGTGCGCGGCCAGTTTTTGGTTTTGGTGGTCTAGAATTTGAGTAATGGTGCGCGTCTAATTTACTATTCAATATTTGGGTTTCGTGTAGACCGCCTCGAATTGGTTTGTTTAACTTGTACGTTTCGTGACAAGAGGCTTGTATTGAATTTGAGTGATTAAAGTAACTTCGTTTGCAAATAATTTACGTCAATTTGTATAGTGATGGCGTTTTGAAGTGCATTTGCAATCTTTAATTTGCTTGAGTGGCCTGTTAATATCGTACGAAAGAATCTTAGTTGTTGTGGGGAACGCGGAACTTTGTGACCCGAGAGAAGGTCGCGTTCTGTTTCTAGAAATAATTTGTTGCTAAGTGAAAACGGAAGTTGAACTTTGATCCACCGTTCATTAGTTGAGCCTTGTGTCACGTGTTTGATTAAGATTAACGGGGATTTAGTTGAGTTTAACGTTAATTAAATGTACAATAAAGTTGATGGATTGAAATAGTGTACAATAAAGTTGATAAACTGAAATAGTGAAATGAAGGCAGAAGTCAGTTGGTGAACTATGACTGGAGGGAGCGCACATTGGGAGAACCGCAGCTCTGGTGGATGGAGACCTGACGGTCCGATTTAATCGGACAGGAGTGTCCGATTAAATCGGACCGTCAGGTCACTCATGCACACCTTCTAACACACTACTTACATGCACCTCATTTATCACCTGACTGGTACCCTGTGGTCAACCCTACCTCCTGAAATAGGTAAGTGCTTGCTTATTTGTCAGCCGTTTTTTTTGAACATTTATCCATAGGCCGTTGGGCCCCGTCCTCTGTTGCCCGTCGATGGGATTACTCATGGGCCCTAATCCAGTCAACCTTTGTTGGGGCAACTCAGGGCGTGAACAACAGTAATGGACTTTTTTCTATGAATCCGTCTTATGTTAGTGCTTAAATAAAAGGAGTTAAACTTTTTTAAGTAAATATATATACTTTTAAGTTTATTTCAACAGCCACATTTTTGTTTTAAATAAAAATGTTAATCTTTTTAATCGCCGTAGAAAATTAGTGCGATAAAAAATAATTTCTTATAAAACTATTGATTTTAATTAAAATTAAGAAATATTAAAAATCTCATTATTAATATCCAGTGTTGCCACCTTTTACCTTAATTACACATCGACAGTGATTGTTCATACTTAAAATTAAATTGTCAATGTCTTGCTGCGGTAAGAGGTCCCATGTTCTTTGCAAGTGTTCGTAAAGTTAGTATATATATATTCATATGTGTGTTAGTAAGTTTAATTATGTACGTCTTTTGTACGTGTATATATGTGTATGAGTATATGTATGTACATCATGAAAGTAATATCAATATTTCAATTAATTTTTTAGTGCTTAGAATTAGTGCTTACCGAATTTGTTTTGTAGATTTACAGTGTTGTTTGGTTATGTACTTTGTGGATAACTATTATTGGCTTTTTCGTATTTAATAATTTAAGTAAAATGTTTAAGTATTAATAAGCTGTTGTTATCCTAAATAAAATTAAAATAAAATAAATTAAAAAAATAAAGTTGTTGTTCCGTCGTCAAATTTGGCGGGAAATCTCTTAAAACTTTTCGTTGTAACATGTCTCAGGCATGCTCGATAGGATTAAAGTCGGGCGACTGTGTAGGCCAATCCAAAACTTGAATATCATGGTCTCGGAGAGCGGCCGACACCAGCCGCGCCGTATGGGAAGGAGCATTATCGTGCATCTGTGTGGGACAATTACATGCTCTGCTACCTCCTCGTGGTATTTTTGTGCAGTCATGCTGCCTTCGATCCAAACGAGCTGGGTTCGTCTGCCAAGAATTCCTACCCACACCATGATTGTCCCGCCTTGGTATGAGTGGACCTCCTGAGCATGCCGTAGACGGCTAACTCTCTCTGAAGTTCTCCAGACGCATGTTCTTCGTGAATCCGGATGAAACCCAAACCGGGACTTATTGGTGAACAGCACCAGAAACCATTGTTTGTCACTCCATGTTAAACGCTCCCTAGCCCACAAAAGCCGCCGACTGCCAACTATGATTTCTTTTTTTTCATATGCTCCTCGTTCTTTTTGAGGTTTCACCGCCTTTTGACAGTCAAATTTATGAGGACATATGTTGGCTTTCAATTTTAATGTTCCCCAACTAGCCGATGCTTGATTAAATTAAAAGTAAACTAATTTGATTTTTAAAGTACTTACATACATTTTGTTTAACAGCATTACTAGTATTTAAAAAAATGTATGTACATTTTTTTAATACTAGTAATGCTATTAAACATAACTAATATTCCCTTTAACCACTTTTGGTAAGCTTAAAATGCTTGTGTTAGAAGTGGTTCATGAAAGTAGTCGAATGGCGGATTCGACCTTTCGAGTTCACGGTCCGCACCCTTCCATTAGTCTACTGATGCGTCAAATGTAAAGTAAATAACAAATACATTTACATAAAATATATAGTTATATTTACTGAATAAGTTATTCCGAACCTACTTACGACTCAATAGGTATATCAACAAGTGGGATGCGGGAAGTAAAGACTATAAGAACCTCCGAAGGAGGCGGAGTTATAGCCGAAATAAGAATTTTTACTTTTTTGGTTATTGGCCATTTTGACACCCTAGGAATGTAATGAGAACTTTTTGCCCCTATTCAACCATGACCCCTATGACATTTTATATTCAAACTGACTAGGCCTAAAGTTCGAGTCACCCCCCCCCCCCCCCCCCCCCGACTCATTACTAGTCTTTACTTCCAATTACTTCCAAATCAGAAATAGGCAGCTTCTATTAATAGTTACTTACATCAAAATGATCTACACACACATATTTAGTGCCTTTAGGTCCAATTAAATTGCGGTTCATTAGTTTACACCACATTATCCTTGTTGTTATTTTATTTGGTATACGAAAAAAAATATTGAGAATTTTAACTGTTGTGCTTTGACCCATAGGAACAATACAATATATGTAGGTATTTTTTTAACTTCTGCCATCGGGTAATGAACAAAACAATAAATTTGTACGTACTCGGCGAATACGTTCTGCGTCGTCTAGGTCAAATGACGTCACACAACGGAGCGCCACGTGTAACGAAATTATTCTTGTAAGCACGACTTCAAAGTCCCATAACATTTTTCCATTTCTAGAGATATTTTATTGATTCTTTCAAATTTTAGTTTCATATTACTCAAATTTTTATAATTTATCCATTAGTAAAAAATGGGAACTTCTCCATTGTACGAAACACACCAGCAATCAGAAGAGCGAGAATGCGATTCATTCGTCGTGAAAGTTTGACCGTGTAGTAGCGTTGAGAAAAATATTAAAAACATATCGTTACGTGAGTGTCGTAACAGGCGATGTCGACGGAGAGATACCAACCAAGATATGGGCAGTAGCGTTTTCTTAATAAAAACTAATAAATAGAAAACTGCTGCTGCCAACCCGCGTGCCAAGCGTAGCGTAACTATGGCAAATATCCCCCTGTGATGTAGTCTATGTTGGAAGCTATATTTGGCAGTGGACTGTTGGTAGGTTATAGCGGTAACTGTGCACGACAGAATCAAGGGTAAACATAGCACAAGTAGTGGGAGCTCGACTACGTAACTCTTCCCTGATTACATATCATGATATTTCGTATGAAACTTGGTAATTTAATATTATAATTTATTGTAATGTTTTAATTATTAATGATTAACCAAGTACTTTAATTAATAAATAAGAATAATTAGTTACGTCTATTATAATATTAGAAGTAATCTAATTGTAATATTAGAAGTTATTTGATGCATAAACATAGGATACCTAAAGTTATTGATATTATTAAGTGTTTATATCTTTGTTTATATTTTGATTATGTCTTATCATAATATATGGCATATTATGTCTTAAGTGAAGGGTCAACCGAGGTGGCCACTTAAAGTGCGCATGGCGAGCCCATTTCAGATGTGTGTTAGTGGATTGCGGCGAGAGAGGTGCTCTTTTCCCCTACCGCCGCAGCCGAGGTGGAGTCGCGAATAAAGAGGAGAGTTGCTATGACGATGCGTCACTCGCCCTATCCTCCGCAATTCTGGCGGGGCTGCACCGTTGATGTGGTTGTCATGTGGCCGCAGGGGGAGAGGAGTGACAGTATTGCGAGGCGTCGCTTTCTGTACTCTCCGCAGCCAAATCTTGGTTGAGGGTGGAGCCATAGACTAGATCCGCCGCTGAGGTCATGAAGGCTATGAAGGCTAGTGCTTATAAGTGCTCGTTTATCCTGGCCCCATGGCCTTCGCGCATCGGACACGGGAGCGTCAATTGGTGAAGTTGGAGGCAGAGGAGGAAGGCGCGTTATGTTTTCTGGTGCACCTTACCTGAGAAAGAGATGAGGGAGGAGAAGTCCTCACCCGAGGAGCAGCCCACATGAGTTTGCTGGCGCTGGATGTGAGCGAAAGCATTTCCGTGGTCCTGCCAATATACGGTGAAGGTGGAACGCCATGAGGTTCTAGTCGGTGCAAGTCCGACTTAAACCCTCCTTGCCCTCTTGATATAAGTAGGCATTTCCCCATGAAAAACAAAAAAGGGTGGCTTGAGATACTATTGTCTTCAACGAACCGTTGGATTAAGCTGTTCTTTCAATTTTTAAACTACTTTGTAATGTGACGCATCAGCTTGTGAAGAATTTTTGCATAAAACACATCACACTAGACCGAACTCTTAATGTTTTGACTGTAAGGTCCTGCATCCATGCTCATATAATAAATTTAAAAAAGTTTAAACTGATAATCCAGACAAATTGACGTTGACAATTGACATTTGACATATCAAACAAAACTTCACGGCTGTACCCATCCCAAAAAAACGATCTTTTTATTTGTCGCAAAAAGGTACTATTTGTATTATATTATCCTATTAGACAGATGCCTAAAAATTGAGAAAATTTGTGTATTAATAATTTAGTTACTAAAGATAAAATGATAACACTTAATAGAAAATTTAAAAAAGAAAATTCTGAGACTACAAATGGTGTTACTTTGGATGCACCTAAAAGGATATCAGTGAGAGATAAATTATTAGTAAAAGAAGTACAAGAAATGAATGAAAATCTACCTACAACATGTTCAGTGCATTTTGAGGACCCTAACACGTTGAATGAGTTCATTTTAACTGTCACTCCCGATGAAGGTTACTGGCTTGGAGGCAAGTTTAAATTTAGTGTGTTCGTCACTGAGGATTATAATATGGCGGTAAATATTAGCACTCTTTAATTATTAGATTCGGTCAACATTTTTATTCAAAATTGGCCATTGCAAAGCACTTTTTACCAGTAAAAAAGCACTACTCCATCACTTCCACACAAGTCTTTACAGCGGGGGACCTTGTCATAAGAAGTGGCAAGAAACTTTTTTTTATGGTTTAAGGGTGACAAACAAGCACACACCCCACCAGGTGGTGGATACTGTTGCCGGATATACATCTACTAAATGTATTTAATTCAGAATTTTAAAACATGTAAATGCATTGTTATGCTTGAGGTCTAAGATGGAATGCCTAGATTGCAGTAATATACTTATATATTACATATATCTACATCGATAACTACATCGATTTACAAGATTCAGAATACAGATGCATTGAAAGCCTGTTTCACCCTACAGTAACAATTTAGTATTTATAACATATTTTACAAAGTTAAATTGTAACTGTTTGGAATGGGATTAGGTATATCTAAATAATTCTCCAAGCATCCTTATATTTTAAATATTCATCTAATTTATTATAACCTTTTTTATTGAAATGTTTATCTTATATGGTATTTTATAACACCTTTTAAAAGTTCACTGCTGAACCCATAGATTTCCTCATAAGGGAGATTTTGTCTTAATTGCTATGCTTCACAAGCGGATTGGTAATTATAGTTATTATTAACTTTAGTTGTTATCAAGAAGATGCTGCTTTCCATTTCTTGTTTCAGTTCCCTTCTGTCACCGCTTACGACACCCACGGGATGATATGAAGTAGTGGATTCTTTTACTCCAGCACTACAAGGTGGTACCTTTTTTTTTATAAAAATAGGGTATCTAAAGAGCACTCGGTACATGTGAGTGTAAGTGGATGCTGTGACTCATAGGCACCTACATATGTCCTTGATTAAGAATCAAAATGTAGATGCATTGTCACCCCTGAGGACTAAGTTAAAATGCCTTGTTACCAGTATAAAGGGTCTCCAGCTCTCTGCACTCATCATACGAAACACAGCAGCATTAAGTTGCTATTCTATGGTGTTATTCTGTGATAGTATGGTCCCACCCTGATCGAGTCAACCTATTTGTGCTAAAACCATAAGATAGTAACAGCATCATTCTATGAAATTATAACTTTGTAAGATTATTTATATCAGTAAACAATTTTCAGCCTCCCAAAGTGAAATGTCTGACAAGGCTTTGGCATCCCAACATAAATGTTGATGGAGACATTTGCTTGTCCTTGCTTAGGCAGACATCAATAGATGAACATGGATGGGCACCTACAAGAAGACTTAAAGATGTTGTTTGGGGACTTAATTCTCTCTTCACTGTAAGTTATTTAGTGATAATTTGCTATATTATGTATATATATATATATATATATATATATATATATATATATATATATATATATATATATATATATATATATATAGCAACACGCTAGGTACCAGCTAGTAATAAATATAATTTGTAACATTGTTACTACACCTAAATGTACAAGTTTTGCTTACATTGTACATGGTATGAGGTATCTTTATTTAAATTGTACATGGCACTCTTCGGTGACAAAAAGGAAATTTTAGATTTTAAATTTTATTCTTTCTTTATTCTTTATTTTAAAAAACTTTACCCCACACTAGGGTTTTCTCCTGTATCTTGGAGGCAGTTTACAAACATAAATTGCACAAGGACAAACGTCCAGGCCCGGCACAGTTACTTGCAGGTCATACAAATACTTGTTCCGTGCGGGATTCGAACTCGCGGCCCTCAGCACAGTAACTCATTGCTAAGCCACTGCGCCACGGAGCCGTCTAAAACGAAAGTGAAGACTAGGCAGCCACCGAGATATGGTGTCCATTGACTTAATTAATGTGTATGATGTCTTAACCTAGGCACAGGCTCCCTCTTTACTGTGAAGGTTATGTGCAGGAGCATTGCTCTATTGACTGTCGGTGGGCTTATTGCCTGTTGGTGGACTTTAATTTCTCACATGAGGTTTCATTAGGATACATTTTCATCAATGCTCTGTAACTAAAACTTTGAATTTATAATAATTAACAAATTCACTTTCAGGACCTCCTCAATTTTGAAGACCCTCTCAACATTGAAGCAGCAGAAATGTACAAACAGAATAAAACACAATTTCAAATTAAAGTACAGGAATACATAGCAATGTCGAAGGGTAAGAGATGAGAAATGTGGATATCTAAGTAATTTTTAACAAATTTGTAAGTAGAGTTATTGGGATTATTCTTAAAACTGTTATCATTTCCATTATGATATTTTTTTTTAGAATAAACGTAATGAATACTCCTTGGATTGTGATATAATTTTGTTCATGCTCGCTCGCTGATGTGTTTTTTGTATACATAAATATGTAAGTTAAGCCTTAAAAATATTAAAAATGATTAAAGATGAAAGTCAGAGAGGTTATGGTGGAATATCTACTTTTATATTTTTATAGAGCTTGAATTATATGAATATAACCTAATATATACAAAAAATTGATATTTGTGTATTTGCTTGTCTTCTATGTGTTTCGATACAATTGACTATGAGAATGAGACTTTAATGACATGTTGTGTATGCGTCTGCAAAGATTTCTGTTAAAAGATAAATGTTTGTTTTTTTGTTTGTCTTCTATATATTTCTATACGAGTCAACCCATTAATAAAATTTTATTCATGGTAGTAGGGCGAATTTTCTGCCTGAGAGTCCCTCTGGATAGGTTTGTCATTCTTTGCTATACCTGCCACTAAATAGCAGTGCAGTTACAGCTTGTGAGGCATTCCATTTTTTTTTATTTTTTTTTATTTGAAAGACCAACAGCTATTATAACATATATCATAAAAGGATAGATAATACTAATAACTACAGTAAGCCAATTAAAGCTCCTCACTAATATATAATTCCATCTTAGTTTTAAGAGGTGACATGGCATCTGTGGCCTTCTTTGTTTTAAGTTAGTTGCAGGTATCCATGGATTGCAGAAGCCATGTACCTGGACTGGACCGTAAATTCGTTTGTCACTTCAATTTTATAGTGAATCTCGAAGGTTTCTGACAAAGGCAAGGGATTGCAATACATACTGCGCAGCTATTAGAAAATAAAATATTTTTGAAAGCAAAACTTTTATTAATGTGGCCTTTAGTGATCTGTTAGTTAACGCTTGATTAAATTCTTAATTTGATAATAATCTTTTCTTGGTGTACAATAAAGAGTATTGTATTGTATTGTAATTTGGAAAGATTTAATATTAGGAACAATATTTTGATGAGCATATGGGCGGAACAATAAGACATGATAGTACAAATTAAAAATGTTGCTGCAACCACATTTCTTTAAATAAAGAATGTTAGCAGTGCTTTTACACTATTAATACTAAATTTAACCACCACAATAAGCTTAAAATGTTTGTGCTGTGTGTGGTTCATAAAAACAGCCAAATAACGGATACAAACTCAAACTTCTCGAGTTTCACGGTCCATATTGTTGACGGTCAGGCTACTGTCCCTTTTGTATGGATGTACACACATTTTTTTTACATACATACTATTTATTCTAGTTTGGCTGGTAAATGGATTGATGATCCTCACAAAGAACTGTGCATTCTTACAAATACTGTATAAATTAGCAGCACAATATTTCACTGCTGTTTAAAATTAAATTGTATCCACCATAGCATTTCATCTCTTTCATTAAACTGGAACTAGTGTTTAATAGTTTAAATAATAATTAATATGTAAAATTATATTGGTTTCTACAGATATAATATTTTGCAGTTTTGTTTTTATTTTTTTATAGGATATGGGTGACAAACGAGCACACAGTCCACCTGATGGTAAGTGGTTGCTGTGGCCCATAGACATCTACATCTATCTTCGATTAAGAATCAAAATGCAGATGCGTTGTCACCCATGAGGACTAAGATGGAATGCCTCGTTTCCAGTAAAAAGGGTCTCCAGTTCTCTACACTCACCATACGAAATACAGCAGCGTTAAGCTACTATTTTACGCTAGTATTCTGTGAGAGCGTGGTCCTTCCCCGGTCGAGCCGACCCATTCGTGCTACAACCATAATATAGCTGCAGCATGGCTCTACCACGTTCCATATTTAGATTATCTTTACAGTTACCTTTATATATAATGTATTTAATTCTGATTACAAAATAGTAATGTTCTTTGTAAATAGACCAGTAATACAAAAATCTATATGTCATTATTAATACAATACTCAGACTAACAAATAAGATAGACGGAGCGCAGCATGCATTATAAGTGATGACAAAACCATGCTCAACTTCTTGACATAAGCACACATCTTTTTTCTTTCTTTCTTTATCAGCACGTAAAAGTTCAATGCGGCACACAACACATAATTATGCACCAGGATGTTAGTTCTTCATTTTTTTTGTTTTAAAAACACAACGTTACCACACTAGGATTGACAAATGATTTTAACCCCTGACGAAAACAGAGCGGTGTTATAATTTTGTAGTGTGTATCTGTTGCAACGTCATGTCTGTCTTTTTCTCTGTCTTTTACTGTCTGTTTGTCTGTGGCATTATAGCTCCTGAACGGGTGAACCAATTTTTTTCCGTTTGAAATGTCTTAATCCAGAGTGTTCTTGGCTATGATTCAAGAAAATCTGTTCAGTCGTTTGAAGAGCATCAGAGCTTTTTGTTTCACGGGTTTTTAAATTTTTTAATTTATGTTGTAGATGTGTGATGTGATGTACCTTAGTGAGTGTTCTTACAATAAGTTTAGCAAGGTTTTGGCTTAGTTTTTGCATCACTAGAAATGTATGCAGCCCTCCGTCTTTCTTTCTTTGTAAATCTGCCATACAATAAAATACATCAGCGATATTAGTACATATGAAACCTTCCAAAGCATTTTTTTTATTCAAATAAAATGAAAAGTGGTGAAAATATTGATGAATTTAAAAAAAATATATAGGCATTTGCCGTTTCTTGTATATACCTATAAAATATAAATCAACCACTTTATAACTTAAAGAGAATAATACTTAAAAATAAATAGTACTAATAGTACTTAACACTTTATAATTACTGTAATAGTAAATAACTATTTCATGTTCTTTTGCTTGAGACAAATTTAGCGACTGTGTTTCATATGTACAAACTAAATTTGTAAAATGGTGCAACCCTAAATGAATTTAAATATGATACCAGGTTATATTCTGTTCTGTAATATACAAAGTGTTTTAATCTGGAAACTTGTTTTATTTTCTACTAACTGTTGTTTGTTTGGTATGCGATGTGTGTACGGAAACTTCGATAGCGTGATTATTAAGGGTACGTCTGAACATTTATAAATATTAAAATCCTTTCATTAAAATACAACTTTATCGCTGTTAAACACTTACTTTCAAATTATTATGCGTATATATAAACTTGCGAGCACGGTCAAGGCGTTGCACCTTGTGTCTGTCAGTCAGCATCGAATCCAGTCAAAGGACCCAGCGAGCACACACCTTGCGATAACCCAACGTTTTTGTTAAAGGTCTTTCAACTGTCCCGTGGGAAGTTTCAGGAATGCGTTCAACAAGTTCACGGACAGTGACCCTCTGATTTTTGAGTAGCTCACTGTTGATCTTCTCGACAATCGCATCCGAAACCGGCGGTCTTCCACTCCGTTCTTCATCTTGAACTTCCGTGCGATCCTTAGCAAAAGCCCTGCACCATTTGCGGACGTGCTGAACGGACATGCACTCTTCACCATAAACCTCAGTCAGTTGCCGATGAATCTCCACGGGCGGTAACTTCCTTGCGCGGAGAAACTGGATTACTGCTTGAACCTCGCACTTGGCGGGAGCGGCGATCAACACTTCCATCTCTGACGGCTGCCAAGCGAACATTGATAGACGTAGCGAATCGCGGACGTGCGGGCTCAACAGTGGGGCAACCACTGCGCACGACACCGTTGTCGGACTTAGCCTAGCACCTACCCTCGAGTCTGTAGCTCATTGGGAACCTTATTTTTGGTACAACCCTCGTACGTGCAAAGGTCCCACAGTGGAGCCTAGGTCTTTCTCAGACTGGGAGCTTACATTTAAGGCAATGGAAGATAAATAAAACCGGCCAAGTGCGAGTTGGACTCACGCATGAAAGGTTCCGTACCATCGTACAAGTCGCGGCACGTAAATCTAGCGCTGAACGAAACGTAGAGGGGACGCACACGAATTGAATTGCACGAATGTGACTGGAGAGCCAATCAGCGCGTGCGAACGATTTGCTCGAGCCAATCAGCGTGACTTATGCGCAATAAGCCAATCAGCGCGATTTATGCGTCACCAACAACACACAACAACGGTGTGTACAACAACGGTTACCGCTAGACTTTCGTGCCGCTACTTATAAAACACGTTTCTAGTAGGGGAGCCCCCTTTAATTTATTTATTTGTTTTTATAGTGGCAACGGAAATACACATTCTATGAAAACTTCAACTGTCTACCTATTAGGTACGGATCATGAGATACAGCCCGCTGACAGACTGACGGACGGACGGGTAGTGGAGGCTTAGTCCGGTTGGTTACCCTTTGGGTACGGAACCCTAAAAAGTGTCGCTTCAATAAGCAGATTTGAAATCAAGAAATATTTTAGTTTCTCGGACGTGCTGGTTTCATCACAATGTTGCTACTGCGCTGAGCAAGAATTAGTACTTAACAATTTCAATTTCGGGGAATGAACTCGGTGTGCTCTCGTAAAAATAAGGTGAGCGCCTTATTTTTACGAGCCATTTCCTGAGCCACCGCAGCGCTTTATTTGAATACAAATATATAATTTGCATGACACCTCATTTTTTTAAACCGGTCCGCAGTTTTGGTGTTACGAGGACGCAGTTCAATGAACTTATTTGATATAAATTTATTTCTACATGTAAATTAAGGTTTGTGGCATTAACCCTATATCGTCTTAGACTTATAAGAATAGTTTAAACTAAACGTGCAGCATAAGAATAAAATTGGATTTAACTGATAACTTCACTCCGTAAAAGTCTGTGGCACGCCGCCATTTTAGGTTTTATTTAATCAATAAAATGGGAATTAGAAGACAAAATTTGATAATTTAATAAATAATAGTTTAAAAAAAACACGCTTTTGTAAATAACCGAACTAAAAAGTAGAAAATAATTTTCAATAAGTTTAAAATAAGAAAATAGTGACTAACATAAAAAAATTCATATTATTGTAAAAAAGCGTGGGGTGCTTCTTCAGATATTTTTATGATGACGCCAATTTTACAAATATCCACAAAAATATTTTCAACTAACAAAGCGTCCCACGCTTTGTTTACAATATTTTTTTTTTTTTATATTATACACTATTTTCTTATTTTAAACTTATTGAAAATTATTTTCTACTTTTTAGTTCGGTTATCTACAAAAGCGTGTTATTTTAGCTTTTTTTTTAACTTATTTATTTTCTATTTTTAGTGTGGCTAACTACAAAAGCGTGTTTTTTTTGGAATGAAGTTTATTTACGCGGCTTACAGTAGATTGAACTGACAGATATCGTAGTTTATTATGAATTGTTCGCAAATCCTGAGGATCCTGGCAAGGATAATGTGGCAAAGTATTTAAATTGTTGCATTGTCATCGGTCCTTGATAAGTGTGCGAAGTTTCAAATTAATCCGACGTTTTGAAGACACATTCAAAAATTCTGTTACATAGATAACATACCAAGCTAATAAAAGCGTGTTAAAAATAACGAAATATTTAGTAAGTGGAAGTTTTATTTGATTTTTTCGCACACCTTACACAACGGACTTGAAGTATGGAGTGTAGAGTAGAAGGAGAACCATCTTATAAGGTGCGAAAGTTGAAAAAGTGTCCCAATATATACTGAAAATAGAGGTTCCAAAACGAAACACAATAGCGCTGGCGTCTGAAAAACTACGATATGAATATAGCTGTTGTAGATGGAGTGAAGTCAGCTGAATTAAAATATTTAACAAAATTTCATGACTAGAGTAGTTAGTAAAATGCCAGTATACAAAACCTCAACTATTTACGTAGTACAAAACCAAGCGGATTGGTCGGTCCTTGTTTATTTCTCCATCTTATTCTAATTAATTTTGGCGCTTTTTTTTAATTTATCCTATGCTACTGCAGCGCCACCCTTATTGGACGCGTTTTTAGGGACACTTCATATACAGAGATGGTCCTCCTTCTACTCTACACTCCATAACTTGAAGTTAGTGCGCAATTCGAAGCAAAATGTCAGATTGACAGTGCTATATTTTTCGTGCGCGCTTTTTTATCTGCCACAGCTAATAAAGGTCCACTGGTGTACCCGTTTAGGGCGGTGTAAGAATATCCACTAGCCTGTATCGTCCCGTGTGTGTCGTAAGAGGTGACAAGGGGAAACAAATCAGGAGATGGGCAGCAGCGTCTGCCTAATTACGACTACAAATAAAAAACTGCGGTTGCTAACCCGCTTGCCAAGCGTGGCAACTATGGCAAATATTCCCCCTATGAGGCAGTCTATGGGAGAGGTCTATGTTCAGCAATGTACTTTAATAGGCTGTAATGATGACGGTGAACACGGGCCTCTACCACTGTTCCTACACAACTTTGTTGTTACTTTCCGTTACTGATCTGGGTGTTTTTAGTCTCATCTACATAATCACCAGCCTATCCAAAGCCTTTTTTAGGGATTTTGTCATAGTTGTCACGCTTGGCGAACGGCGTGGGAACCGAAATTTTTTATAACTTTGAGTTGTTATTACGAAGATGCTGCTGCCCATCTCCTGTTTTAGTTTCTCTCTGTCACCTCTTACGACACTCACGGCACGATATAGAGTAGTAGAGATTCTTACGTCGCCGCTACACTGTAACTGGCGTAAACTGATATTTCGCCCGGCGTTAATAAAATAGTTTTACATCTACTGACATCTATAGTAAGCTAACCTTTCCGATATTTCCCATAGTCACAGTAGACGGAACCGGGTGATGGATTGATACTTTACCTTCTTATCTACTTGACTATTCTTACACCGTACCTACTTCGCTACACGGTAATATAAAAATTTATTTTCTTGCCTGCCTGATGGGTCTAGTTTTTAGATTGTAAGCGCGACTACTGATTCTGAGGTCCCGGGTTCAGACCAAACTTAGTTATTAGGTACGTATTTCTATAAAGACATTCTCAATATCATCCCGGAGTTATTAAGTCACCCCCGTGTCTCAGAAAGCACGTCCTGCGCGTCTTGCGTCCATCGGATCGTCAGAGTGAGGGAATAGAGAGTGCACATGTGTTTACGTATACACTATAATCCTGTCCTGTGCATGGCTGGTCTCTGTTGAGACTGGTCATTGGAATTCGATCTCGAGGATAGTATTATTAATATTCTTATTCGTAGTAATTATTTTTGAGAAAAAATTGAAATAAAACTGCAATTACATCAAATCAGTGCCTTTTATTACTTCATTCATATCGAAGCATCGGTATACACAATTTGTAAATAATAAATAAATAGTAAAAATTTGTATACAATAAATAGCTAGCCTAAACATAGAAACCGAGTTGTTGCAAATCTCCTCCTTGACTAGAATATTGTGACGTGCATGAATATTATGTTACTTTAATGAAGTTGTTACGGATGGCTATGCAAAAGCATCATTCCGTACTAATTTTGGTTCATTGACTTTGTTTATGTTTAATTATGAATTGAATGGTAAATAAATACTAGAATATTAAATTATTCCAAGGGAGTAATCAATTGTTTTTTTAATTCCCTAGCATACTGTTGCTATACAAAAGACCATAAAGCCTATCTTATAATAGTGAGAATAATTTTTCGTCGGCAATGAGGGCAATGACATCTGGTGAGCGGTAAATTATTATCCCTCATTACGTAGTTCGACTCTGGTGATCACTGATAGTGTTTGTGAGGTGATGAGGCGGGTGGGTAAGTTGGTGTGAGTAAGTGAGTTGGTCACTGGCTGGAGAAGTTGGTGAGCAGTTCCTCCTGGATGCTGTTGGAGCGCGTGAGATGCCGCGCGGCAATTTGGCCGAAAGCCGTCGCAACTGTGTCCGCCTGTGACGCTTCCCTGGCTTTCTTCTCATGGTACTCCTCAGAGAATTCCTGGAATAAAAGGGAGTTAAATATGAGATTTAGGTGACATTGGTGGTTTGAATTATTTTATTCCAAAACAAATGTATTTATTTAAAATAGCTATTGCAGTTAGGACCATCTTCAATCATGTAATGTGACCCTAGAGTACGGCTAAGTTTGGAGGCCTTTTAGAAAGTCAAGAACACTGCTTCAACACTAGTTTGTAGCATCAAATAAAGTCCTCTCTTTCTTTATGTTAAATTTAACTTATAGTTCGCATCTTTTACGAAACAAATTTCACGGCAATTTGCAAAAATATAGAAATAAATTGTTAAGATAAATAATATATGTACTATATAAATATGATAAGGGTAGAATTTTATGTATTTTTTTGTATATTTTCTCTTGCTTGTTAGTTTAAACAATTTCTACAATTCGACATTGATACTTATAATATTATAACCTTGCGATTAGTTCCTAATACATTAACTGTATTTTGTTTTATTTATTTATTATTTATTTCACTTTTTATTGCACCAAATATTTGTACAAAAGGCGAGCTTAATGCTATATGGCATTCTCTACCAGCTAACTTCAATAATAATTGTATTTCGTGTGTTAGCAGTTTTTATGTTTGGATTAATCTGCTTTTTAATTATTATATACCTGTTTATTATGTACCCCAAAGATAAATAAATAAAAATAAAATGGAATAATAATCTGAATAGGTATTTTTATTACGATACTATATTATATAAACAATTCACTAAATTTATTTAAAAAAAATTTAGTGCACCTTTAATCTGTTGCCCAAGAAGACGGCTCTCTCCCGCTTCTTGTGTATGAAGTCGGACTGCGCGAGCCAGCGGTGCTCGTGGCACTCTTCTGCTGACGGCCTCTTCAGGGGCACCTTCTTGAACACGAACATCAGGAAACGGGTCGCCTCCTGCATCACATCAACTTTGTTAGACATATGACATAACAATAGGCTACTATTTTTTCTATGATATTACAGTAACATGCGGACGTGTGAATAGGCGGCTTGGGGAACCTCTAGGTACATCGTAATAAAACTGTATGTCATGTCACAATAGGATTTTCTCGTGTATCGTGAGGGCAGTTTCCATAGATAAATTTCACAAGGACAAACATCCAGACCCGGAACAATTTGTAGGCCATACAAGTACGTGTTCCGTCTGGGATTTGAACACGCTGCCCTTAGCTCTGCAATACATTGCTAAGCCACTGCCGTGGCTCAGTCCGTCAAAATATAGGCTTTGGTAGACCGTTAGTCTGTTCGTCACTCTTATTATTAAAAAAAAAACTACATAAATATATCACAAAATAATGATGATGGCTTCTTTATTTTTGCTGAAAAAAATAACTACTCCCCAAATACTCAAACGAAGAACCCAAAAGAAACAGTCACTTTGACTAAAGTGATAGAGTGGCATGAGACTTAACGACATCTTAAAATTTAGTAGCGTGTAAGTATTTGGCCATAAAAAGCTTAATAAGCAAATATAGTGATGACCGTGACGGAAAAAAAATCTTTTTTATATGTTATCTATAAGTATTATATAACTAATATTAAAAAAAAATATTATAATTGATCTCGGTACTAAATTACGAGAATTAAGATTATACGAGAAATAAATTAAGAGAATTTACTTCAAATTAAAAAACGACCTTCCGCCATTACGCTACTTTATTATTAGAACTACGTCAGCTTCGCAGGTCGATTTAGTACATGACAGATCGTGTAGATAGAAATTTGTTTGAAAAGATTTCTACCTTAAAGTTATTTGAAACAACAAAAAGAGTATTAACTTATTCATTTTGTATCTATCTATTGGTTTTAAAATACTATATTTACTTTTTTCATTAATAAAATAATTTTGTTACAGCACCATCTACACGTTCTGTCAAGTACTACATCGATCTGCGAAGCCGACGTAGTTTATTCAATGGCGCTGTTATTAATGCCGCATAGGTTTCATATATTAGTTGACAGGGCCTGGTTTTGAGAATGAAAAAAAAAATAATGACCTTGGCCTGACCCCAGGTCTGACTGAGTTGGACCTATACAATGTCGGGATGTGATAGGATAACTATGCTCAATAATACGACATTTAATTTAAGCATCTATCATTTATCGTGCTCAGAATTGAATACCCACTGAGCAACTATGACAAACCTGCGTGATCTCCTTGTAAAGGTGCTCGAAACGGTATCGCACGAAGGAGATGTTCTGCTTGGTCTCCGCATCGTCCGCCCCACGGAATGGAGAGACGCCCGACAGCATTATGTAGGTCAGCACGCCCAAGGACCAGATGTCGGTCTGCGGGTACGCTGGCTCGTCGTTGATCACCTCCGGTGCTGGGGAATCGGTGACAGATGGTTATATTATATTTTACTTATGAGGGTCAGTGTAAGTATATTCACTACCTCATATCATCCCGTGGGTGTCGTAAAAGGCGACAGAGGGAAACAAATCAGTGGATAGGCTGCAGCGTCTTTCTAATAACGACTAAAAATAAAACAAACTGTGGTTGCCAAGCCGCTTGCCAAGCGTGGCAACTATAGCAAATATCCTCTCTATGAGGAGGCCTATATTCAGCAGTGAATTTAATAGATTGTAACGGTAACGGTATAAAAGATATTCCATCTATCCATCCTTCACCTGCATAAGCTTGTCAATGTATTTAATTTTATCTTTTCAACAAATAAATATTCAATAGTTCATGATTGATGTTTGAGCCAATGTTTTGACCAAAAGTGTTTAATAGTTACATTTAGTGTACGGTCAAATTAGTTCACTAATTTAGGAGAAAGAATCGGACATACGTAGATAAAATACGTTATCATTACAGTCCACCATGTGTTCACTACTCGTATTGAACATAAGCCTCCCTCATATATTATCCCACCATTGTAGAATCTCACAAAGTACGGTCCTGAGTCAACTGCATCCATCGACTACCTTTGTGTTTCAACGGGTCGTTATTCCAATAAGAGAGGTCTGGTGAATATAATAGAATAATTTTTTATTCAATATTGATTATTACATAATACTTGAAAGTCATTTTTATTTACCACTGGTTCGGAAAATACCTCTGTCCTGGGAAGAACCTGTAAGAAACCCAGTGGGACTTTTTTTCAAATATATTTCACTTAACAATAATTTCGTTTATACAATTTTTAAATGATTTTTCATAGAACCAGCATAGTGGCGATCACCTTATTCCCAGGGGTTATTTTCATTCATGTATTCCTTGATATTATAATAACCCTTTTTGTACAGTTTTTCTTTAATAAAACTTAAACTTGTTTATTGACAAACTTTGAATATGTTCTGGGGTTTTGTTGTAAAAGCGTATACATGTGATAACATTTTATAGAATAAGGGTGACAAAAGAGCACATAGTGCACCTGATGCCAAGTGGACGTGGTTATGCAAAAAGGATTCAACCCTAAAAAGAAAGCTCATTTGAGGTTATGAAATTTGAAGAATGGATCTGTATGGTTTGTGTGTTCGTTTGTAAATTTTCTTCTTATTTGTGTTACTTTCGCTACAATTGTTGCATCACATAATAGTATAGACCACAAACATTATTTTTCAACTGAACATCTTTGACACCAATTACATTGGACTCTTTTTGCGTAACTATGTCCAAGTAAGAATCAAAAAGCAGATGCCTCATTTTAGGTAAAAGAGGCATCCAGTTCTCTTGTTTTATATATTAATTGAAATGTGACTATTCCATACCTTTGTATTCCAATTCCCCAACTTGAGGAACGCTGGTGCCCAGCTTGGTGACCCTGTATGCGGACCCGAAGTCGATCAGCTTAACCTGGATCGCGCGGACGGACGACAGCACCACGTTATCTGGCTGCAGGTCCAGGTGGCAGTACCCTCGCCAATGCAAATATTGCAGGGCGTCAAGTATCTGGATAACAATGGTCGCGACCATCTGTTCCGTGTAGTCGTGACGACTGGAGAGGTACGTCAGTACGTCGGCGCCTTGGAGCTTTTCTAAAATCAATGCCGCGTAAGGGGTTCCGGGGGTCTGGTAGGCCCCTAATAAGTTGGATATCCTCTCGTGTCTGAGCCTCCTCAAGCACTCGAACTCCCTTTGCACTTGAACTTCCGTTTCCGGCCGGCATTCCAATATCTTCGCCACGACCACACTGTCGTTGGTCTTGTCTATGCCCTTCACGACGATAGAGAACTTTCCGCGCCACAGTTCAGAAATGAAAGTGTAGCGTTCCGTGAACGATTCGCCAGGACACCATTCCACTGGGTTATTCTCGGTGCTGTAGCCCAATTTGGGCTTCTCTTCCTCTAATATTATCTCTTGTCCGGACTCAGTCAGCTGTTGTAAGTGTTTCATGGCCTTTGTGACCTCGATCTTCGGAGCACCCGCTTGTTTTGTCTTCACCAAGTTGGTCGGGATCCCCTTGTCGCTCCACCCGATCCTGTTGCGTGAGGACAGCCTGAACTGGTAGCTGGTGTCTGGTTGCAAGTCTCTGACTACGAAGAACTCGTGGTCGATGTTCTCGGCCACTGTTTTCCAATCGACGCTGTCACCCTCTTTGTATTGGAGGCTGTAACATACGACTGGGGTGTTGCCGTCGTATTTCGGCTGTTTCCACCTGAGAAGTACTTCCGTGTCGGAGACATCGGTTGCTGTTGGACTATCTGGAGCATCAGGGTTGGTCGCTTCTACGATTCTCGTTCGAGCAACGGTTTGTCCAACCTTGTTTCTCGCTACCACTTTATAGAAACCGACGTCGTGGTGCATAGCCGGGTCCAATTTCAGAGTCGATCTTCCATCATCGTCTTCGATGATCTTGATGCGTTGTCCTTCAGCGATGACCATGTCGTTTTTGAACCACTGGATGGTCGGTTTTGGGTCTCCGACGGCGTAGCAGGAGAGTTGGGCGGGCTCGCCTTCTCTGATGGGGAGGATTTGAGGCTTTTCTCTGAAGAAGGGCAGCTGGCCGTCCTTTTTGGACTCCATGAGCGCTTGGGCTTCCGCGTAGCTGTCGAGTCTGGTGCCCAGCTCGTGCCTCAGTCTGCGGATGGTGTAGCTCTCGGAGCCGTACTTGTTGATTCTCTCGCGGCGCTCGTCGTCGATCTCCTCGTCCATAATGTCGGTGAAGCGGCGACGTTCGTGAATGATTGGAGTCTAGAGGAAGAAAGAACTTTCGTGATTATTTGATTATCATTTTGAATATACTATTAAACTCTCATATTATGTACAATAGTTTCAATTTTAGATTCGCTGTAATATGTGTTCTTCGCTCGTTAAGATTAGGGTTGTCAAAAATTATCATAACATTTAGTATGGTATTTATGAGTCAAATTACAGTTTGGTACTTATGAGACAAAACGTTTAAGAAGTGGATTTAAAATTTTAATATTTATTTCATAAAATAGTAGCGTATTTTTTAGTTTTATATATTACATAATAACTTATATTATATACCGACTATACGAAATACCACTGACTGACTGACTCGATCATCTCATCTCTGTGATGATTTGATGATGAAGTTGTTTGCTTACTTGTTTAATTCTTTGCATAGAAACTATAATTGATGACATATAACGATGTTAAGAAAAAGTGACCAAAAATATTGATATCTAAAATAGTTTAACGAATAATTAAACGGGTTTATTTTTTTTCAATTTAAGATATTTTGAGATTTGTAATGTCAATTTATATAAAAAGATGCTCCAAACGCTACTACTAATAGCACTTTTATTAATAAAAAAATAATTCCATACATATATTTGTTCTATTCTTGAATAGTTGGCATAATATAATGTTAATATTTACCTCAGAGCTGTTAATTCTAGCCCCGTTGAGGAGGTAAGAATTAACAAGAGACTTTTTTGAGAAATAATGTTCCATTTAAGTCATTATTTATTTTATGTTAATAACATGAGATTTGAATACTTAAAGCATCATGTCACATTAAAATGAAGTCTTAATATTTAATAATTTCGAAGGTACAACTAAAAATGCAATGTTTGTTAATTGTGGCCCCGGTTTCCCGTACACAATACTATATTTGATGCTAGGGTTGTCAATTTAAGTTAAAATTAAATTAGTCAAGTCAGAACAGCGCGGTGGTTGGAAAGTATGAATGGGTGAATAGCAGACGGGCGCTGTGGGGTGCAGCGGGACTGACCCTGGGGTCGTAGGAGTCGTGCAGGCCGAGGTTGTAGGCGGGCGAGCGGTGGCACGCCACCTTCATGTACTCGCGCAGCCGCACCGGGAACTGCACGTCGCGCAGCTGCAGCAGGTACGTGTCCGGCCCGTTCTGGTAGCTGTCACACAACAAACTCTTTATTAACTGCGCTTTTTATAGGATAAGAGTCACAGATGAGCACACAGTCCACCTGATGGTAGGTGGATACTGTAACTCATAGACATTTACATCTGTCTTCCATTACGAATCAAAATGCAGATGCGTTGTTACCCCTTGTTGTACCCCTGGGGACTGAAATGGTATGCCTCGTTTTCACAGAAAAAGGTCTCGTTTGTCACCATTATTATAAGAAAATTAAACCGTATTCGTTATCAAAACTAATCGATTTATCAGATATATAATATTATATTGTTAGGAAAAGGGTAAAGAAATAAAATAAAATACGGAAAACGGAGTGCAGAACTATAATGTCCAACTTGTTCTGGCAGTACAATATATCGCGCTGGCGATTAAGCGTTTCCCACACACAAGCGGCTCGCGGTGGCGGCCATCTGTATTCGCTTGCAATGTAAGTGAGTCTGCACACACGTGCGGTCATATCGCGGCCTGCGAGCGGCTGGCCGCAGCCCCCCTCCCTCCCCCCGCCCTCCACCCCCGCGTGTGTGTTAGCGAGTACGCGATCTGTCGCTAGCCGCAGCGCGGTCACGAGGCAATTTTTTACAACAACCCGAATGGTGCTTCAGGCTACTACTGTAACCGCGCTGGTGTGTTGTTACAGCGGCTGGAGCCCGGACTCGCGGTTAGCCGCCACCGCAAGCCGCTTGTGTGTGGGAGACGCTTAAGAGAAATCAGTCGCTATTTTACGAGTCCCATGTCGTTACTATGCCTGTTGGGGCATTCTACTAATGTAGACAGGGAAGATAGTGTTGCTGAGAAGCTGCCCTTTGATTTGATGACATTGAGAAGGTAGTGTTGCTGTCGGTGTATATCTAAATACCGGTGTGTGATTGTGACGGGAACATGCTACGGTTGGTCAAACTGTATTGCTCTATGCTGAGTGTAGTGTGCTGTTCTCCAAAATGGTCTCTAATAGAAAGGAGGGTTTGTTACCGAGTAATATTCTTTTATTAATTAGAAGGGGATCAAAGCTTTTTCTTGTACCTCTAAATCTGAATTTCTAACAATATATACATTATAATAGATATAAGACTAAATATATAGAACTTACTGGCTCTCGGATTTGGCGGAGACCTCCCAATCGGGATGTTCCCAGTGCGGCATGCTAAGATCGGGAGCGGGGCGGCCGTGAGGAGAGCGTTCCCGTTCAGGAGACCCTACAATTGTATTAACCGTCTTAATTACACATTATTATAGTATGATAAAGCTTAAGGTCACTCGGCGAGCTATAACTCCCAGCCCTCTCCAGGGCTGTTTTTTTCCTATTCTTTCTATATAGAAAAGCCTCACAAGTAAAATCTAGGACGACTACCCCCCCCCCCCCCCCCACTAGATGGAATACGATGAATGCAGGTTGCTCAGGACCGTGTTTTGTAGCATTCCATTTGTGAACGGTTGAAATGCTGATGATAATACTTTTATGATGTAGCTTCTTGTACGGCAAGGAGCCAGACTCTGGCTCCTGTTAAAAAAATTAGTATCACATGCGCACTAACTTCAGGTGTCCTTTTCTTGTTTACCATCGGCCCGTAAATGTCCACTACTAGATATGGCTCTTAAAAATTACTACAACTTAATACATTTGCATAAAAGTAAAACGCATAAACCATAAGTAGCTACGACTGTAAATTTAAAGTGACCATATATACAACCTATATGGGCACATGCCTTCTCTCATTTGTAAGAGAGATTTTGGGCGAGGAAACATTTCTGCTGTGCTGCCCCAAAGCGTGTTGACGGAATTCTCATTTCTTCTAAATATTTTTACGTCGTTGAGTTACGTCTTCACAGACGAGCACGCGGTTACATTATACACGCTTATTCATTTTTTTAGTCAGATTAATAATTTTGAACTAAACGCCTCAGTCACCCAGCCCCCCTCCCCGTGACCATGGGTGCTGTAAAGTGCTCGAAAGGTCAGAAATATTTAAGTTAATATTAAAGGTGATAAAATCCGTATAACTAGTATCAGGGTTATGTTTTCATACATTCATTGATCACAGCCTATAAAAGTCCACTGCCGAACATGGGCCACCCCATAGATTCCCTCATAGGGGGGGGGGGGATTCGCCATATTTGCCACGCTTGACAACCGCAGTTTTTTATTATTTTTAGTTCTTATTAGGAAGACGCTGTTGCTCATTCTCCTGATTTGTTTCTGTTGTCGCCTCTTATGACACCCACGGGATGATATGGGGGAGGGGATATTCTTACACCGCCACCACACGGTAAACCATGGGAAGTATTATGTACTGTTGATTAATTCATTGTTATATTATATATCTTAAAACTATCATAGTATTATAGCATTTAATTCTATGGACTTTTAAGAACATATTAAATTCTTTAGCAATACCTTCAGGAGTGTAAATTTCACCAGGAGGGTAGACCATCTTCGAGGGATGATCGAAAGCACCAGACAGTGGCCTACGTCTGAACCAAGTTCTGCATTGTGCGTTACTGGTCCAGTCCCTGTAATTAATTTGAATTTTAGAATGCGTAATATATTTTATATGAATAGTTAATATTTATCCTAGAAAAAAAATTCACATCGCTTGATATTTTGAGCGCCACCTAGCGGCGGACAGCTAAAGATATCTGTGCTGATAATTCCAATCATCCGATTTTGAGTACGGTTATAAGATTGACGAATAAAATTCGATCGACTCTGTCAAGAATAGGTCCGCGGTTTTACGCTGCTTTCAATTGCAAGTCTAGCCCGTTACCCTGGTACTGTTAGCTGTAGCTGGTTTGGCCATGTTCCATCTAATATATACAGAAAATGGTCTTATCGTAATTAATCCAATCCTTTTTAGATTAAAAGTTTCAAAGTTTAATAAGAAATTTGATGCACACAAATTGACTTTCTTAACGACTTTGAGAGACTATTTGCAAATCAGAAAATCTCCTAGTAACTCTGGGAAACTCTGTGTAACTTTCAAGGCAGCCGGAAATATTTTGCGCAATTTCAACTGACTCTATGTGACTCAAGTACTCTGAGTGAATGCGCGATTTGGAAAGACTGTGCGACTCCGGACTCCTCTACGCAATGATTTTCAAGGATGCGCGTTGTCGGTTGTCAATATACTCTACAGACGTATTAAATATGGTAGACTGAGATATAGTCATTATTGTTTTGTAGGCTGTAGATGAAGAAAATTATGAACAAAAAAAAATCGATAGAAGACTCCGACTAAATTCGGGGTAGACGGTATATCCCCCACCAGTTGACGGTACTAGCCTCCAATTTGTGATATTGTTTACCAATTTTCGTTATACCAATTTCAGTCGTATGTAGAAGCAAATCAAGTTGAATTTAAATTGTTAATACATGAGTCACTTCGCTACCACTCTTTAGGATAATGGTGACCTTAAGTTTCAGCAAAATCGCCGTAGCACATTGAATTCCGTTTGTTAACTTGGATGCGAAACACTAGAAAGAGAATATAAATAAACATTAAAAAAGGTTACCGGTATAAATTGTAATAGTTCCTGAGGCGGTCGGTGCTGATGATGTACTCGTCGCGGTAGATCTTGTCGGCGCACGCGAGCCAGGGATGCGCCAGCGCAGCATCCACGTGCATGCGCTCGCGCCAGTCCAGCTGCAGCAGCCGCCAGATGAAGTCGCGGCTCTCGCGGCTCATCCGCGACCACCACTCCTCGTCGTGCCACTCCCACTTGCCCTCCTGCACCCTGATCGCGATAATACATAATTTGAAACCTGGATTTTTTTTATTAGAACAACAAGCGAGGAATAGTCCACCTGAAAGCACGTGGTTAATGTAGTCCGAGCGTTTGCTCAGACTACAGGCGGCACTAGTAAATAGATGTATTGCATTGTCACCGCTGATAACTTAGAATGCAATGCCTCCCAGCCTCTATAACATATCATAAGCAACTTGAACTCCACACAAAGGAACACTACTTGTGTGTAACTAACCAACAAATGTACAGCTATAAATATTAACCCATAATTGCCTCATAGGGATCATATTTGCCATAGTTGCCACGCTTGGCTAAAATCTAATGTATGGAATTTGACAGCAAATGTCACATTTCACGAAAATAGCTAGTACTGTTTTAGAAAAATATTGCAAAATTTAAAAAAAGGAGGTAATCCTTTAAAAAATTTTATTCTATAGGACACCAACAATAACAACCACTTTCTTAATTTGCTCTACACTTTGTTGCAAATTTAAATCCAAGCGGCGTTCATAAATATTAAAAATACACTCAAATTATATAAAATGCATATTCCAAAACTGCTCGACTAAGTACCCCAAGGTTCCATACTTGGACCGCATTAGTTTGTGGTCTACGACTGAATTTTATTGTTGATCTATAAAAATTCTTTACTTTCCAAAGTAGTATAAAATAAAGCAATAATATTTTAATCTATAAAATTCATGCATTAGAATAATACGTTTCTCAAAATATCGACGTAATCATTTTCTACATCTGCAAAAGAATTAACCTAATCAGTCCATATGATTTGTAAGCTTATGAGTAAAAAACGTATCGAAGGCAACGGCGGATCCAAGGGGGGGGTCATGGGGGTCATGACCCCCCCTGAGCTGGTTCCAGGACTTAGGTGGACCACTAATTGAACATAATGATTTTATTTATATATTTTGTCACCATACAGATTTTATGTAACTACATACCTTCAATATTTAATTAATTTAATATAATATAATAACTTTGTATGATTGCAAACGTTTGGGAACGAACGCATCGAAAATTTGAATTTTACCGCGCCACACTTGCGCGTGCTTGTCGACTACGTAACGTCTAGCTAGACCTAACCTCAATCGGAATTGAAACGGCTAAACTTCAACATATCATAACATAGTTCTAAGTTAAAAAACTAAAATTTCTTTCTAGCTACGAGTATAATGTGTTTGTAAGTGTACCTTTATAAATATTCTTAAAAATTGTTGCTGCAAATTCATTAATTACAAGAAATGGTAAGTAATCAGTTTCTCACTATTCCAGTGCGTGTGTTTTAACTTAAATGTTATTGTTGTTAATGTTCATAAAGTACCTCATAGGTAGATATGTAGGTACCTACTTACTGAAAGAGTGCTGCGTGACTTATGTACCTACCTATAGGTATATTTTTTTGGACGAGGGAGATTGAAGAGCATCAAGCTTACTGACCTAACCTAAAATCTTAGATAAATTCACACAATGAAATCAAGTGTATCGTCGTGACCACACTGATTTTAATGCTCTTTAAAAATAAAATAAGAGAGCAACCAACAGAATGAATATAGCATGCATAAACTTATAATCTTGATTAAAAGCACCTAGCGAAAACTTTGATCAAAGTATTGCGTTATAAATTCTTAGTTTATGCACTACAGTCACAGTCACTTACTTTTTATTTTTCAGGTACTACTGTATCTTTACATAAGCAGAATACTGCAATCGAACTCAATTGATTTAAAAAAAGCTACGGACGCTATTAATGATACTTTAAGTGTTTTACAAAATAAAAGAGAAAATGTGGACGTAATCTACCGACAGCTTTTTAAAGTGGCTAAAGAAGTAGCTGAGCAGCTAGATGTAGAAATTAAATGCCCCAGAATAGTATCAAAACAAATACATAGGGCCAACAACCAACCTGCTCAGTCTGCTGAAGAGTATTTCCGCAGAGTTATATACATCCCTCTTCTAGATTCAATAATAAGTGATCTCCAGGACCGCCTGTCTTCTGATGTACTTAATTTGTTTCAGTTAAGCATTTTCATACCAAAAAACGAATATAGTAATGAAGACATTGAAACTGTGAAACAACTAGCTACCGACTATACATTATTACTAGATAACACTCCAGTTTCTGTCATTGTAAATGCGGAGCCAGGACATACCGCAGTCGATTTCTGATCTTATTTTAAATTTTGACATCGATATGTATCCTAATATAAAAAAATATATATATTATGGCTACACTACCTGTCAGTGTAGCGGCAGCAGAAAGGCCTTTCTCTATGTTGCGCAGAGTTAAATCGTGGCTAAGATCTTCAATGGTTGAAGATCGCCTAACCGGACTGGCACTTCTCCACGTTCATAAAAACGTACCCATTAACGTAAATGACGTAATAACGCGTTTCGGGAGAAGACGTAAAAGAGAAATTGATTTTGTTATTTAAATATATGTATTTTGTCTGTTTCTATTTTGGTTGTTGGAAACCCTTGTCGTACCACCTCTTCACTTTTGCGGAGTTTTGCGTCATACCCCTCGACATACCTCTAGCTGTTATGACAAATCATTCACCATGGTTATGGAATATAAATAGGCTGCCTCATTCCGTGCGTGATAGTGCTTCTCTGGATGTCTTCAAGAGAAGATGGCAATATGTACGTGTATGTACACGTTATTATGTGTGAAGTGTTTCAAGTGTACAATAAAGAATAAATATTTTTAAGTACAGTGCTTACGTACATTAATAAAATACCTTCTTTTTACTTGTATCTATTGTTATCAAAATTAAATTATAAGTTCTTGCCTTGACCACGACTATGTGACCCTCTCCTGGCGCCAAAGCTGGATCCGCCCTTGATCGAAGGATTCTTTTTAAGTAGCTTTATACCGTACCGAGCGATGATTTGAAGCAAACTGAGGCATTGTATTAAAACGAATGAGCATAAACAAAATTTGAAAATCATTTAAGTATCATCAGCAAAAAATATTATATTATGGTTATTCAAGGTAACACCAAATCCAAAAAGAACTTTTGACTTCTCAGTATGAGGTGTTCGACTCCCAATGTTTATTTATAAATACTAATAAGACATGCCTGGTGAGGGTCTCCCTATCGTTGTGGCCGCGGAAGGGCGAGTGTCCGCTGAGCAGGATGTAGGTGATGATGCCCACGCTCCACATGTCCGCGGCGAAGCCGACGCCGTGTCCTCCGGCCAGCTCGGGCGCCACGTACTCCGGCATGCCGTAGTCCAGGGACGCCAGCTTGTTCTGCGAGATGCGCCGCGACAGCCCGAAGTCGCACAGCTTCAGCTCGTCGCTACCCGCGTGCGAGAGCAACAGTTCACCGATCTGAAAGTCATTTATTTATTTATTTTTTATTGCATTCCCTTTTACAAAAGAATACAGAGCGCGGACTTAATGTCATGAAACATCCTCTACCAATCAACCTATGGAGTGGTGTGATTTTGACATAGGTGTAGCAATATATAGTAAAAATAAAAAAGATAAATAAACCATACGAATATGAGATATACATACACACACACACACACACACACACACACACACACACATATATATGCATATATAGCGAGTGATTTAATATAATATTTACTGCTAAAGCACTGTTTAAACAGTCGCAAATCGTTTAAAAACTAAGTCACAGTAGAAATCGATAGAAGCAGACAAATGTTATATGACCTTTACAATGAAAGATCATATAATCATAGTGTTACATTTTGGGAATATCCAAAAATATTCCAAAATATTTAAAAGTATGCTTCACAGCCAAGTATTAATGCTTACCGTGAGTCCGAGATGTGCGACGCTGTTGTCGTGCATGTACTTAAGTCCACGCAGCAACTGCCGTATATAACCTGCTATCTCCCTCTCTGTGTAACCCTGGCTCCTGGAAACAAGCAATATATTGTAGAATTAGTATAATAATAACCTGGTTTTGAGCATAAAGATCTAGTAAAAAAATTAAAGATACAGCATATATACGTCCCACAGCTGGGCAAAGGCTCTCTCTCATTTCTGAGAGGGTAATAGAGCAAATAACACCACGCGCTGCGTGTTGGCGTACCTCACATGTCCTTCTTGACAAGCGCGGGAACTATGGCAAATATCCCTCTTATATGGATAATCGAATTGAATGATCTTTCGAACCAGGCTTTATGTTAAATTTACTATAAAAAAGCAGTTAACTTGCAAGGCATTCTAAGACAATTATTACCGTCGGCAATACGGTCTACTGTGGTTACCGCTATTGCTGTTATTCACCGCTAAGCTTTACACTTGCAATAAATTGAAAAGTTGCTTAGCTGTGAGTGTCGTCACTTTCTTTTGACTCAGATTTGAAAATAATTAGTTTATAGTTATGGTTTTCTAAGACACAATTTATTAATATGGGTCATAACTGCTTGGTCCCTCGAGCCAGATTTTTTAATTACATTAAAGTGACAAACAAACTTACAGTAGACCAAGTGGTAAGTGGCTATTGCAGGACTTCAAATAAAGAAGGCTACATATGCGTTGTCACCTCTGAGGACTAAGATGTAATGCCTCACAGCCTGAATTCATACAGGCTCTATACCCTTCACACCGGAACACAGATCATAAGCTTGGTAGCTGAAATAGATTACAGGGTAGTACATAATTAGGCGATCGATCAGGCAGAAAATGAGTCCTACCACTTAACGTCAGTTTTTTTTTTTAATAATATAAGGTTGTCAAATAAACACACAGTCCACTTGATGGTAAGTAGATGCTGCGGCCTATAGACATCTACATTTATCCTCGATTAAGAGAATCAAAATGCAGACGAGTTGTCAACCGTGAAATCTAAGATAAAATGCCTCGTTCCCAGTAAAAAGGGTCGCCGGTTCTCTATACTCACCATACGAAACACAGCGGCATTAAGTTGTCATTTTACGCTGGTATTCTGTTAGTGTGTGGTCACGTTTAAGCCGACCCATTCGTGCTACAATCATAATATAGTTGCAGCGTCGCTATATCTTGTATATTAATATAGTTTTAAGTTAAGCATATGGTCCTTTGAGAGTTGAGACATATTTCTTATAAATCTTTAACGAACCTAAGCAGTCGATCGCGGACCAGTTCCCCACCAGCAGCCAGTTCGAGCACCAGCGCGAGAGTGTGCTCATGCTCGTAGGCGTCGTACAGGCGGATGAGATGCCTGTCGTTAAGCAGATTCAGTATATCCAATTCATTCTTCATGAACGGCTTCAAGGCGGAATGTCCGTGCATTATCTTCGCCGCGTAGTTGCGACCTGGGAAATATGTGAAACGGCCGATTAAAAACAATGTCAAAAAAATGTTCGTTGTTCGAAATACAAAGAACTTTTTATAGATAGTTGAAAAATTACCTCACTTCCTATCATTATAATCACCGTGTAGTGGCGGTGTAAGAATATCCTGTAAGTTGAGTCCGATGAAGCTGTAAGAGCCACATAGGCTAACAGCATTAACATCACGGAATTTAGACTATAGGTGTCCCACGAGACGATAGAGGGAACCATACCCGGAGATAGGGAACAGCGTCTTTCTAATAAGAAATAGAAAATAAAAAACTGCGGTGTCCTAATAAAAACCTGTTGTAAATATCCCCCTACAAGGCAAACTATTAAAGAGGCCTTTGTGCAGCATTAGACTTTTATAATCTAATCTTTAAAATTTCTGTAATGGATGAATACAGTTAAATATAATATATTGAAGACATGTAAAGCACACCGACAAACTAAAGAATAGTGTAACTTCCTCTTCCCTACTCGAAGCTACTTTCAAATATGAGAAGAGGCCTATAACCAGCAGTAGAATGTATAGTCTGTAACTTTTCTTTTATTACTCATCATCATCATCATCATCATTACAGCCCTTCACAAGTCCACTGCTGAACATAGGCCTCCCCTAAAGAATGCCACAAAGCACAGTCCTGAGCCACCTGCATCCATCGACTTCCTGCATATCTTACCAGGTCGTCACTCTATCTAGTGTGGGGACGCCCTACACTTCGCCTGCCGGTACGAGGCTGCCACTCGAGAACCTTTCTTCCCCATCGGTTATCGGTTCTTCGAGCTATATGGCCGGCCCATTGCCACTTCAGCTTACTAATCCGTTGGGCTATGTCGGTCACTCTGGTTCTACTGCGGATATCCTCATTTCTGAGTTTATCACGTAGAGAAACTCCGAGCATAGCCCTCTCCATAGCTCGCTGAGCGACCTTGAGCTTCCTCATTCGGCCAGCAGTGAAGGACCACGTCTCAGTTCCGTATGTCATCACTGGCAACACGCACTGGGTGTACAGTCTCGTTTTCAAGTTTTGAGGTATACCTGACGAGAAGATGTGCCGTAATTTCCCGAACGCTGCCCAACCGAGTTGAATCCGTCGATTGACCTCTCGGTCGAAGTTGGACTTACCTAGTCGGACTATTTGTCCCAGGTAAACATACTCGTCAACAACTTCTAGCTTAGTGTTCATAACAACTACCGGCATAGGTGTGACATGGACATTAAACATGATCTTTGTTTTGTCCATGTTCATCTTAAGACCTATCCGTTGGGAAACACTATTGAGGTATTGAGCATAGTGCTTAGGTCCTCCAGCGATTCTGCCATAAGGACTATATCGTCGGCAAATCGAAGGTGAGTGATGTACTCGCCATTGATGTTGATACCGTATCCTTTCCAGTCCAGAAGCTTGAAAACATCTTCCAATGCAGCGGTAAAGCGTTTCGGGGATATGACGTCACCCTGTCTTACACCTCTCTGCAATTGGATAGGTTTCGTACTCTGGTTCTGTACTCGGATAGCCATCGTAGCCCTACTGTACAAGCACTTCAACACTTCGATATACCGACAGTCAACTTGGCATCGCTGAAGGGACTGCAGCACCGCCCAAATTTCGACGGAATCAAAGGCTTTCTCATAGTCCACATACGCCAGACATAGTGGCAAATTGTATCCCTCGGACTTCTGTACAATTTGCCGAAGGGTATGTATGTGGTCTATGGTGCTAAAGCCTTTTCGGAAACCGGCTTGTTCGGGAGGTTGGAAGTCGTCAAGTCTGCGCGCGAGACGATTCGTAATGACTCTCGAAAACAGCACGTAGACGCGGCTCAGAAGGGAAATCGGTCTGTAGTTCTTCAAGAGAGCGTTGTCGCCTTTCTTGAAGAACAAGACCACCGCACTTCTGCTCCACGCCCCCGGTGTAATGCCACCATGGAGGACGGAATTAAAGAGCTTCTGAAGGACTTCAAGTACCGCTTTTCCCGCTTTCAGAAGCTCCGCTGTAATTCCATCCTCGCTTGGGGCCTTGCCGTTTTTAAGGTGCTGGAGAGCTATTCTAATCTCGCTCAGACTGACGTCCGGAATATCATCGGAATAATGTCGGATAAGACTCGCTCTTGGATCGTTACTCACACTTGCGTGTGGCTCCAACGATGACGTGTACAGCTGCCCATAGAACCTCTCAATCTCACTCAAAACCTCAGGTGCCCCGGAAACGATGCTGCCACATTCGGTCTTCAGCTTTGACAGTTGGCTCTTTCTGGCAGACAGATCTCTGGCAAAGACTTTGGAGCCTTGGTTCCGCTCGATCGATTCTTCAATACGAGCTGTATTGAAGTTGCGTAAGTCCCGCCGCATGCATTTGGAGATCTGTCTGTATGCTGTCAAATCTGTTGAAGAATGTAGCCTCATCTCCCGTCTAACAGCCATGAGATTAAGAGTGTGATCGGAGAGTTTTTGTGTTCTTCTGCGGCGGGTCTTGCAGAACTTAGCTCCGAACGCATGGACAGTTTCCACGAGCTTGTCATTCAAATCGTCCACTTCATTGCAGTCTTCTAGGCACTGAAAACGGTTTTGTAACTCGAGCTGAAAGGTTTCGGGACTTTGGATTAGAGCACGAGGGGGACGGAGCGTTGACTTCATTAGACGAGACCTCTCCAACTTAACGTTTAGGTTCAGTGTGCCTCTAACCATTCGGTGATCGCTGCCGGTTTTCACCCTCGCGATCACTGAGACATCACTGAACAGTTGTCGTCTGGTCGTCATAATGAAGTCAATCTCATTTTTTGTCGAACCGTCGGGGCTCGACTAGGTCCACTTTCCGTGGGGCCGCTTCTGGAAGAAAGAGTTCATCATAAAGAGTCCCTCTTTCTCCATGAAGTCGGCCAGCTGCTGGCCCCTTGGGTTCCGTTGCCCTATTCCAAATTTCCCCACTTTCAGCTCACCGTTTTCTCTTGTGCCTAGTTTTGCATTGAAGTCTCCCATTAACACCGTATATTGGGTTTTGGAGGAATGCATGACTCTAGAGATATCCTCATACATTTCCTCCACCTCCTGATCGGGGTGTGCCGAGGTTGGTGCGTAAACCTGTATGACCTTCAGCGAATACCGTTTGGTGATTCTGAGTATAAGGTACGCAACCCTCGTCGACACACTCTCAATCTTTACAACGTTGTTAACGAGAGACTTGTGAACGATAAATCCGACACCTCTTTGGGACAGATGGTCGCCCTCCCGGTGATAGAGCAACTTGCCGGATTCGAGGATTACCGTGTCCTCCCCCTCTCTTCGGACTTCGGATAATCCTATAATATGCCAGCGTAACTTGTCTATCTCTTCTTCCAGCTCCACAATCTTGTCGTCAGTCCTCAGGGGGCGTGCGTTGTATGTTGCCAGGTCGAGTCGTCGTAGGTGGCAACCGAACCTCCACCGGAGATTCTTAGCACCCCCTGCCCCGCCGTTACCATGGTCGCCACCGTAGCCAGGAATAGCGGGGCCGCCGGAGACTGGGGGCCGTCTCTTCGTAACTTTCATCATGGGGGGTATATTGCCATAGTTGCCACGCTTGGCGAGCGGGTTGGCAACCGCAATTTTTTATTGTATTTTTGCCGTTACCAGGAAGATGCTGCTGCCCATCTCCTGTCTGTTTCCCTTTGTCGCCTTTTACGACACCCACGGGAAGATATGGGGTAGTGGATATTCTTAACCGCCACTACACGGCCACTTTTATTACTGCTACTATATAACGTTACCAGTAAGTCTTTCAGCTGCGTGGTACACAACGCCCTGGACGCCACGGCCCAGTTCGTCGCCGATGTCGTAGAAGTCACCGAACGGCTTCGTGCTCGGCTTCACTCGTGGTGGATGCTCGCGGATTCTGCAAACAGACAAAGACATTAAAATACTTTGTAACTCAACTTCAAGACAAAACTTTTACGTCCTCAAGACATTGTGGTGGGTTTTTTCATCGTTAAATTTATTCACTTTTGTAAAAAGATTAAGACATTTTGTTACTAAGTATTTATTTATTTAAAACATAATAACGCCTTTAGACCGAATTCCGGTTACGGCGTCTCAACTAAGACATCGATAGCCATTTAGAACAGGATTATTGTGCACGAATGTATGCGAAAATACAGGTGTAGTCTCTATTTCCTCGTTCTCAATGTCCGATGGGACTGTATTCCGACATAGGCCGATGAAATATCAGAAGCAGGACTAAGTGCTTATTCACGTTAACTCTAATATATGCAAGTGTTCACGTACAAAACGCAGGTGCGGTGGAAGTAGCGAGCAAGCTGGCGACTATCGCTCGCGGCACGCTCGCGGCAATATCACACGTATGAAGTGGTTTGTGTGTGTTCACGTCGAACTGGAGGCGGAGCGAATGATTGACTCGCGACTTCAGATAAGATCAACAATTTTGAACTTGTCGCTACAAACTATCGAGCATTCAACCTAATGAACTCGCCTCGGATGATTCCCTTCTGCCAGTACTCTTTCTTTATAAATTTCGTGCACACCAATTCTACCTTTTGTCAGCTCCCACTTCAGGTAAGAATTTATGATTAAAAATAAAATCACGTCGTCCGTGTTCACAACCTCTGACAACACGTCATACTCGCGCGAACGCCTGGAAGCCAACGTGGACACGAGCTCAAACGAGCGCGCCGACTGTCACCACCACGCCCGCGTATTCAACGTGAACAAAGACTAACGGCTTTACAGAAGAGAATTTCTTGACAAAAAAACTCAATAACTGATTTTCAATCACTAGACCAATAAGGCAGTCAAATTTGAAAACAGTGTACACATATTTTCACTGGACATTGGTAACTGAAGTCGCAGGGATGGTTAGATTTAATTGTCGCACTTGACAATCTAGTGCTGGCTGTGTAAGAGAATGAATCACCCCATTTAGTCTCGTGGGTGTCGTAACCAGCAACTAAAGGAAACGTTAGAGAGATCATATGGCTTGCGAAATATGGCAGTATAGCCATTTCATTAACTCCAGACGTAAAATGTTTAGACAGGCGACAGGGAATTGTTTAATAAAAAGGAAAAAAAAAGAAATAAGTGCTAAAGTAGCAAAGAGCGCAATCTGGTGATATGATCGCCAGTAAGCCTGCCCAGAGTGACGATTGTGGTAAATCCACCACACAACTCAGATCAACAAGTAACAACAGACAGAACAACTATGTACGTACGCGTACTGACGCACACGTGCACCTAAAACTATGTTGTTGGTTGGAAATTATTTATGATGCATATGTATGCTTGTTCTTAGTACTTGTAGTACTGTAAATGTAATGCCTCATCTACACTACTCGCAAAGTAGATCGAAGTTGGACGAGGCGAATAGTATAGAGAGGTACTTCGATTCGCTTCGTGCAACCGCTTCGCCTCGGGCGACTTCCGATCGCTGTCGGTTTTTTGCGCCAGACTCAAAGGACTTCGGGAAGTACCCCGAAGTTACACGAAACGTCTCACTACACTACTCGCCTTACGCCAGTTATGAATACTTTTTGTTAAATATAAATATTAAATATGTAGCTTTCGTCATAATTATTTATTTAGTTAAAAACACATTAACGTCGTACTGTTCATACAATTAGGTATATAGCAGCTGCCTCTTGAACGTCATTCATGTTAAGGGTGCGGGAGACTAAAGATGACTGAGCTCTTCGCGAAGTAGCACGATTGTGTAGTGACGTTCTTCAGACTGCGATCGACTTCGACGAGCACTTCGTCCAAGTTACTTCGCGAGTGGTGTAGAGGAGGCAGAAGACAAAAACTTTTTTTGACACAGACGATTGTCGCACCCAAAGATATATACTAATTCATAACTTAAAAATACGTAGATTTAATAAATTTGACTTAGATTTAATAAATTTGGCATGCCAAAATATTAATTTAGTGTTCTGTCCATCTTTCTTTCTTGGTATGATTTTTTTTTAAATAGAATAAGGGTGACAAACAAGCACACTGTCCACCTGATGGTAAGTGGGTGTTGTGGCCCATAGACATCTACATCTATATTCAATTAAAAATTAAAATGCAGATGCGTTGTCACCCTTGAGAAATAAGATGGAATGCCTCGTTTCCATTAAGATTCCCCGGTTCTCTACACTCACCATACCAAACACAATCACCGTATAAAGCTGTTCTTTTACGCTGGTATACTGTGAAAGCGTGATCGTACAGCGTGGCTCTACCACCTATAATACCGAGCCCTACAATGTCCAGCAGTGAACTTCTACAAGCTGATGAAGGAAGAGGAGAAGAAATAATCACTCAATAGTCAAGCAGATCAATTAATGGTACGAACCTGGTGGAGTACTCGTGTTCGCTCTCTTCGACATGCAACATGGCTGAGGAGCTAACTGAGCCCGCAACATTTCGCGCCGAAATCGAATAGAGGCCTTCATCTTTCAAGATGACGTCGTGTATCACCAAGATGACCGTGTCCGGCTCAAGGAATTGCATCTGTAATTCATAAAGTTTTAAGTATTTAAGACTTTTTTGTTATTGAAGTGAAAACTTCTTTAAAATCGTTGTTGCCAGACTTGAAACTCTATGAAACGAAAAAGCGACACTAAAAAGAGACAAACATACACATCTATGGGATTTAGCCTGCGAGAGAATGAGATAGAATATATTAAACGAGATATAAAAAGTTTTTAGGCCATCTAGCGTCTATTTTACGTACCACCTTGAGAGTAAATCAATATTTGCCCGATAAAATGTTTTCACTTATAAAATTAAGTAGAAGGCGCTATTATTACAAAGTAATTTTTCTCGAAAGAAAAAATAATCTTTTAATTTATTACACTAAAATTTATGCTCTACGTGTTTAAAAATAAGGATTGTATTATTTATTTGCTATAAAAATAAACTTTATCTTATAATTTACGCCGCACTTGTGGTTGAAAATTATCAAATTAAATAAACAATTTGCCGTGAATTTTATATTACGTATATTTTATATTTCAAGTGAAGTGAAGGATTCACTACTACCGCGTATGAACTGCATATGTGTTTTTTTAATAATTAAATTTGTTGTACATTCAAATATTCGCAAATTGAAATATTCGAAATATTGCCGTGTAGTGGCGGTTAAGAATATCCACTACCCCATATCTTCCCGTGGGTGTCGTAAAAGGCGACAAAGGGAAACAGGCAGGAGATGGGCAGCAGCATCTTCCTGATAATAGCCAAAATAACAATAAAAAAACTGCGGTTGCCAACCCGCTCGCCAAGCGTGGCAACTATGGCAATATACCCCCCATGAGCAATGACAATAATAAATGGCCCCCAGTCCCCGGCGGCCCCGCTATTCCTGGCTACGGTGGCGACCATGGTAACGGCGGGGCAGGGGGTGCTAAGAATCGCCGGTGGAGGTTCGGTTGCCACCTACGACGACTCGACCTGGCAACATACAACGCACGCACCCTGAGGACTGACGAGAAGATTGTGGAGCTGGAAGAAGAGATAGACAAGTTACGCTGGCATATTATAGGATTATCCGAAGTCCGAAGAGAGGGGGAGGACACGGTAATCCTCGAATCCGGCAACTTGCTCTATTACCGGGAGGGCGACCATCTGTCCCAAGGAGGTGTCGGATTTATCGTCCACAAGTCTCTCGTTAACAACGTTGTAAAGATTGAGAGTGTGTCGACGAGGGTTGCGTACCTTATACTCAGAATCACCAAACGGTATTCGCTGAAGGTCATACAGGTTTACGCACCAACCTCGGCACACCCCGATCAGGAGGTGGAGGAAATGTATGAGGATATCTCTAGAGCCATGCATTCCTCCGAAACCCAATATACGGTGTTAATGGGAGACTTCAATGCAAAACTAGGCACAAGAGAGAACGGTGAGCTGAAAGTAGGGAAATTTGGAATAGGGCAACGGAACCCAAGGGGCCAGCAGTTGGCTGACTTCATGGAGAAAGAGGGACTCTTTATGATGAACACTTTCTTCCAGAAGCGGCCCCACAGGAAGTGGACCTGGTCGAGCCCCGACGGTTCGACAAAAAATGAGATTGACTTCATTATGACGACCAAACGACAACTGTTCAGTGATGTCTCAGTGATCGCGAGGGTGAAAACCGGCAGCGATCACCGAATGGTTAGAGGCACACTGAACCTAAACGTTAAGTTGGAGAGGTCTCGTCTAATGAAGTCAACGCTCTGTCCCCCTCGTGCTCTAATCCAAAGTTCCGAAACCTTTCAGCTCGAGTTACAAAACCGTTTTCAGTGCCTAGAAGACTGCAATGAAGTGGACGATTTGAATGACAAACTCGTGGAAACTGTCCATGCGGTCGGAGCTAAGTTCTGCAAGACCCGCCGCAGAAGAACACAAAAACTCTCCGATCAAACTCTTAATCTCATGGCTGTTAGACGGGAGATGAAGCTACATTCTTCAACAGATTTGACAGCATACAGGCAACTGAACAGACAGATCTCCAAATGCATGCGGCGGGACTTACGCAACTTCAATACAGCTCGTATTGAAGAAGCGATCGAGCGGAACCAAGGCTCCAAAGTCTTTGCCAGAGATCTGTCTGCCAGAAAGCGCCAACTGTCAAAGCTGAAGACAGAATGTGGCAGCATCGTTTCCGGGGCACCTGAGATTTTGAGTGAGATTGAGAGGTTCTATGGGCAGCTGTACACGTCATCGTTGGAGCCGCACGCAAGTGTGAGTAACGATCCAAGAGCGAGTCTTATCCGACATTATTCCGATGATATCCCGGACGTCAGTCTGAGCGAGATTAGAATGGCTCTCCAGCACCTTAAAACCGGCAAGGCACCAGGCGAGGATGGAATTACAGCGGAGCTTCTGAAAGCGGGTGGAAAACCGGTACTTGAAGTCCTTCAGAAGCTCTTTAATTCCGTCTTCCATGGTGGTATTACACCGGAGGCGTGGAGCAGAAGTGCGGTGGTCTTGTTCTTCAAGAAAGGTGACAACGCTCTCTTGAAGAACTACAGACCGATTTCCCTTCTGAGCCGCGTCTACGTGCTGTTTTCGAGAGTCATTACGAATCGTCTCGCGCGCAGACTTGACGACTTCCAGCCTCCCGAACAAGCCGGTTTCCGAAAAGGCTTTAGCACCATAGACCACATACATACCCTTCGGCAAATTGTACAGAAGTCCGAGGAGTACAATTTGCCACTATGTCTGGCGTATGTGGACTATGAGAAAGCCTTTGATTCCGTCGAAATTTGGGCGGTGCTGCAGTCCCTTCAGCGATGCCAAGTTGACTGTCGGTACATCGAAGTGTTGAAGTGCTTGTACAGTAGGGCTACGATGGCTATCCGAGTACAGAACCAGAGTACGAAACCTATCCAATTGCAGAGAGGTGTAAGACAGGGTGACGTCATATCCCCGAAACTCTTTACCGCTGCATTGGAAGATGTTTTCAAGCTTCTGGACTGGAAAGGATACGGTATCAACATCAATGGCGAGTACATCACTCACCTTCGATTTGCCGACGATATAGTCCTTATGGCAGAATCGCTGGAGGACCTAAGCACTATGCTCAATGACCTCAATAGTGTTTCACAACGGATAGGTCTTAAGATGAACATGGACAAAACAAAGATCATGTTTAATGTCCATGTCACACCTATGCCGGTAGTTGTTGGGAACACTAAGCTCGAAGTTGTTGACGAGTATGTTTACCTGGGACAAATAGTCCGACTAGGTAAGTCCAACTTCGACCGAGAGGTCAATCGACGGATTCAACTCGGTTGGGCAGCGTTCGGGAAATTACGGCACATCTTCTCGTCAGGTATACCTCAAAACTTGAAAACGAGACTGTACACCCAGTGCGTGTTGCCAGTGATGACATACGGAACTGAGACGTGGTCCTTCACTGCTGGCCGAATGAGGAAGCTCAAGGTCGCTCAGCGAGCTATGGAGAGGGCTATGCTCGGAGTTTCTCTGCGTGATAAACTCAGAAATGAGGATATCCGCAGTAGAACTAGAGTGACCGTCATAGCCCAACGGATTAGTAAGCTGAAGTGGCAATGGGCCGGCCATATAGCTCGAAGAACCGACAACCGATGGGGAAGAAAGGTTCTCGAGTGGCACCCTCGTACCGGCAGGCGAAGTGTAGGGCGTCCCCCCACTAGATGGAGTGACGACCTGGTAAGATATGCAGGAAGTCGATGGATGCAGGTGGCTCAGGACCGTGCTTTGTGGCATTCTTTGGGGGAGGCCTATGTTCAGCAGTGGACTTGTGAAGGGCTGTAATGATGATTATGATGAAATATTCGCATATATGCATCTAATAATGCCTGGACAATCGTCGTGCAGTGGCGGCGTAAGGATATCCACTACCCCATATCGTTCTGTGGGTGTCGTGAGAACCGACAGAGGGAAATTAAACAGGAGATGGGCAGCAGGATCTATTAATCACTAATCATAATAAAAAAACTACAGTTTCCAACCCATCTAACAATCGTGGCAACTACGGCTCAATATCTCTATAAGGCAACCAATGGTATATGTCTAAATTCCTGTTGTGAACTTTTTATAGTCTAAATGAATTGTAATATTAACTTTATTGCTTAAAACATAACTTAAAAGATTATTATTAGATATTGTTACGAGCTTGGGTACGAGACAATGAAAACTGCCGAGTGAATTATCAAAATTGACACTTTAATTACAGAACACTAATTACAACTCAAAACCACACTAATAATAAAACACAATTGTACTACTGATCACTTTAGTTCGCAGTTGTATCTTATCGCTTCGAAGTATTCGCTTGTATCGCCAATTCAATACTGCCTCGGTCGCGGTCTATACCGGCCTTATATAAGGCCTCAGTTTCCAGACCCTTCTAGTATAGAAACTTCTAGAATGTTCGTGTACATATCGGTCCCGATTGACTAGGTGTCGATAGTTCTAGAAAGTTCTTTCGTGGAAATTTCTAGAAGAATCTTGACTCTTCTAATTTGCTACTCGATACTAGAGGGCACTAGTGGTAATTAGTGTTGCCATGTACCTTCCATTAATTGTGGTGCGCAACAATGTATTAAACTATTTGAGTCTTCAAAAGACGGTATTAAAATGTACTCACCTTTATTCTACTACTGGGTGCAAGTGGCTGCCAGTCCTTATACCACTTGATATCGGGGAACGGTACTCCAGTGACCCTGGCCTCGATCCTCGCGGTCCTCCTCTGCAGCGCCACGGTCTCCTCAGGCCTGGTGATGAACCTCGGGTACTCCGCCAGCTCCAGTCTCACTCGTTGCCGAGCTTGCCCGTGCTCGTTGGTGGCCACGGCCTCGTACCAGCCCACGTCACGCTCCAACATCCTGTATAAAGTTACTAATACTCAACCAAATCTAAGAAATACTTTTTGACGTTTCACATTAATAATTCCGCAATAACTTTGTACAAGCGTACTCACACGTTTTAAAATAACCTTTTATATACCATAGAATTATGAAATGATCTTTATTTGATTACAGCATGTATAGTTCTTAATCACTATATACTATATAGTTAAAGTTACGGAAAATGGTAAGAATTCTTAAATTAAAAATAAATAAATAGTTTAACCAACATTTTGAAAAAGAAAGGAGCGATCTTTATTTTCCATCAAAAATAACGAAATGGTTAAAAAATATAATATAAATAGTGTTGTCCCCGTATTTTCTCACTCAATAGACTAATTCATGGACCGGAAAAGAAATTATTAAATTAGAAAGTACAACCATTACAAAATATACTCACTTGTTAATGAACAACGTCGCTTGTCCGTTGCGGGTGTAGCTCCAATCATATCTGCCTCCGATCTCGATAGGCTCATCATTGAAGAAGTACGTCATCTTCGGCTTAGGGTACCCGTACACGAACCAGAACAAATTGGCATTATGGCCTTTGATTCCATACTGGGAATCGTGTTCCTGTCTAAGGAATTGAGGCGCTTGAGCGTATCCATCGTGGGGAGGTCGCTCGATATCGAAATCCTTCGGGAAGTAGGGCGAAGTCTCCGGACGGAAATCGATGCCGGGCTCCAAATAGGGGACGAATTTTGGCGGTTCGGGCTCCAAACGGGAGCGATGTGTGATGGCGTAGGGTGAAGGCTCGCTCACTCCGTATTTGTTCTCGACTCGGACGCGGAACTTGTAGTCCCTGAAGGGTTCCAGGTTCCGGATGTCGCAGACGCAAGACCTCAGGCCGGTGCGCGCCGTGAACCAGTCGCCGTCTGGCATCTCGCACATCTCAACCTGTAACAAGTTATTGTTTACAATCGTGGTGGCAACATATTCCGTCACCTCTTGTCGTCTCGTGGGTGTTGAACGAGACTGTGAAAAAGTGTGTGACTATGAAAAATCTAATGGCTTGCAATCACTGGAAAACAAACAAACACAAACAAACAAACAAAAATCTGAGGACAAAGATTGAATGCCTCACAACCCCCTGAGCTTAAGTAATTTCAGTCATTTATTTGCATGATTTATTTATTTATTTAAGCTTTTATTTCCCAAAAAAGAATTACATAAAATTAAATATTCAACAAAATTTAATTTATATTTACAAAAATAATCATGCTTCAAAGAAAACTTCAACAAACATTTAGATATAAAATTTGCCAGAATTTAGAATAAATTTTATAAATTATTATGCTCAATAAATCGTTCTATAATATCATTAAAATCAAATATCAATTAATTTGCATGATACTAAGACATAAATAAACATTAAATATAAAATATAATATAATCATCGATCGTATCGACTACACAACAATTTTCATTTTTGTAATTGGGTTTGTAATTAGTGGTAAACTTGAAAACGAGATGAAGTCTGTGGATGCAGGTGACTCAGACACGTGCTTTGTGGCATTATTTGGGGGAGGCATATGTTCAGCAGTAGACTTGTGAAGGGCTGTGACGGCATTGAAATGGGTTTAACTTAATACTACACAAATTTTTCAATAGGTTTGTTTGTAAATCGAAGTTACCTGGTAAGTGACCGGGAACCTGGGCCCGTGGGGGATGGAGGGCCGCCATGAGAGCGTGAGGTGGCGGTCGGCCATGCGCGAGATGATGGGCTTGTCGCCCAGCGGCATCGGCACGCCCGTCTTCTTCATCTTGTCGAACTCCGAGTACTGCTCCGAGATCGGCCGCTTGCTACACACCGGCTCCAGAGCTAAATACAACATTACACAGATAAGGCCAAGTTGGATGTAAAATCGTACTTTAGACACGATTTTTATCGCTTGAGACTTGATAATTCTTGAGATTGTATATAGTGGAAAAATGTTGTTGTATATGTAGGTATACATAATTTGGATATAGATTTAAATATGTAACAGTGATTTTGGAAGAAATTGTGGTGCCATTTGCTCCCGTTATAGGAAATGATTGGTTTTTATGCATGATAATGCAGACCCCATACTGCGCCCGTAGCTGTTGAATACCTCCGAGACATTGAAATCAATGCAATGGGATAGTCAGCGCGCTCCCCCGACATTAGAATGTGCTTCCGCGCAACCCATGTATTAGATACGATTGGAAGACAAATCAAAAAGAGAAATCCTACCTCCGCTAATTTGAGAATTTTTAAAAACATCATTACAGAAAGGATGGAACGCAATCTTTTAAGATTTTATTGATAACTGGATTAGGAGTATACCAAGAAGACTAGAAGCAGTTCAAAAAGCTAGACAGGGCAACATTAAGTACTGATTATAGCCCACATTATAGTCTTTCCTTCCCATTAATAGCGAAAATTAATAAAATTTAAGTTAAGTACAAAAATGTTTCTTTCCTGTAAAATTTTACTTTTCATTCTATATTTGGTTAATCTTTGTCATTTGATAGTTTGTTTTTTCGATATTTGTAATTTTAATTTAAAAACATAAGCAAAATTCAAATTTATAAACTTAGGTAATTGTCACAAACGTTGCGCACCACTATTAACATCTTGTACATTGCAACACTAGTTACCATTAGCGCCCTCTAGTATCGAGTAGCAGAACAAGGAGAGTCAAGATCCTTCTAGAAATTTTGGGACCGATATGTACTCGAACATACTAGATGTTTCTACAGTAGAAGTTTTTGGAAACTATCTGAGGCCCTATATAAAGCCGGTATATACCACGACGGAGTCAGTATTGAATTGACGATACAAGAGAATACTTCGAAGTGAAATAACTGCGAACTAAAGTGATCAGTAGTACAATTGTGTTTTATTATTAGCGTGGTTTTAAATTTTAATCAGTGTTCTGTAATTAAGTGTCAATTTTGGTAATTCACTCGGCAGTTTTTAATTGTCTCGAACCCCAAGCTCGTAACACAAATATCCATGATAGTTTATTTTATATACACTTTGATTTCCTTTCATTCCTCTAAATTTGTCCATGAGTACATATTGTTATACTTGTTGTTATACTCACTGTCGTAGGTAAGCTGTGCGGAGCAGGAGTCCTCGCCGTGTGGGTTGAATATCCTACAGCGGTACGTGCCCACGTCGCTCTGGTCCACGCCACTGATGGTGAGTCGCAGCAAACCGGTCGTCTCCTTGTCCATGCGAATGCGTTCGCAGGGGAACAGCTTCTCGTCGTTACGGAACCTGGGGAAACGACTCATCTCCAAATAAATAAATAATGAATCTAGTTGAGTCTAAGGAGAAAATGTTTAGTCCATTCAAAAGGGTCAAAAAATTAGGCTTTAATCAGAAAGGTTTAAAAAAAAAAACAGTTTACGCAAAAAAAACCTTTAAAAGTCAAGTTAAATATTTGATTTTGATTTTGACTATGTCTTGGCACCGATTTATGAAGCTATTATACGGGTATTATTTTGTTTTTTGAAGTCAGATTGGGAAGCAAGAAAGAAAGAACATATTTATTTATTGCCGAAATTTTACAAAACGGAGAAACCAGTTAACAAATTTTTTGAAAGAAAAAAGGACTGCAGCAATAAAAAGCAGCAACATATGTATCGTCTACATCCAAAATATAATCACATCACTCGATAGCTAAAGGATCGAAGAATTCGTTACGTTGTATGAGGAATGTGATGTATCGCGTGGCGAATGATGAAAAGGGGTGGAGGGGGAACACCTCCATTTTGAGGTAGTTTCGTTACGTACGTATTCACGTAAAATATACTTTCGTGTAGACATACAACCAGAACCTGATTTTATAAATAGCATAAAAAAAGTGATGTATATATGCATACCATTCGACATCGGGATCGGGGGAGCCGGTGGCGCAGGCGGTGAACTTGGCGGGCATGCCGCGCACCACGTCCGCGTCGCCGATCTTCTTCAGGAACGATGGCGGCTCCGCGCGCTGCTGCCGCCCTCTGCAACCAATGTCACCGTTATACTTCATGTATTGCGTATATACGGCAAACATTGTGTGGTGCCGGACTAGACTCAAGAAGTTGGTGGTGTTTCACTACCATCCCTTGGAAAACATATTAATCCGTTGGTCCTGCGCCTAATCTCTTTTCGGTCCGTCGGATTACCGTCCCATCGGACTATGAGTGTGAGGGAATAGAGAGTGCACCTGTGCTTGCGCACTATAATTGTGTTGTGTTGTGCACTATAATTCTGTCCTGTGTAGACGGCTAGTCTCTGATAAGGGCTGCCGAGACCGAAATTCGGTTTGGAGGTCATAATATTATGAATGTGCGTGTGCGTCTAAGTGTGCGTGTGCACATGTGTGAGGTTATTTCAATTATAAGTTTTAATTAACATCTATTGTGCATTTAAAATGAAAACCGACTTATAATTGCTTCAAATAGAAAAATGATAGCAAGTATAACGCAATTCTGTATTATAATAGTATAATTATTTATAAACCGTGTAGTAGCGGTGCTAAATTACTCTCTAGGCCATATCGTAGGGTTTCGTAAAAGCCAACAAAAGAAAACAAACCGCATTATCGTCTTAATAAAAAATAAAATTACAATTGCCAACTCGCGTGACAAACCTGCTAACTATAGCAATGTCCTATCGGCAAAGACCATTATTCAGGCCAAGCAACTTTTGATAAACAGCTTAGTATTAGTTTGAAAGACAATATTGTGACAATGTTGCTCCAGTGATTGATAGGTAGAAAAAATGAACGAGGAAGGAGTAATAAAACAAAATTGAGTTACAGAAGTGAGTGGCAAAGTCGGCAAAGGTCGCAAAAGTGGACGTTTATCGACCATATTGGCGATATATTGAAGAGGTGCCGAATTAAGAGTACTCTTAACTGAAGAGCATGTATATAATATATAAACATTGTTATTTATACATTGATTTTAATTGTAATTAATGAATTATATTCTATGACCTTAAGACTATTAATATACTCGATGACTTCCAGCCTCCGGAACTAGCCGGTTTCCGAAAGGGATTTAGTACCATATACCTCAACCACACCCTCCGGCAAATTGTACAGAAGAATGACAATCATGATTGATTGCCGTTGATTGTCGATATATAGAAGTGTTGAAGTGTTTGTACCGTAGGGCTATTCGAGTACTGAACCAGAGTACGAAACCTATTCAACTGCAGAGAGGTGTAAGACAGGGAGACGTTATATCGCCGAAACTCTTTACCGCTGTATTGGAAGACGTTTACAAGTCCACTAGGACTAGAAAGGATACGGTATTTACGTCAATGGCGAGTACATTACTCACTTTCGTATCGTCGGCGACGATATAGTCCCTATGGCAGAATCGCTGGAGGGCCTAAGCACTATGCTCAATGACCTCAATAGTGCCTTCCAACGGATAGGTTTTAAGATGAACAATACTAAACAAAGATCATGTATAACGTCGATGTCAAATTTTTGTCACACTTTTCTTTGCATTTTCTTTCGCATTTACCACGGGGAGTGCTCTGAGGAATTGTTCGGATTAATCCCAGCCGCCAAATTTTATGAACGCACATCGCGGTAGAATTATCGATACCATCCACACCATCTGGATGATTAGCGGTCCACCACTGTGCGATTTAGAAGATGTTTTCTTCCTCACACAAATTTCTTGTGGAATAGTTTACCACCAGCGATTTTTCCGGACCAATACGACTAAGGTACCTTCAAGAAAAAAGCCTACTCCTTTTTAAAATGCCGGCAACGTATCTATAATACCCCTGGTTCCCCTGGAGTTGAAGTTGTTCATGGGCTGCGGTAGTCACTTACCATCAGGTGAGCCGCATGCTCGTTTGGCCCCTCTCTTATAAAAAATGCCGGTAGTTGTTGGGAGCACTAACCTCGTTGTTGATGAGTGTGGTAATCTGGGATATATAATCCGACTAGGTAAGTCTAACTTCGACCGAGAGGTCAATCGACGGATTCAACTCGGCTGGACAGCTTTCGGTAAATTACGACAGATCTTCTTATCAGGTATACCTCAAAACTTGAAAACGAAATTGTACAACCAGTGCGTGTTACCAGTGATGATTCATAGAACTGAGACGTTGTCATTCACTGCTGGTCGGATGAGGACGTTCAAGGTCGCCCAGCGAGCTGTGGAGAGGGCTATGCTTGGGCGTTTCTTTGCGTGATAAACTTAGGAAGAGGATATCCGCAGTAGAACCAGAGTGACCGACATAGCCCAACGGATTAGTAAGCTGAAGTGGCAATGGGCCGGTCATATAGCTCGGAGAACCGACAGCCGGTGGGAAAAAAAGGTTCTCGAGTGGCGGCCTCGTACCGGTAGGCGAAGTGTAGGGCGACCTCCCACTAAATGCGAGTGACGACCTCGTAAGACATGCAGGAAGTCGATGGATGCAAGTGGCTCAGAACCGTGCTTTGTGGGATAACTTGGAGGAGACCTATGTTCAGCAGTGGACTTGTGAAATGCTATAATGATGATAATGATGATGAAGACTATTTATAAGAAAAACAAACTCACATTTTCTCCACCACCTCGAGGGTCGCTTCACAGGTTGCTTCACCTTCTTTATTCTTTGCAAAACATTTGTAACTGCCTGCGTCTTCTGGCTTGAGGTCCCTTACGTAAAGACAGCACGCTTCACCGTCTCGCTTGATCCCGTACTTGTCGGACGGTGACAGTGGCTGTCCGTTCTTGAACCAAGATACCTCGGGAGTAGGCTTGCCATGAACGCGCGCGGAGAACTTCGCATCTAATGATGGAAGCTGAGGAAGAAACACAAGCGTTATACGTGATAGAACCACATGGCAGCTATATTATGATTGTAGCATGATTGAGTCAGTGCGACCGGGGGCGGTTTACGTTTACACAGAATATCAGCGTGAAACAGCAGAATAATGCTGCTGTGTTTCGTATGGTGAGTGTAGAGAACCGGAGACTATTTATTGGTAACGAGGCATTTCAGGGTTGACATTTTGATTCTGAATCGAGGACAGACGTAATCTATGGGCCACAGTATTTACTTATCATCAGGTGGACTGTGTGCTCGTTTGTCACCCTTACACAACAAAAAAAGTTGTGGATCATTGATAACAGATAGCTCCACCAGCGCTGTTCGACAGTTTCTTTTGTAAAAAATTAGTCAGCTGATGCTGCCATTCTCACCTGCTGCAAGTCAGTGAACTTCTGGGAGAAGGTGGGCGGCTGGTAGATCTTGCGTACGTTCACCTTGGCCTCACTGCTGTCTTCACCCAGTGGGTTCGACAACTTCACTGAGTACACGCCTGCGTCGGCTAGCTCCACTGGATTGATTTCCAGACCAACCTGCAAAAAATATAGTAGTATGCGAATCACTCACATAACAAAGATTTGTTGTTGACACGTATATGAAAAATTGCATTGCCACGTTGCAGCTATATTTTGGGTGTAGCTCGATCAGGGAAGAATATCAGCGTTAAACAGCAGAATAGTGCTGTATTTCATATGGTGGGTGTAGAGAACCGGAGACTTTTTAAATGGTAACTTTCACGTGAATTCCATCTTAACCAACAGGAGTGACAATGCATCTGTATTTAGATTCTTATTCGAAGATAGATGTAAATATCTCATATGTCACTCGTGTGCTCTTATGTCACTTTTATTCTATAAAAAAAGATAAACCCGAAAGACAACAGTTTGTCTTTCGGGTGATATGAATTGTGAGAATAATGTGCGTATAGGCACTTCCTTTACCATGGCGGTGTAAGAATATCCACTGCTCCATATCATCCCGTGGGTGTCGTAAGAGGCGATAGATGAAACAAATCAGGAGATGGGCAGCAGCGTCTTCCTAATAACGACTAAAAATAAAAAACTGCGGTTACCAACCTTCTTGCCAAGCGTGGCAAATATCTCCCCTATGAGGCAATCTATGGGGCGGCCTATGTTTAGTAGTGTATTTTCCCAGTGAATATATTGCACGATAATATTTTATTTTATTTATCATCATATATATATATATCAGTACAGCCTACTTATTGAATATAGGTCTCCCTCATTGATTTTTTAATTGGGATATTTCGCCTAAGATGTTGCAGAGATAATAAAAGCTGAACATAATGTCCAAAACTATACAAAAAAAATAGGTCTATGTTTTATAAGAATTTTTTTACGTGGTAGAACGTATGATAAGGTGCTTTAGCCATATTATGGTTATAGTACGAATGAGTCGGCTCGACTGGGGAAGGAGGACAATTTCACTGATGTAGCTGCTTAATGTTGCTGTGTTCCGTATGGAGAATGTAATGAGAAATTCCATCTATCTCTTTTACAATTTTCTTCTCTACTTAAATTTTTTGTTTTATATAGCTGCAGCGCGGCTCTACAAGTAAATTGTAAATACTATTATTTATATTATTATGTTGTGTGTATCATCATTGTTTTTCCTACCGGTAACGAGTTTGTTATAGAGAAAGGGTTGCAAGCGAGCACACAGTCCAATTGACCATAGACTCTCCATAGAGTTTTACATTTATTCTGATTTAAGAATAAAAATGCTGATGCGTTGTCAACCCTGATGACTAAGATGGAATGTCTCGTCTCGTCTCGTCTCGTCGGTAAAAAAGGTCTCCGGTTCCCTACACTCATCATACGAAACACAGTACCATTAAGCTGATATTTTACTGTGGTTTTTTGTGAGAGCGTGGTCCATTGTATGATAATTTATATTGCTGACCCGCTTGCCGTCGCAGGAGAGCTGCAGGCGCTCGCTGGGCAGCAGCGGGCGGCCGTCCTTGGTCCAGAGCACGTCGGGCGCCGGGTTGCCGGCCAGCGCCGCGCTCAGCTCCAGCGCCTGGCCTTCATCGGCAGTGGTCTCCCGCAGGCCGTGGACAAAGCGGGGCCTCTCTTCTGGAGACGAGTCGTCCGTGCGACCTGGTTTCGCAAAAGTATTATATTAATTACAAACATACTCTTATATAAAAGCGAAATACCACTGATTCATTCACCTCATCACGAGTCCTCCAAAACTATACGCCACATTGCTTTGCGATTTGACGTATATACTTTTTTCTCGAAGTATACCAGACGTAGACACCTACTAAGAGAGCATTTTGGAAAATTTAGCCCCTGCGGGTATGAAAGAGGGTGTACTTTACAAAGTTATTTCGAAATATACGCCCAAATTTGCAGAAAAGATTCAGAATAATTAATACATGGGCGAATGGTAAAAAAAAATTTTAAAATAAAAATTCAAAATATCTGCCCTCTTTAACTTTATTTATTTATTTATTTTGGTACATAAAACAGAATAACATTAAAACATGTACAATTGAACATAATAAATGCAAAGTTACAATCTGGATGGTATTCCAAAACATGTGCACACAACATGATACTAGGTAACGAGTTTACAGCGCAAATACCTTACCTTTCTTATAAACGTACATGTATACTTACAAACCTATATTGTGGAAAATTTTGAAAAAGTAAATCTTTATTAAAATAATGTTCATTAACCTATATATTTAAATTTAATTTTTAAGCCTTGAATGCCTTATTCACAAAGTAAATCTAATACGGATTTTTTCAAATTGTTTACTTTGTTATTAAATACGTCGATATTTTTTTTTACTATAAATTCAAAATACGTGGTAATGTTAATTATTTTAACTGATTGTTATTCATAAATATGTAACGCCTACTATTTTATTACGCACGCACACATTCGCAAATTTATTCAATTGTCAAAACGATATGAATTGAATCGCACACCGACGAGCGCGTGTAAGCGTAGTTGTTGCTCATAAATCACATTCAATTTGGAATAATTTTAAATAAAAGTAGAAACCTTATTTACTTGTATTTTTAAAAACTATAATAACGATATATCATTATTTATATATTTCAACTTAAATATAAAATTTGGATAGTCTTTGAGAAATTACTTAAATGTAATATACTATACTAAATATACAAAGTACTACCATGTATTAATAGAAATTTAAAATAACTTAAAGTGATACCCGAGCGGTGGTATCGTAAAGGCTAAACCAACAACATATCATAGATAACTAAATAACAATACGCGAGCTACCTGAATTCAATCAACGCCACCGCAACATTTGCAATTTCAAATGCCAACTTACCAAACCATGAGCTCAGCAATGAAAGAAACTTAATAAACCTTCATGTCTGAGAAATTAACAATTTGAAGGAAATGTGAAGACCGCCAATACGATTAACTAATTGCTCTATAACCTTGTCAGAAATAAAAGAAAACCTATTTCCAGCATGGGACGTATACAGTAGCTTACTATTTGTTCCCTTCATAGTTATATCTTAAAAAAAAAATCGAAAACTGAACAAAAAACATGCAAGGTTATCTATAGAATAGAATGATTTTTATTCAATATTGATTATTACATAATACTTATAATTATAATTTCAATTTTCTAACTGTGAGTCAATTATTCGACAGTAATATTAAAAAAATTCTGTAAAATAAAAAATCGAAATATAATCATAAAAAAAATATCACTCACTGGCAACACTAAGTTCAGCAGAGCAGGAAGTCTCGCCCTTGTCATTGGCAGCAATGACCCCGTACTGTCCAGCATCCGGCCCCTGGACATCGGAGATGAGCAACGCGAACATACCGTCCGGTTGCGTCACTACGCGGATGCGGTTTCCATCCGGAACCACTTCCTGGCCGTTGTGTGTCCTAGAAAATAGTGATTTAATTTTACTGAAACTACGATGGGTTGTGTACAATACTGGCCAGATATTGTGTACAATACTGGCCCGAGGATGATTTTAGGATATAACATTTTAAATTGGCGCCCCGTATGTATTTAGTATAAAATCAGGCATTACAGCATGGATAATCTCGACAACACTAGATTTATAGCTTGCTTTAATAAAATCTAAGAGCAATTGACACCTTTTTTCCCTAAAACCCCTTTAGAAATGGAAGAAGTGTTGGGATGTATATAGGCTGTAATTTTACTTCATATTGGTTACAAAATTGAAAAAGCTGATGTTGAATTAAGTAAAGAAATCAATTAGGTATTCCTACATAATTAACTTAAACCACTACGTTTCCGAAAGCGAAGGAAATCTTATTACAAAATGTAAATAGTTTTTCTCATATAATGGCTATTTCATAATATTATCCAACTTAAGTTATTCACGTACCATAACTCCTGATTTAAATAATAATATTAATGTAATTTTTTCCTAACTCCTTTTTGATCTACATAATATACACATCACATTATTACATACAGTATTACATATTTCATTATAAGTAATAAATCTGGAAAGTTAGGTTTATTGCAGAGATTCTAATCTAATATATGTAGACTTCATATATATGTAAACCCTTACCATTTTATAAGTGGCGGAGGATGACCCAGAACTTTGACTTCCAACTTAGCGGGGAACCCTTCAATCACCTTGATAGGCATTAGCTCGGCGATAAACGCGGGTTTACGCTCCTTCTGGGTGACTTCAACCTTGGCCTTAGATTCGACGTCACCCAATTTGTTTGCGACTGTCAACGAGTATAAGCCAGCATCTTCTGGCTTGCAGCTGTCGATGCTGAGGCCGATCACACCACCAGGTTGATTGATAAAGTTAACTGCTTGGGACGGACGAACGGGCAGACCTGCGTAAAAGTGATCATGATTTAAAACTGAAAGTAAAAAAATATGTGTGTAAAGCTTATTTTAGTTATGATACATTCCGTCTTAGTCTTCAGAGGTATTAACGCACCAGTAGCCGTCTTTATTTGAAGATGGTGGCAGGTGTCCGTGCACTTTCAATTTCTATATCTATAGTACTCTAATGTTATCAAAATTATTTTCACAAAAAAACTTCTACACTTTTCATCCTACATATTTTTTTCTGTCCAACCGTTGTTGTTGTTGTTTTTGGACTGGGAATGAATACTATTTGACATTAAGTACGCCATTTTGTTCGCGGTTGTATGTTAATAAACTTAAATAAACAAATAAATAAAGATAACACACACCTGCTGTCTAATATTTTCTACATTTATTTTACTTTAATAAGCCTATAATTCTTGACTTCAACTCAACTTGGTGATATATGATGATGAAAGTCATATTACAATCGTACTAAAATACAGACGCCGCCAGATTATTCCATTCCTTTGCTGTTTGCATTTACGAAAAAAGAAGCAAACTGTTTGGTTTCTTCTTAAATTGAAGTAGTACCAAAAATGACTACATATAAATAGTATTAACTTTTTTATATTTTCAAAATTTTGCTGTTACTAAAGCAAACATTTGTAAGTAACGGTATTGAAAATTTGTCTCATTACATATCTTGTAGGGTAAGTAAAGTTATTTTTCATACGTTTAATAAACTCGTGAACATTTAAACAATTGTTTAATGTTAATACCTAATGTTAGATTCTAAAATGAAAAATTAGGAATTCCATATTTACCATCCTTGAACCACTTGACTTCAGGAGCGGGGAATGCCATCACACGAGCCTGTAACTTGAGCGGCTGACCAACTACAGTCTTGACATCCTCTAATGGCTCACTGAATGAGGGCTTACGGGGCGTTGCTGTGTACATAAAAATGAAATAAAAACGTGTTAGAAAAGTGTTAAGAGTCACGCTGCAGATATATAATGGTTGCACTATGAATGAATCAGTTCAATCACATTTTTACAGAATACCATCGTGAAATAACAGCTCAATGCTGCTATATTTCATGTTATGGCGAGTATAAAAAACCAGACATCCTATTTACTGGTAACAAGGCATTCCATTTTAGAGCTCAGTCCAAGTAATCAAGAAGACATGTCGATGTATATAGGCCATAGCATCTACTTACCATCAGGTGAACTGTAAGTGGTAAGGTTTCCTCATAATATCGAAATTAAGTCAATATTAATTTAATTTATGTTAAAACTATAATTGAATAGAATAATAAAATATAACTATAATTTTAGACCTTTTGGATTTTTTGGACCTTTTAGTCGTTTTTAATAATTCATGGTTATTAATAAAAAGAGTGGATGAGAAGTAGTTAAATAAAGACAACAAACAGTTTCTTTAGGCAGCCAATGTTAGTCTTTTTAGAAGTTTTTTTTAATATTTTTTTAATTTAAAACATTTAATATGTGACGTAAATAAATTTTACGTATATTTATAAATTGCTCTTTATGTCAGTTATTTTCCTATTTATATACAAAAAGCAAATCTAACGATAATATTTCAAATAAATAGATTACTTATGTTGCAAGCATTGGAAGCTAAGAGGCGCATTAGCTAGTTCGAAAGGCAAACTTACGGTTGACAGCAACGGCGCATAACGCAGAGTTTTCGCCGTTAGGGTTGCTGATCACCAGTTTGTAAGCACCGCAATCGGCAGGGGTGACATGTTCGATGGACAACTTCACCGTACCATCTGGCAGGGAGGTTTGTTTGACACGCGTATCTTCTGGTGGAAGAGGTGCCCCGTCCTTGAACCTGAGAAAAACATTGAATATTGTTCAATATAAAGCCTAGTTTGGCTAGTAAAGTTAAAATTCTTTTATTATATTAATTCAATTATCAAATTTAAAATCTGATAATTAAAAATATATCATGATTTATTAATTGTGAGAGAGTTTTTCAAGTCTTTCTTTAAGTGTCAATCATGCACAGGCTTTGTGCCGTGCTAATCGATTGATGATACTCTGGAGCTCATATAAAGGCAGAAAATATATCCAAAAGTGACCTCCTCATCTTCCTTCTTAACTTAACTTCATAACTTCTTAAGTATTCCATGTTAGAATACCAGTTGGAAGCAATTGAGTATTTAGTTTTTCACTTCAGAGTATTTTTGTAGTTAAGACCATCTGTGGAGGATGCCTAAGTTTACGATTGGACTTGTAATAGATTGTAATGACGCTGATGATGATGGTGATTTTTTGATGTGCCCAAGTATTTCTGATACTCTCATATTCTCATTCTTTCGTATCATTATGTTTCTTGTTAGCTTAATCTCAGTCTGTAGACCTGGAAATATCGGTGGTGAATACTTAAAATGTTTCAAACAAGATGTGAGGAGAATGTAAAAAGATGAGGGTAGTATTACCATTTCGCGGTGGGTATGGGGCTGCCGTCAAGCTTCGCCTTAAGCTCCAAAGGCTCGCCCTCGTCCACGTCCTTTTGCCGCTCCAGCTTGTGAGTGAAACCGGGCGTTGTTTGTGCCAGGGAGATCTGCGCTTCGCATTCTGCTTCACCAGATATATTGACAGCTCGAACTTTGTACTGAAATTGGAATAGACATAATTTATTTATGATATTTTTTATTTCTAATATTGTAGGTGGAGGAAAAGGAAGATCTTTCGACGGGTTTAGCCCGGAATGGCCAACGCTCGGAGTGGTAGTACGGCGCTTGTTATATATTTACCAAGACTTCAATGACGTGATAAATGCTTCAGTTGTGTCAAACAAGCTAACAGTTACAAGTGGCTACAGCGGCCTTAAAGGCACAGAACCTTGAGTAATATTAAGTAACGCCTCACAACCTATCCACTACCATGATCACTAGATACTACTCTCACAGTAGATAGAGTGACGTCCTGGTTAGACATGTCGATGGGGGTCTCGAGATCATTTTTTGTGGAATTAATTAATAAAATTAATTCCACAAAATTTTGCCACTGTTGCCACGCTTGGCAGACGGGTTGGCAACCGCAGTTTTTTATTATTTTGAGTTGTTATCAGGAATATGCTGCTGCCATCTCTTGTTTCAGCTTCCCTCAGTTGCTTCTTAAGACACCTACGAGTCGATATGGGGTAGTGCATATTCTAACACCTCTTACCTGCTGTTAAAAGCTACAAAATAATAAAAAAACTGCGGTCACCTGTTGTTGCTCGTAGCTGTAGCAAATATCCCCCCTACTAGATAAAATTGGAGGAGGCCCAAATAAGTTTAGCAGACGACTTTCGATGAGCTGTAATGAATGAATGTAACCAAAATATAAATATACTAAATTTATATAAAGTATTTTTTTACCTTTCCAGCATCAGTCGAATTAAAGTGCTTGATTTCAAGCTCGCTGTCGACCTGCCCGCCTATTTCAGTGGTGATGGTGTGACGCTCATCATTCTTCAATTCCTTGTCGTTGACGTACCAGTGCACTTCGGGTTTCGGTACACCGTCACAGCGCACTTTCAACGTGCAGTCATCGTAGTCCTTCACCGTCTCCTTTTGGAGGGGTTTCGTGAATATTGGCTTGTCAGCTGCAAATTATTTTTAGAAGATTAGATGAATATATATGAATGAAATGGATATACGTAATGATGGTCATCTAGTGGTCGAAATTCGACTGTAATTCATTGAATTTTAAGGTTTATAATATCCAAGTTGTATTTCACTTTCAACTGCACATTATAACACAAACATCTCGCATAGAAATATTTTAAACATTTTTGACGACTGTATGAGCAGAGATTATATGTTTGACATTGGCAGTTCGAACATAAACAATGAATGATTTACTTTATTTCACCTAATGTATTTGTGACAAATATTATAAATAAATTTTGGCTTTCCCAAATCACACACTCCTCCGTGCGCACAGTATGTTAAAACAGGGGTACAAAGTTTTCCCTTTACTTATTAATAGATTAAAGAAGAGAGAGTAGCCTAATAGTAAGGATGTGGACTCCAAACTCGAAAAGTTGTGGGTTTCCAATTCTCCAGTCGACTAATTGCCGTGGTGCATTCGTAACACAATAATTTTAAACTTACTTGGAAGGGCTAATGAGAGCATTAGCAACATTAAAAATGTTAAAATATTCGTTTTAATAGATAAAAAAAATATTTTGGATTAAATTCTGTTCACGGATGACCACGTGGAAACAAATATATGTTTATATTCCTTTTAAACTTTTTTCGCCCTGTCAAAAGTATTCCATATGTAAATCTGGATCCTAGTATGTGATTTATCAGTGTGTCAAATATCTTTAGTTGTATATGCGTGATTGAGTAACAAACATTGAAATATCTTCCCAAATATTCACATGAATTAAATATTAGTATGGACTTCTTTCACATAATAATCGGTTATTTTTGGTCAAAATTGAAAATTTGCTTTTAACTCTAAATATACATTTTGTAATTTACCGGCTTCGCCTGGGTGATTTTTGGGTCTCGCCAACAGAGCCACCTACAGGGTCTAATTGTGAATCTAAACCATCCCATTCAAACGCAAAAGAAGTTCATCAAAAACAGTCCAACCATTTAGTACAAGTTAAGAGACAAATACACGTACAAAATAATTATATTTATGTGATGTAATTCTTTAAAAGAATTACATATTATAATAACCTACACATATAACATTTTCTATACTTTATGATGATCATCGAATGACTACATATTCTCTTACATCGCCACTACATAATTAATCTGATATCTTATAATGCAATTAAAAATACTTACTATGAACAGTGAGTTTAGCTTGCTGTGAAGCTTCACCGAGCTCATTCTTGGCGGTAACAGTGTAAACTCCCGCATCCTCGACAGTCACCTTCTTGACCACCAGTTTGTGAGTCTCCGAAGCCTTGTCTTCTTCAATGTCGAATCGGGACGATGGTTTTATGACGTAGCCGTCTTTACTCCTAAATATATTAAAATTATTCACGTACATTTCTAAGAGTTGGTATAAATTGCTATTGGTGATACAATGAATATGGGCCAAATTAAGAGTACTATTAACCGACGTGCATGTGTATGCCAAACGAACCAGCTCATAGCCTGTAATTATACTGGCGTAGCCTGTACTTACCCTTTAAGCCAGAATACAGCAGTGGGATGCACTACTAACCCAGACGACCAGGTAATTATTTTTTTATAGGATAGGGTGACAAACGAGCACACAGTCCACCTGATGGTAAGTGGTTACTATGACCCATAGACATCTACATCTATCCTTAATAAAGACTCAAGATGCAGATGCGTTGTCACCCGTGAGGACTAAGATGGAATGCCTCTTGTCTAGTAAAAAAGGTCTCTGGTTCTCTACACTCAACAACGCAACAACAGCGTTAAGCCGCTATTTTACGCTGGTATTCTGTGAGATTAAAAACATACGAACTTACATTCCACCTGATGGTGAGTGCCTCCAAACTAAGGACTGACTGAACGCTGAGATGCAAAGCCTCACAGCCTGTATTTTTTTAAATTATGTACGAGCAGCTAAGCATGTCCAGAGAGACCAGTATCACTGCAACCTGAAAGATCTCTTGTGATCGCTGCTTTGTCTAGATACAGTTCACTGCTACACCCTACGTCCTCAATGAATAGAAGGAGTTGTTTAGCTGTGAGTAATTTCACTTCTTCTGGGCGAACTGTAATTATACTGGCTCTCTTTACCCTTTAAAACAGTACACTGCTGTGCAAGCGCTGCTATTATATGACGATACAAATTGGTAAGAGAGTGGTGCCTACCCAGACGGAATCGTTGGCAGAATAGGATTTCTACCACCTAGTAAAGTTTACACAATACATTGCAATAGAATATAATAGGATAGAATATCATAATTTTTATTCAATATAGACAAGAATGCAAAGTAAAAGTCGTTTAAAAATCACCACTGCTTAGGAAAAAACCTCTGTCCTGGAAAGAACGAGCAAGAAACCCAGCGAGACTTTATGCAATTTTATATAAAAACATATTCCCAAGAGTTATTATCAATGTACTCTTTAGTAGTATTTTTATTTTTTACTTGGTAGAGCCATTCTGCAGCTATATTATTAGTATAGTTTTAGCACGAATGGGTCGGCTCGACCTGGGAAGGACTACGCTCTCACAAAATACCAACGTAAAATAACAGCTTAATGGTGCTGTTTCGTATGGTGAGTGTGGAGAACCGGAAATCTTTTTTACTGCAAACTAGGCATTCCATCTTAGTCCTCACGGGTGACAACGCATCTGCATTTTAAGTCGCAAACGAGGATAAATGTAGATGTCTATGAGCCACAGCAACCACATACCTTCAGGTGAACCATGTGCTCGTTTAACATCTATCCTATATGTTTATCCTATAAAAAAGTATAATAACCCTTAATAAACAATTTTTGGCCTATAGCCACAGCAACCACTTACCATCAGGTGGACCATGTGCTCGTTTAGTACCCTTACCTTACAAAAGTATAATAACCCTTAATAAAGAATTTTTGCCTCATAAAACTTTTAAACATTTTTTAGTAATTATTACAACTTACCACTGGACCTCGGCAATGGGATTGGCCTGTATCTTAGCAATAAACGTGGTCTCCTCATAGGGCATCGCGGTGACATCCTTCAACCCTTCGATCTCGGGTCGCAGGAGGATGTCCAAGCGCGCTGAACTCTCGCCAACTCCGTATTTATTCTTCGCTTGAATCGTGTACACGCCAGTATCCGCGTGACGGCCTGTGAAAAATATTGTGATGTCGTAAAAGATACCCAGATCTTAGAATCATTACGAGTTTGACTAAACTTGAGCTTTACGAAATGAAATCTAATAAAGAATATTTTTTTAGAATATTGATTAAGGGAATTAAAACTTGATCATGTTTCTATCTTCCCATCCATCCATTATAAACTATAAAATCCACTGCTGAACATATTATGCTTTCCCCCTAGACTGTCATATACTGGTGATTTTTTTTAATTGCCATGCTTGGCGGGCGGGTTATCACTCCAGGTTTTTTAATATTTTGAGTTGTTTACAGGAATATGCTGCTGCCCGTCTCCTGTTTCAGTTTCGCTTTGTCGCCTCTTCTCCTCTGTCGACACCCACGGGACGATAAGGGATAGTGGGTATTCTTAAACTAAAATGCACAGTCCACCTGATGGTATGGATGCTAAAGCCCATCTATCTATCCTCGATTAAGAACCAAAATACAAATGCGTTGTCACCTCTGAGGACTAAGATGGAATGCTTCGTTTCCAATATACGAAGCACAGCAGCTGCTATTTAACTTTGATATTCTGTGAAAGCGTGGTGTTACCCCGGTCGAGTCGACCCATTCGTGCTTCAACCATAATATAGCTGTAGCGTGGTTCTACCACGTATAACAATCTGCTTATGAGCAGTATAATGCTGTTGTATTTCGTATGGTGAGTGTAGAGAACCGGAGATCCTTTTTACTGGAAACAAGGCATTTCACCTTAGTCTTCAGTGGTGGCCATCTGTATTTTTATAGTTAATTGATGGTAGGTGGTGGTGGGCCACAGCATCCACTTGCCCTAAGGTGAACTGTGTGCTCGTTTCTCCTTATTCAATAAAAAAAATCAATGTGTGGCTGTGTAGTGGTCACGTCCGTGTGGATCACGTGAACACGTGTACGTAACGATCTCAAAATGGCGGCACACGATGCGTCACAGTCCTCACCCAACGTAACTAATTCTTTGATCTTTTAGCTATCGAGAAGTGTTATTAAATTTTGGATATATGTAGATGATGGATTTGATACGTAGCTGCAACACCAAACTGTATCTCCTGATATTGTTATCATCAGTTTTCAGATTTACCTCCCACTGTAGAAATGGGAGACGCTGACAAGTGGCAGTGGCAACTTTAAAGACGTATTAACGCAAGAAAACTGGTTACCGGTAGGAATGTGCAGAGTGAAGGTGCACTGCTTGAGTCCGTGTTCGATGTCCTCGGTATCAGCCTGCATGAGGAGTGTGGCATCTGGAGTGAGCTCGTTGCCGTTGAGCAGCCAGGCCACGTGCGGTAGCGGGTCCGCTGTGCACACCGCCTTCAGGGTCACTGGTTCTCTCTGCATCACACGCTGGGCTTCTAAAGGCACCTTGAAGATCGGCTTGCGGAGCTCGCTTTCAGCTGGGGACATCAAACATGTTGAAATTATCAGACAACATGAACATTCATTAGTAATTTAAATAAAACTAGTTTTACGGATTTTATCGCGTATATATTAACTTATTTTATACATATTCCGGACGTGTGGTGTACTTTACAGCACCCATGGTCAAGGGGGGAGGGGGGGGGGTGTTTGACATCCCAAGTGTCATACTTATCCACGGCTACCTCCAGATTAAATTATTATTATTTATTTAAATGTGTAGTGTTCGCGTACCTATAAGAAATCATTACATTTATTAGTAATTTTGATGATGTAGAAAAGTCGTGTATGTAATCTATACATATAATAAATCTGTAGAAAAGTCGTGTCTGTAATTCTAATATATTCTTGAAAAAACAAGTCCAGGGGACTAAATAAAGGGTTCTGAACCCAAATCAGTGGTTATTAGAATTTTGTCTGTCTGTCTGTCTGTGTATTCCGGATTCACGCAAAAAATACTTGACCGATTTACATAAAATTATGTATATAGGTAGTTAGTAACCCGGGGCAACTTATAGGCTACTTTTTATCCGATTACGGAACTTCAAAAAAGAAGGTTAAGTATTTTCCTTCCTTTAGATATTGATTTTCTATTATATCTTAGTTAGATGGGATGACGAGTGTTTTTCAAATAAATAACATATTTATAATTTATAAATAAAGTATAAAATATAGTTATAAACTTGGTAAAATAATTTGAAATTACACCGATTTAGTTATGAAAACAGCGCCATCTATCATCAAATGGAAAAAGTAGTATATTTTGCCTTCAGTTACTAATAAATTAAACAATATAAGTAACTTGCATTTATATGTTTAAATAATAAGATAATAAGATTTTTAAAATTATTTAAAAATTGTAACGTTTAGTTTTTTTAGTATTTTATTTTAAAAGTGCAATAATTTCAATAGAAGATCAATCAAAAATATGAAAATTGATAAGGTTTTTATTTCAATTACTAATCTATATGTAAACTGATTAAAACTGGTCTATCTGCAATTATTGCAAAATTTTCATTATTATTATAGGTTTATTAAAGAGATTTTTATATATGTCGTGGCTAGATCGTAGAATAGATCATATAAATTAGTCTATCATTTCGTGAAATGGTGTGGTCATTTCATGATATTTAACACTGTTTGTTGACCATCTCATGATATAGCTTGACTCGTTACTAGCTAGAAATCGTTTGAAGATATTACTAACTAGAAACGTTGCTATTTCATGATATGGTCATATGACGATATCATTAAATCGTTTTTCACCGCTACTGGCGCTGATAGTGTATATTTTTAACAGAAACAGAACTTTTAACAGAATTATCATCACTTTATGCCTTATTGATAAAATAAATAAATGTTCACTTCTATTGCTGATATTATTAGATAATATAGTTTTGGCTTTCATTATTTAATCTAATAATAGCGCCATCAACTTAACACTAAACAAACTAAAATGATAAGTATCTGATATAATTAAATAATAGAATCCTACTGAATATACGATGTAAATAATTGAAAATTCGTTCGTGGCAACGTTGGACGTGTAATACTAGGTACGTGTGGTCAACAATCATGCAAAAACTTAGTTTCAATTTTAATGAATTGTATTTAAACAAATATGAGGGCCGTGTAGCTCTCGCCGTGAGATTTAATCATGGCACGGGAGCAAAGCGTGTACGAGGATGATTCTGCTATAGAAAACTTTACGTGCTGACTTAACACGTGTCCGTTAAAGTGGTGAAGAATAACTTCGTGGGGAAACCTAGATATCTGAGTAGTTAAAATAGTCGTGGAGATGTGAAAACCGTTAAAATGACATGTTACGAGTAAAACATTGCAGCGTACTCTATTTTTCTGCCTACAAAACACTATAGGTAATGAGAAGTCCTGTGTACAGTAGTGAGACGTATATTAGCTGCTACTTTACTTTTTTACCTTTAATGAGATTTATAATCACTTTGTAATTTAAGGTAGCTTTCATATGTTTGGACATATTAAGATATTTGTGACAGTCTTGGTTTCATAGCTCATATGAGTACATATTTGTAAATTAACAGGCTCTTTTTTTAAAGCAAATTTTACTTAAACTGCTTTAAACAAAAGTTCTTTTTATTTTACTTGTCAAAGGCGGTAATCCAACTGATGAAAACTTAAATTACATGGTACGTAAGCATTATTAAATATTTCAGCATATTATATATTAATTGCAATTTGAAGTGTCAATTTACCACGTTCTCGGCGGTTAAGGAAAACCAGCATATCTGAGAAGTTTCGCAGTTGAGGTCATCCTGCAATGGAATCAGCGCAGCGAACACTTTTTTTGGCAAAAAACTTTATGCGGCCATTGCCCAGTAGTAACGTGTATTTGAGCTGCAACTTTTTATTTTTCATGGGGCAATATATGCATTTTTTATTGTATTCATATTTTCGGGTATGTTACTTTTTGTTTTCACTCTAAAAAAAAGTCCACTGAAATAAACATGGGCCTCCCGCATAAATTGTCAAGTAGCTGGATATTTGCAATAGTTGTCACGCTTGGTAGGCGTGTTGGCAACCGCAGCTATTATTATTTTGATCTTTTGTCAGGAAGATGATGCTGCCCTATGTCATGTCATGCCCTAGGTCATATGTCACTGCTTACGAAGGTACGATATGAGGTGGCGGATTCTCTTTCACCGCCACAACAAGATGAACATTTTTCTACTCCCGTTCATAAGAGTAGTGCTTCCCAGGTTCACTGTTAATACAATTTATAAGGAATAAAACTAATTTTAAGGATCTTGTCGCGTTTTATTTTAAACTTTTTTAATTCCCGATGTTTTGGGCACTTTACAGCACCCATGGTCACGGTAGGACTGAGGTTTTTGACGACCTGATGTCATAGTTAGAATGGAATTGAATAAGAATAGAATAGAATAGAATAGCTATAGAATAAATGCAGGAGTATGCTTGGGTTTGAATTTTATTTTATTAACTATGGCGCCCTTAGCAAATCTTACCACTCAGCCATTTTCCCTATTAAAATTAGCATGTGTTTTTTTTAATTTCAATAGCCCCGCGAATCATCATTGATAGGAATCGGTGTTCTATTACAAGGATTTGTATATCAGATCCGATATAATGGTTGGGACGATACTAAACATGTTGACATACTTTAGACTTCCCGGAGCGACAGTGTTTCACATCAACTACCTATATGTTCTTTTACGCGGGTTTTTATGGAACTTTCATCCAAAGATGCGTAAAAAAACCTAACGTAAAAAGTTAAAATTAGACGTGATAAAATCCGTAACATTAGTTTTATTCCATGTGTAGTATACTGTATACTAAATTTTGAAGACAACTCGAACGTAAAAAAATATATTTACATCTATTTTATGGTGCCAATCAAAATATTAAATAGGACCAATGATAGATATGAATAAAATATCTCAAATAAACATTATGCCGTAAATTGATAGAAGACCGTGAAACTCATCATTATTTTGTTAAAACTAAATTAATTTTAATTATGAATTAATGTAAAGAGTAAAATGTAAATAATAGATAATAATAAATTTTGATTACGATACAATTTACCTTTCTTATGGATACATCGGAAGACACGCCCGATATAAAAAATAGTATGTGTTTCTAGACATATATATTCACGTGTTCCTGTGGCATATTATACCTATCTATGCCAAATACCTAATCTACGTCTAATAGTCTTTTAGAATTAAAAAAAAATCTTTGACAGACATAAAGACACAGACACCGAGGTGACTCTAAAAGTGATCGAATTTCGCTAAATTTGCCACGCGAGCGAAGCCGCGGGTAAAAAGCTAGTTATAGTATAAATGAATACATGGTTGATAATAACCCCTGGGAATGAGGTGATCGCTTCCAAGCTGTTTCTAAAATAAATTTTGTACTTATATAGTTTGTACAACCATTATCGTAAAATTTGCTTTAAAAAAAAGTCCCGCTTGGTTTCTTGCTGGTTCTTTACAGAGGGCAGAGGTTTTTTTTCGAACCAGTGGTAAAGTAAAAAATGACTTAATAAGAATTACACATGTGATCTATATTGAATAAAAAATTATTCTATTCTATTCTCTTTTCAACAAGGAAAAATTTAAATGGCATTTCCTGTAATCGCCTTTCACCACAACCAGACCCCAACCGCGTGGCAAAATGTATTCTATGTACTTACGTTTAACGGTAACTTCTGCCTGAAGAACATCCTTTCCGAGATTGTTACTGATTTCACACTGCCATTTGCCAGCGTCTCCCATCTCTGCCTTGTCAATCTCTAGTTTGTACAAATCGCCTTCATTAACCACGTGGACCCTAGCATCAGGCTTGACCTCCTTCCCGTCGTGGAGCCAGCGAACTGTGGGCTTCGGTGAACCACAAGCTTCAACCGTAAAGACCAAGGGTAGAGATTCGAACACATTGCTGTCTTTCATGCTGCTTTTTTTGAGTTTAGGGGGTGCTGAAACATGAAGGTAATTTTTTATAATCCTAATATAGATAATTTGAAAAGTTTACCTTGTACAAGTTAGAAAAGCCCAATAGATTATAATTTGTTTGCCTAAAATCATTTATTCATCATAGCTTATCGAAATTCCTCTGCTAAATTTCTTCAGAAAGGCATTTGGACTTTCCTTATACAGGGTACAGTTGCCATAGCTGCCACGCTTGGCAGGCGGGCAGCAAATGCAGTTTTTTTTAATTTTTTGAGTTAACAGGAAAATGCTGCTGCCCATTTCCTAATTAATTTCTCTCTGCCAACTTTTACAACATGGGGTTTTGTATGAATGGTTATGATTATTAATGTGATGGATTAAATGGTTTTCAAAAATCGTTTGCAGTAAATAATTTAGTTTATAGTTGACAAAAATGTAAACTTATATAACATTAGAAAAGGAAAATAAAACTAAAATGTTTTATAACATACCTACACGTAAAGACCAGAAAAGGCACCTGTAGAAAGACCTAAATACCATAGTATATACAAGAAGGAATAAAATTAAACTTTAAAAATATTTACAAATTCATATTTTTAATACTTACACTGAAGAAATCTATGTTTCTAAAACAAGCCGCTGTGTATTACAATAAAAATGTGTTTGCATTTGCATATTTACAGCAGTTATTTTTTGAAAGAATGCGATAGTACTCACCAGTTTGTGTTGTGTAGTGGCGGTAATATGTGTATTGTGTCGAATTGCAGTGCGTGGGTACGTACCAGTCATGTTGATATTGAGTTATACATTCACTTAACCTAGCGATCAGAAACACCATGCAAACATAAAACACAAATTTAAAATAAAATAAAAAATTACCTTTGCAAAGTCGAGAGGTACAGATTAACATCTCCTTCGTAACGGGATCCGATTATTAGTATGCCAGAAGGGAATGTTATTACGCATGCGCGCTAAAACAAACATACAGTAGAACATTAGTAAAACGTAATGGCTGAATGCTTAGAAAATATGTGTGTTCGATCTGATATTTTCTCTAAATTCCTAATAAATAAGTTGACAATAATTGCACTGATAAAGAGTTCATTTAATTTAATCAAACAGAAAGTATCAGATCGTCGTTAGAAAACGGGGGCAGCAAAATTTTTGTAATTTGAATTTAAAAGCAACATTAACAAAGTTGTTATTTCCCTGACAAACATTCGAAGCGTTATATAATTAATTATATCAGCCTTCCAGTATTCCCTTTTCAGTAATATTGTATGTGTTAGAAATTTACCTTTCGCGTCTTCTTGATTTAAGATATCGTCTAATATGCTTCTCTGTCTTTGACTACGTCTTAGCAGCGCTTCCATTTCCCCATCCTCCTCCTCTTCCACAATAAACAGTTTTGCACCGTGCTTCGTTTTCCTTTCCACAGTCGTCTCAACTATGTTCTTTGTAATATTGTCAGGACTTGCCACATGCCCGACAACTAGTTCCTCAATAAGGCGGTTTTTAACTTCATCAATTTTGTTTCCCACACTGTTAATATCTGTTTCATCAAATTCCTTAGAAATGTGTATTAGCTTCTCTGTAATATCGTTTTCGAAAATTTTTTCACGTTTTTCTTTTAGTATAATCGATTCCTCTTCCCCATCATTAGTAGAATAATCCTCTTTGAATGAAGACTGACGAACGTACGAATCTTTGCTGAAGACTTTGTGAGTTTCATCGATTTCAAATATTGATTTTGACAAGTCTTCTATTGATATTTCTCTAGATAGTGGCTCATTTTGCCAGCTGTTTTCATCTTCAGATACGGAATGGATGGAGATGGTTCTATTAGCGGTACATTTTCCATATCTCATGCTATCAGCATCTGAGTCAGTCTGTGGTTCTTCAATTATTCCATAAGTGCCCCTTCTTACATGATCTGGCACGGTATAATAGCCAAGTTCAGTTAAGAAATAGCTGTGGCTTGCTATTTCTTCCACTTCTAATGAAGTGGTGTGCGGCTTGTTTGGTAGAATAATTTTTCTGGTACACTCATCATCATAATCATGATATTCTGACGTCATTTTATGCAAAGTGTGTGTTTCGGCTGGACCTATCAGTTAAAATATTATTATGGGTGATATTTATAACATTTTTAAATAAGATCATGCGCTAATTGACCAGAAAGTAGATTATATGAGGATACATTATGTATTAAAAAGTATAAATATAATTAATGATGTAGTTACGTCACGAAGAACACAACTTAAGAAGGAAGAAAAGCTAAGCGTGATACCGACCTGTGATAATAACGCCGTGAGAACAGGTGCTGCTGACTTTAGATACAATAATAGACCCGTCGTTGCCTGTCTTGAACGTGGTTATTGTTTCTAACACTCGGCCTAAACATAACAAATCACACTTCGTTTGTTACAAATAACACAAGTTAAGCATGCAGTATTATTGGCGAAAACGTGAATTTCTCGCTGATTATAAGCTGTTTGTTTTATGGAGAAATGAAGAAGCTGAAAGCGATCATTTTTATACCTTCAATTTCAGCACTTAGTGGTTCTTCTTTAAGAGACTGTCTTTTAACTGATTTACGTTTTGAAGTCTTGAAGTCATCGTCGATTTTTATTTCAGTGATAACTTCCGGTTCAGTTACACCCTTTTTACCTTGATCCATTTTATTTTCGACATCTTCAAATATGGGCGTTTGGATTTGTTCTTCTTGTTTATCATCCCATATAGATTTTTCTTCCATGGTATCTGGCTTCGAAAATGATTTTCTGGGTTTAATTGTAATTTCTTTTACATCGTTAACTTCGGCCTTCTTATTTCGTTCGTTTTCATTTTCATCCCATAAACTTTTCTCTTGTAAAGCTTCAGGTTGTGAAAATGATTTTCGACATTTTTCTGGTTCTCGCTTTATATCTTCGACTCGCACTCTTTTTACTTTTTCTGAATCGTTGTCACCCATTGATACTTCTAGGGATTTTTCTGGCTCAGAAAAGGATTTTCTACCTTTTTGTGGTACTTCATTTATCTCATCTACTACGGCATTACGCTCTTTTTGAATATCATCCCAAAAGGATTTTTCTTCAGCTATTTCTGGTTCCGAAAATGACTTTCTTGATTTACTGGGAATGGTTTCATTGTCATCAACTTTTGATTTTTTTATTTTAAAATCATCATCAACGTCATCCCAAAATGATTTTTCTTCTATTTCTTCCGTTTCAGTCAGTGATTTTTTACCATATTCAGCATTTGCCTGATCTATTTCTTTAACCTCAATCTGTTTTAGGGTATCATCAATAGGCTTCTCTTCAATTGTTTCTGGCTGTGTTTTATGTTTAGTTGCTGATTTTTTGTCTCTATCATCTACTACGTCTACTACTTGTTGTTCTTTTAGTTTGCTGTCCTCTTCCAATTCATTCTCAATTACCGTTTCTTTTTTGAATCTCGAATGAACTTCTTTAGCTATTAAACATAACGAAAAATGATGATATTAAAATGTTTTGTTGAGTTCGGTAAAAATTATTAGAGACATCACAAAAAGGTGAAGGTAAAATGCAGGATATTATAGTGCTTACATACTCATGAAATCACACATCAGCATTCTTGTCGAATGAATGCTTTGTAACAGTGATAAATTAACTTAATAACAAAATGTCCAAGGACACTAATTATGGGACACTAAGTACAACAAAACTAAAACGTGCAATGCAGTAGTATACTACTCCATGTAATACTACGCTTTAAATCATTATTAACATACCTAGATATTAAAATAGTTTCCAGCGGGGTGCCAATTTCGCTGTCGTTTTTTTTTATGTGTTTTTACTGTACCTTAACAGAGGGTGTGTTGTATGTGTGTAGTGTGTGTGCTGTTGATACTTGCTGGAACTGTGTGATATGGAATAATTTCCTAAACAAGTTTTTAAATAAGTTATATTCTGTTTTGTTTCTAGATTGATTTACGTTCACGTCCATCGTCAATAGCAATAATTTCGTTTTATTATGTGTCGCAATTACTGTGTTGTGTGACACTTACTGTGTATGGTGACAGTACTCTTGGAGCTTACACTGCCCATTTCATTTTCAGCCCTTACTTCATATTCGCCGCCATCTTCTTCCTTTACAAGAGTAACTGTTAAGTTATAGTTCTCTAACCTGAAATACAATGTATATTATTTTGTATTATTTGTCTGAGCTTTATCTATTTTCAATCAATAAAATAAAATTCTTAAATCGCCTTACAATTGCAATACCGTTACAGCCTTTTATAGTCTACTGCTGAACATAGGTCTCCCCCATAGATTATCTCATAGGAGGGATATTTGCCATAGTTGGCAAGCGGGTTGGCAACTGTCGTTTTTTTATTTTAACTTTTTATTAGGAAGACGCTGCTGTCATTTCCTGATTTCTTTCATCTGTCGTCTCTTACGACACCCACGGGATGATATGGGTAGTGGATATTCTTACACCGCCACTACACGGTTAATCGAGGTATGTAAATATATTCAACTGTCAAGATAAAGTTAACTGTTGCCGAAGCTTAGTGGCATAATTTTTAAAAGGCGGAAAACATGTTAACCAAAAGGGTAGAGATCTTTTTAGTACTTATAATAATGGCAGCATATTTTTTTTATTCTGCCGACATCTTTTTATCGGCATGTAAATGTCCACCCACCGTGTAGTGGCGGTGTAAGAATATCCACTACCCCATATCATCCCTTGGGTGTCGTAAGAGGCGACAGAGAGATACTAAAACAGAAGATGGGCAGCAGCATCTTCCTGATAACAACTCGAAATAATAAAGAACTGCGATTGCCAACCCGTCTGCCAAGCGTAGCAACTATAGCAAAACCCTCCATATGAGGCAATCCATGGGAGACGAAATGAATACCAACGTAAAATAGCAGCTTAACGCTGCTGTGTTTCGTATGGTGACTGTAGAGAACCGGATACCCTTTCTAATGGAAAAGAGGCATTCCATCTTAGTCCTCAAGTCTGACAACGCATCTGCATTTTGATTCGCAAACGAGGATAGATGTAGATGTGGTGCCACAGCAACCACTTACCATCAGGTTGACTGTGTGCTCGTTTGTCACACTTATCCTATAAAAAAAAGTCGAGATAGTTTAAATCAGCTATCTTCTGCCATCTTTTAAAACCAATGAGAAGTTTCTGACATTTCTTATTGTCGCCTCTTACGACACCCATGGAGTAGTGATGGATTTTCTTACTCCACCACGAACGGCATTATATCTGCCAACACGATGATAACTATTATGGCCTTTTTGAGGTAGATACAAAATATATAATACCTCTTAGTATCTCTTTCTATCTTGATTCTGGCGTCGGTGTTAACTTCTTTACCATCTTTGTACCACTTGACTTTAGGTTCGGGGCAACCTTCAACTTCAACCTCAAGTTTGAGAGTCTGGCCAGCGTCAACAGTCATGTCTACCAAGCTCTTGGTGATTCTGGGTTTCCCTGTTAGTAAATAATAAATAAGCACCAAATTATTATCGACAGTCTGAGTTAATTTGGTGGAAGGACTCCATTTTGTCTATGGTTCTGTCTATGTAGGTACCAGCTTAAAACCTTTTTCAACCGGCAACTAGCAGCATAATATCTACTGTTGTGTTTTGACATGAAGCGCAAGTAGAACCAGTTTGATTCCACCTGCAATTTGTTTACGCTCCACTTACAATCGACTGCTGGTAATATTATTATATTGAAGGCTCAGTGGTGCAGCAGTTTAGTATTGAGTGGCGGCGGGTTCGAATCGCACACGGTACAAGTATTTGTATGTCCTACAAATAATTATCGCTGACTTAACTTATGTTTCCAAAATAACTTGAGAACGACTGAACGACTTAATTATTTATCACTATCTTCAGAATTATGGAACGAGTGATATTAGATAGGAACCAACCTTTCTAATATCACCATTGTCCCATTTAGAGCGAGGGTCACATCCCTTTTATATAAGTCATACTATAACTACAGCCATATTATAACAGGATTATAGTGTCCGAGTATATGCGCAAGCACAGGTGAACTCTTTATTCCCTCACACTTATAGTTTGATGGGACGATAATCCGTCACGACAGGAGGGAGATCCGGCGCAGGACAAATGTCTTTACTTACTTTCCAAGGTACGGGAGTGATTCGAACCCAGGAGCACATGATCAGCATTTACGCTTACAACCACTAGGCCGAAGGGTCAGTCATATATATATATATATATATATATATATACTAATATTGTAAAGAGAGAGAGAGTGCGAATCATGTGTTTGTGTATATGTGGAGGGTAATCTTTGGATCCACTGCACCTATTTGAAAAATTCTTTCACTATTTGACAGGTACATTATTACAGATGGACATATGCTATATATTACTTATGTATAAACATATATTATGACTAAAGGTTGTGATGATATTCGTCAACTACGACTTGTAAGTCGGAAAAACGTCGTGCCTCTTGTGAGCTACCACAGCGTGCGCTGATTCTATAGTTAAAGTTGCGCAAAAATAACGTATGGCTGTATTGTTCCTCTTGAAAAGTTCTAAAAAGGTCTGCGACAACATATTGCTCTCTATCAAGGCTAACTATATAATAAAAACCATTTTTATATAAAAACTATAGGCGGGATAAGTGTTCAACCCAGACAAAGCCCGATAGGGTATTTAGTAATAATATTAAAATAATAATAACACGGAAAACTAAAATAGATAATGATCTTACTGTTGACAGTGAAGGTGGCCTGGCACGAGTCGGCACCCAGTTCGTTGGAGACCTTGCAGCTGTACTGTCCAGAGAGCTCCGCGGACACCTCCTTGAGGATCAGCTTGTGTGTACTGCCGTTGTCCACGCGAGTGTACACAGATTTCTTTTCAGTTATTTCCACGTCTCCGAAGTACCTGGGAAGGTTCATCATAGTGTAAGGATAAAATTTAATTTGAATTTTGATTTTAAAATCTTTTAAGCGTGGTAGAACCATGCTGCAGCTATATTATGGATGTAGCATGAATGGGTCGACGCGACTGGGGGAAGTGCCACGCTCTCACAGAATATCAGCGTAAAATAGTAGCTTAATGTTGGTGTATGGTGAATGTAGACCCTTTTTTACTGGAAGCGAAGCACTTCATCTTACTGGTCTTTAGGGTTTTCGGGAATGACAACACGTCAGAATTTGAATTTTTAATAACGGTGGATATTGATGTCTACAGGCTAAAATATCCACTTACCTTTAGGCGCACTGTGTGCTGGTTTGTCACTCTTATTTCTAAAAAATCATTAATATTATATTGTATAAAAAAATCCTACGTTGGAAAATCATTTTCACTTCATTTGAACTCTTAAATTAGCTTAAAATTTTAAAAATAATAAATCGATCAGTACGTTTTTGAAAAAGCCTATCTAAGTTTTAGTTGTGGACTACGAAGGCTAGTGATGTTGAATTAATTTTTCTATTTAAGGCTTACACTTAAATAAATGTAGGTGTCTATGTGTCACAACATTCACTTACTCTCACTCACTCAAGAGGACTGGGTACTTGTTTGTCTATTTATCTATTTATTTAAATAAAAATCAATTGCTGCATATATGAAGGATCATCATTTGAGAACGGCTGGACCGACTTTGATGATTTTTTTTGCGTTTGAATGGGTCGATGGTGAATGATTGAAACGGTGACTGGTTTAGATACACAATTGGATGTGATATACAGTAGTGTTGTCGAGATCCAGAATTACCCATGTGAAGTCGGGGCTGATCACTAGTATTTTATGAAAAAAAAAATAGTGAGACACTTCATGGATTTATTTACCAATAGTATATATGATAATTCGACTTACCATTGTACTTTGGGCTCGGGATAGGCGTTTACATCGACGGTGAACTCAACGTCGACGTCACCTTCTCGTGCCGTGACGTCGTGCAGGCGGCGCGCGAACTGCGGCGCGCAGCGCACGTGCAGCGCGCACGCGTCCGTCGCGCTGCCGTGCAAGTTGCGCACCTGCACACGCACACGCACACCGCTTACTGCACCAGCTGCAGCTATATTGTGGCTATAGCACGAATGGCTCGGCTCGACCGAGGAAGGACTCATGCTCTCACAGAATACCAACGTAAAATAGCAGCTCACTGCTCCTGTGAATCCTAGGTGAGTGTAGAGAACCAGAAACCCTTTTTACGAGGCATTCCATCTTAGTCCTCAGTGGTGACAACGCATCTGCATTTTAATTCTTAATGGAAGATAAATGTAGATGTCTGTGGGCCACAGCATCCACTTACCATCAGGTGGACTGTGTGCTCATTTGTTATCCTAAAGCGTCTCCCACACACAAGCGGCTTGCGGTGGCGGCTAACCGCGAGCCGCGGCTCAAGCCGCTGCAACAACACACCACCGCGGTCGCGGCGGCGGCCTGAAGTGCCATTCGCTGAGGTGTCTGTGCTACGATTGGACGTTAGTAACATGACTAACCGTGACTAAGTCTTATTATATTCTGCAATATTATTATATATTTTGTTTTTAATCCTAATGCTTTTGTAATCACGATGCGAATTATCATAAAGTGCGAACTAATTTTACACCGTTTCTATTAAAATCTCTGAATTTAGCACCATTTTTCACGCGGTACACGCGGCCTGTTGTAAAAATTTACAACTGACCGCGTACTCGCTAACACACACGCGTTGGCATAAGGGGCGGAGCATGCGGCCGCGGCCAGCCGCTCGCAGATCGCGCCATGGCCGCACGAGTTTGCAGACTCACTTACATTGCAAGCGAATACAACTGGCCGCCACCGCGGCCGCCACCGCAAGCCGCTCCTGTGTGGGAGACGCTTTATACTATAAAAAAAGGACTATACTAACTGATGGGACTCAATTCCTGTCTAGAAATCCATATTCTAGGGACTATACTAACTAGGTCTTTATCTGCCTAGGAATCCATCTGAGTCACCATCTTCATCATTACAACCCTTTACAAGTCCACTGCCCGAAGGAATGCCTCAAAGCACGGTCCTGAGCCACCTGCACCTATCGACTTTCTGCATGTCTTACCAGGTCATCACTCCATCTAGCGGGGGAGGCCCTACACTTCGCCTGCCGGTACGGGGCTGACACTCGAGAACCTTTCTTCCCCATCGGTAGTCGGTTCTTATAGCTATATGGCAGGCCCATTGCCACTTCAGCTTACTAATCCGTTGGACTATGTCGGTCACTCTGGTTCTACTGCGGATATCCTCATTTCTAAGTTTATCACGCAGAGAAACTACGAGCATAGCCCTCTCCATAGCTCGCTGAGCGACCTTGAGCTTCCTCATCCGGCCAGTAGTGAAGGGCCACGTCTCAGTTCCATAGGTCATCATTGGTAACACGCACTGGTTGTACAGCCTCGTTTACAAGTTTTAAGGTATACCTGACGAGAAGATGTGCCGTAATTTCCCGAATGCTGCCCAGCCGAGTTGAATCCGTCGATTGACCTCTCGGTCGAAATTGGACTTAACTAGTCGGACTATTTGTCCCAGGTAAACATACTCATCAACAACTTCGAGCTTAGTGCTCCTAACAACTACCGGCATAGGTGTGATATGGACTTTAAACATGATCTTTATTTTGTCCATGTTCATCTTAAGACCTCTTCTTTGGGAAACACTGTTGAGGTCATCGAGCATAGTGTTTATCTCAGCTCTACTGCACAAACATCGTAGCCCTACTGTACAAACACTTCAGCACTTCGATATACCGTATCGAACCGTTACCGTATTACCGTTCGGTATACAGTCAACTTGGCACCGCTGAATGGACTGCAGCACCGTCCAAATTTCGACTAAATCAAAAGCTTTCTCATAGTCCACATACGCAAGACACAGTGGCAAATTGTACTCCTCGGTCTTCTGTATAATTTGCCGAAGGGTGGTGTATGTGATCTATGGTGCTAAAGCCTTTTCGGAAACTGGCTTGTTCTGGAGACTGGAAGTCGTCGAGTATGCGTGCGAGACAATTCGTAATGACACTCGAAAATAGCACGTAGACGGGGCTCAGAAGGGAAATCGGTCTGTAGTTCTTCAAGTGAGCGTTGTCGCCTTTCTCGAAGAACAAGACCACCAAACTTCTGCTCCACGCCTCCGGGGTAGTCCCACCATGGAGGACGGAATTAAAGAGCTTCTGAAGGACTTCGAGTACCGGTTTTCCACGCGCTTTTAGAAGCTCCGCTGTAATTCCATCCTCACCTGGGGCATTGCCGTTTTTAAAGTGCTGGAGAGCCATTCTAATCTCGCTTAGACTAACGTCCGGCACATCATGGGAATAGTGTCGGATAAGAAGCTAGCTCTTGAATCGTTGCTCACATTTGCGTGTGGCTCCAAGGATGACGTGTACAGCTGGCCATAGAACCTCTCAAATCTCACTCAAAATCTCAGGTGTCCCGGAGATTATACTTTTTTACGTGGTAGAGCCATGCTGCAGCTATATTTCTGGCATAGTTGTAACACGAATGGGTCGGCTCGACCGGGGAGGGACCACGCTCTCACAGAATACCAGCGTAAAATAGCAGCTTAATGCTGCTGTGTTTCGTATGGTAAGCGTAGAGAACCGGAGACCTTTTTTACTGGAAAGGAGGCATTCCACCTTAGTCGTCACGGGTGACATCGCATCTGCATTTTGATTCATAATCGAGGATAAATGTAGATGTCTATGTGCCACAGCAACCACTTACCATCAGGTGGACTGTGTGCTCGTTTGTCACCCTATCTTATAAAAAAAAAATACTGCCGCACTCGGTATTTAGCTTTGACAGTTGGCTCTTTCTGGCAGACAGATCTCTGGAAAAGACTTTGGAGCCCTGGTTCCGCTCGATCGCTTCTTCAATACAAGCTGTATTGAAGTTGCGTCAGTCTCGCCTCATGCATTTGGAGATTTGTCTGTTCAGTTGCCTGTATGCTGTCAAATCTGTTGAAAACTACAGCTTCATTTCCCGTCTAACAGCCATGAGATTAAGAGTGTGAGTTGAATTGAGAGAGTGTGTTCTTCTTGGGCGGGTCTTACAGAACTTAGCTCCAACCGTATGGAAAGTTTCACGAGCACGAGAGGGACGGAGTGTTTACTTCATTAGACGAGACATCTCCAACTTAACGTTTAGGTTTATTGTGCCTCTAACCATTTGATCGCTACGAGTTATCACCCTCGCGATCACTGAGACATCACTGAAAACTTGTCGTCTGGTCGTCATAATGAATTCAATCTCACTTTTTCTCGAACCGTTGGGGCTTGACCAGGTCCACTTCCTGTTGGGAGAAAGAAGAGAAGGAAGAAAGAGTTCATCATAAAGAGTTCCTTTTTCTCCATGAAGTCGGCCAGCTGCTGGCCCCTTGGGTTCCGTTACCCTATGCAAAATTTCTCTACGTTCAGCTCACCGTTTTCTCTTGTGCCTAGTTTTGCATTGAAGTCTCCCATTAACACCGTATAGTGGATTTTGGAGGAATGAATGGCTCTAGAGATATCCTCATAAATTTCCCCCACCTCCTCATCAGGATGTGCCGAGGTTGGTGCGTAAACCTGTATGACCCTCAGCGAATACCGTTATGGTGATTCTGAGTATAAGGTTCGCAACCCTCGTCGATACACCCCCAATCTTTACAACGTTGTTAACGAGAGACTTGTGGACGATAAATCCGATACCTCCTTGGGATAGGTGGTCGCCCTCCTGGTCATAGAACAAGTTGCCGGATTCGGGGATTACCGTGTCCTCCCTCTGTCTTCGGACTTCGGATAATCCTATAATATTCCAGCGCAACTTGTCTATCTCTTCTTCCAGCTCCAGGATCATCTCGTCAGTCCTCAATGTGCGTGCGTTATAAGTTGCCAGGTCGAGTCGTCCTAGGTGTCACCCAAACTCCACCGGAAATTCTTAGCACCCCCTTCCTCGCCGTTACCATGGTCGCCACCGTAGCCAGGAATAGCGGGGCCGCCGGGGAATGGGGGCCGTCTCTTCGTAAATTTAATCACTGTCGCCTCTTACGACACCCACGAGAAATTATGGGGTAGTGGATATCCTTAACCGCTACTACACGGCACAGTAAGCACTCTATTCTATTTCTGCCGCCAAATAGCAGTGCCTTCACTGTTACAGATAATGAAACGTTGCTATTCTAAAGAATATAGGTAACCTGTATACAAGGTGTGAGGCGTTCAAGCTTAGTGCTCATAATTGACAACGCATCTTTCTTTGAAGTTAACTGCAAGTGGTTATAAACTGAAGCTACTTATCCTCAGGTGGTCTGTAAGTGCGTTTATCAGTTCAGTCTTATAAAAAATTGACATACGGACAAAAATTGTATGAAAATGAAACACCAATCATAAACTGGCTCGATAAAAACATAATAATGATAACCCTAAATCACTTTCAAAACGGTTACTTTGCAGAGATTCCACAATGAAACCGTGTACACATATAACAAGCTAGCTGTGCCCCACGGTTTCACCCGCGTATATCACGTGTCTGAGCGGCGCGACATGACATGACACCTAGTTCAAGTATTTTATATAGCAATTTAGGGAAAAATTGGCAAAATTAATGGAGTTCTTTTATCTATCAGCATATTATGTACATTATAGAGCAAAGTTACATTTTATCCACTGTTTAGTGTATGTGTAGCCTAATGCTAGATAACTTATACTATTCCCCTCCGAAATAATACACAAAAATTATTTTTCAAATCAGACTGGTGATTCCAGAGATTAACGTGTATAAACAAACAAAAAACAAAATAACTCTTCCGCTTTATTAAATTGGTATACATAAAAAAAAACTAAAAATTATTTTAAGTCATGTACAAACACTTTTTTTTTAATTGCATTGTGTATAAAAATCGTATAAAAAATAAACAAAACTGATATTTTAAAGCATTGATAGGCTGTTCTAATAATAAATATAGCAGCAATTGTTTTTAACCTCCGACGAAAACATGTTTAACGCGTGTATCTGAGTCTGTTAATGTCATCGTAGCACACAAACGGATGAACGGATTTTAACTTAGTTTTTTGGTTGATAGGTGACTTGATCGAGAATGTTCTAAGCTATGATTCGAGGAAATCTGTTCACCCGTTTGAAGATCATCAGCTCTTTTTGTTTCGGGGGTTTATAAGATTTTTAATTGAAGTTATTAATTTACACTTTTTTTCACGTTTTACTTAAAATTAAATGGACCGTAATGTCAATGATTTAAAGATGAATAAACACTTCCGAGTTACCCATGTCTACTCACCTCACAAGAATACTCTCCAGCATCAGCGCGGGCCGCTGAAGTGATGACCAGAGAGTGCGCCTCGCCGGACGACGAGATCTTCACCGCGGAGGACTCTGTCAACTCCGTTTTGTTCTTGAACCTGGTGATGAATATTATATGTATATATTTTCCAAAATAGTATCAACAATTTTGTTCTTTTAGCCGATATAAAACAAGGTGACAACTGACAACACTGTACCCTATGGTAGGTAGAATTGAGTTATTTACACTTAGTAAAAAGAACTTAGCCGTCCAAGACCCTAGAATACGGACGCGAAGTTATTCTACTACCGTTGGCAGTGGTAGGATACCACTGCCAATACAACGTTATTGAGCTGATTTGGGCAGAAATATAAGATCGTGCAGCAAGTGCTCGCTAAAGGTCAGCTCAGTATAACAATGCTCAGCCGACCTTTAGTGCTGGAAAAATGCTGACAATCTTACAAACTGTGCGTGCAAGTTACATAAGAACACTGGAGAAAAGTCGTCTAAAAAAAAACAAACAAAATAATCTATTACAATATAAAAATCAATTGGTGTACGTTAGTCTCGAAAAAACTCGAAAATGGCTGGATTGATGAAATTTTTGTGTGTATTTACACACAAAAATTTCTGGATGGTTTAGGTTCACAATTGGACCCGGTTGGTGGCGCTGTTGTCCAGATCCAGAAATCACCGGTGCGAAGCCGGGGCGGACCGCTAGTCTTACATAATTTTAAGCGATATGTGAGAATAGACAACATTGCTGAAAATTTATTCATAATATCTCTGAGTGCAGACAGCAGTGATTAATTTCACCTATTAAAGTGTGCGTGCTTGTGTTTCTGTGTGTTTGTGTGCAAATGTATTTGTTGGAATTCGGATAACCTAGCTAATGGAAAGTTCACAGGCTTCCTCTCATTGCTGCGAGGGTTATATAACCTGGGTAAGAGTAAAATGGTAAGTTGGCAACACCGTACGATACAGATGCTTTAAGTATACATAAGTTGTGTTTTTGAAATTTGATTAGTGGAGTTTAGAAAGAGAGGATTTTTTGGGACTTACCTACTTCAAACGAAATAGCAATTGTTTTCTTAAAATCTAAGTACGATTAACCTCCAAGTTACATTTTTACTTTTCCCTATACCTGATTTCTACGGATACTCCTATGAAAATAATTTTTGATAATACAAACATTTAGCCAGTACTGAACAGTAACTTACCATTTAACAGTAGGTGCTGGGTCGGACTCTGTCTCAATCTTGAATATAACAGTCTCCTTTTCCTCGCAGACCTTGGAACTACCCAACTTCTTCATGATCTTCGGCGCTGAAGACACGTGCCACTGCCAGAAGTCCGAGCACTGGTTCACTTCGTTCCTAAACATTGAAAAATGGACTTTATTAGTTAGATATTAAAAATTACGTTCCTTAAAGAATTGCATAATTGGGTAGTTCATTATTATCATTAAACATAAACATTAACATGTTATTTAAATTCGCTACTTTTGTCTTAAAACTTACTACTAGATTGTCCATTTTAAATTTATTTAGGTTTTTGAGTATTTTTAAATATATAACAATGAGATGGTAATTTGACTATAAAGATAATGACGCAACACTAATCTCCTACAATTATTTTCTCTCGAAAAGTAATTTAATTAACTATAGTTTCAAACACGTAATAATTGTTTAGTGCCCTTACTAAAGTAATTACATTGTTCACGCTTATATCTTCATGACTTTTTTAGATTTTACTGAATGATTCCTTTCTTTTCTGCCGACTTCCAAAAAGGAGACGGTACTCAATTCGACAGTATGTTTTTATGTGTGTTACCTCATAACTTTTTGCTGGGTGAACCGACTTCGATGATTTTTTTATTTATTTAATAAGCTGATACTTCTCGTGTGGTCCCATATGAATTTGTTCAAGGTCAGATCAATAGTTATTGAGTTATTCTTAATAACTTATAGTGAAGTTGGCTGTACAAAATTTGAAATTTTAAATAATAGTTTATATTATTAGAATTAAAATATTCTTTAATAATATACAGGGCTATTTTGAAATATACACCAAATTTACAGAGAATGTTCAGAATAATTAACATAGGTGAAGAAAAATTAAATTAAAAAAAATCTTCTATCCTTTTTATCTTTTAAATTCAGAATGCTTGATAAAGCTAATGCATTTTAACTGATGTCATTTACTCGTATAAATATCTAAAGCCTAAGTTTGCTACGCACGCACACATTCGAAAGGGTCGCTCGGTCGCCAGAAACGTTGGGAATTGAATCGCACACCGGGAGGCGCGCGTGTACGCGTACTTGTTGCCCATTAATCACATTCAATTTGGAATAATTTCAAATAAAAGTAGAAACCTTATTTACTCGTATTTACAAAAACTGCAATAACGTTATATCATTATTTATATAGGATTATTTTTCAGAGTAGCGAAATTTTCAATTTAAGGTCAAATATATAAATTTAGAAGCCATATTTACGCGAATTAAAAAAAAAAAAACTGAACATAAATCTTGTATGGTAGTCTTTAATTATTAAGGTTGAACTAAATTAAGAATTGAAACTTATATACAATCAAATTAAAAGATAACAACTAATCTTAAAAAGGGCGTAAGAGAATGTTTGCCTTATAGAGTTTAGTTATAAGATTTATCTTAAAAATAAAGTCGTGCATGACAAAACGGCTTAAGGTGAATCTTACTTTGCTACGACGGAATAAGATCCAGTATCGATTAGCTTGGCGTCTTTTATGGTGATCTTGTATATCGTCTCGGACTCCTTGACTATTACGATGCGTTCTGAACTCTTGATTTCGACGCCATCTTTGTAGAACGAGACTTCTGGTGTGGGGGTTCCCTCCACCTCGATGGTCACGGTGTGTGTGTCACCAACCTAACAATATTTTTTGTTATAAATTTCAGAAGTACATAAAACACATATAATATTGTTTTTTTTTATAGGATAGGGTGACAAACGAGCACACAATCCACCTGATGGTAAGTGATTGGTGTGGTCCATAGACATCTACATCTATCCTCGTTTGCGAATCAAAATGCAGATGCGTTGTCACCCCTGAGGACTAAGATGGAATGCCTCTTTTCCAGTAAAAAGGGTTTCCGGTTCTCTACACTCACCATACGATGCAGCGTTAAGTTGCTATTTTACGCTGATATTCTATGAGAGCGTGGTCCTTCCCCGGTCGAGCCGACCTATTCGTGCTACAGCTATACTACTAACATAGCTGCAGCATGGCTCTACCACGTATAAGATATTACATATTGTTGTGTAAATTACACGAAAGAAGGAATATAATGAATCTTTCTTCTCTCTCTCCCTTTTTTCGCAGCTAAATCTCATTTATTAATATGACATTGAATTGACTAGTTCAATTTTCCACCTAATTATAAGAGATGCAGTGTCCATGAACTTCAAACAAAGAAGTAGGCTACAGATGCGTTGTCACCTCTGAAGACTAAGAAAGAATCCCTCACAGCTTGTAATTAGACTGGCTCTCAGCTCTCTGGTCCATTTTCAGCACGCTTGAGCTGAGTTCGTGAGCGTAGAGCCAATACCCTCGCACTTGTGATGCTTTTTTACCATCACCAGTCTTTGAGATTTGAATTGGTCGTGTTCATAGCTAGTAGCGGCATAAGGGATTCATCATCATTTTTCATCCCATGGTTGCAATAAGAGATGATTATGGAAAATACTAGGCCACAGTATATACTTAACATTATGTGTTCGCTTGTCACTCGTATTCATAAAATTCATCGGTGGTAGATTCCACTCACCATGCAGGACTGGTTCTCGATCTTCTTCTTGATTTTAGGCGCGGCCTTGACGACGAGGTGCATGGTGGTGGTGTCCTCGCCGAGTTCGTTGCTGGCCGTCACGTGATACTCGCCCGCGTCTTCGGGGCCCACGTTCTTTATCACCAGCGACATGGACTCCTCGTCCTCGTACAGGAACCTGGGGAACCACAGCGATTAGAACTCATAGGATGACGACTCCAATTAGAACTCATATAGGGACGGCACGGTAGCGGAGTGGCTAAGCCTTTTATTGCGACAGGGCCTGGGTACAAATCCCGCAAGACACAAGTGTTTTATATTTTTGAGGTACATGAAGTTATTTTTATTCGATCACTAAGTGTGAAACAAGGTCATATAATAAATTTTAAATGGCGCTTCTCAATTTGTACACTCTTATGGATATTGCAATAAAATATAAGTAATATAAATTACTTAATTGACTAAAAATTTACACAATATTGTTACCCCCATACTAGGATTTTCTCATGTATCGTGAGGGCATTTTACATACTTAAATTTTACAAGGACAAACATCCAGACCCGGAACAATTTGTAGGCCATACAAATACTTGTTCTGTATGGGATTTGAACACGCTGCCCTTAGCTCTGCAATACTTTGCTAAGCCAATGAGCCACGGAGCCGTCACATTTCAGTATTGCCTACACATATAATTATATTGGGTCTGGATGTTTGTTTATATATTGTTTTCTTTTTTATTTATTACAGCTTATCGAGATTCCACTGCTGAACATAGGCCTCCCTCATAAAGGGGGATTTTGTTATAGTTGTTACACTTGGCAGGCGGTTCGGCAACCGCAGTTTTATGATTTGGAGTTGTACCAAGAAGTAGTTTCAGCTTGAAAGTTTATTTCTAGCCGAAGTCAAAGCCGATTAATCGATTATCGTCACAACTTTTGGGTCAAACCCGAATCTGAAGGATTAAAAGCTCAAAGAAATTCAGTTCAATATTAATAATATTCTACACTATATTACACTTGGGCGGCTGGCGCAAGTCCACAACGCAGTAGGAACCCTCCCCGTTGCCACGTCTATCGCGCTCTCACTCATTCGTAATAGTTTGTTCACTTTAGGCCTTTGCTAGAAACCTTCGACTTAGGCCAAAACTTCGGTCCAAGGTCGAAGGTGATCGAAGCTGAAGTCGAAGCTTCGGTTGGACACTAACGGACAACTACTCCACGGTGTTTGTTATCCATGCTTATTTTTAGATTGTGTGGTGAAATGTTGGTGGACTGACTTGTGTCGAGTGTCGGGCTCCACCAGCTGGCCTTGGTGCTTAATGGCGACGCTGGGCTTGGGGAAGCCCTTGCACTGCAGCTCGAGCACGGCCGAGCCACCCGCCGCCACCACCGCCTCGCGGTGCTCCACCACCAGCCGGGGCTTCTCAGGCTCCCGGTGCAGTTCGTGCACTGCGCCTGCACGGAAAATGGCGCATGTCACTTTTTTATGAAGTCATTAAATACATCTTTAAATTTGGTTTCATAGTAGGAGACAATTGAGAAAACAAATGATAACAAAATTGGGGGATTTTTTTTTACGTGGCCAAGCTGCAAATATGTTATGGTTGTAGCACAAATGGGTTGCCTCACTGCTATTTCACGATGATATTCTGTGGGAGCGTGGTCCTACTCCGGTCGAGTCGACCTATTCGTGCTACAACCATAATATAGCTGCAGCGTGGCTCTACCACCTGTAAAGTCCGAAATACATGAAATATACATCTATCTTCTTTATTTTTTTATCAGCCCGTAAAAGTTCGCTGTTAAACACACTGTTGCAAATTTTTTTAAATGCATGTGTGTACGTTAGTGTGTATTATTACAATAAGTTGAGCATGTTTTTGGCTTAGTTTTTGCGTCATTTGAAAAGTTCTGCAAACTTTTCCATATTTGTTGATCTATGCTTCGTCAGCAACACGTAGAAATCTACAGTTGGATCTACTCTCCCGTTGTAGGGGTTTGCTTTAATCGTCACTCTTTACAGGCGGGTTCACAATCGCAGTATAGTCCTTGCTATTCACGTAGTCCAGGGGGCTTTACGAGTGGCTGATTGTGTACATGCACATTTACGATAGTGTGCGAGTCTGACGGAGCGATCAGTTATTTATTTATTACAAAAACAGTTACAGCGTCATTATAGTAAGATAATGCTGTATCGAAAAATCTTAAATATAAACATTTACATTATACTGAATTAAGTTTAATGTTGTAAATATACTTGTTACAAATAATTCCAAAGACCTTGTGCGCAGCTTCTGTGAACTTCGCCAGGCTGCAGTTTAAAACGTCCGTTTTTTCGGCAATTGTATAACACATGACAAAGGTGCAAACTTAAACAGTTTGTCCTGGTGTATGGCACCTTAGGAAGTTGTGGGTTACGCCTGGTCACCGCTTCGCGAGCGAGCCGTCGCTATCAATACCCGCTTTTGGTCTGGTCTGGTCACACTTTGACACCTATACTGATACGTGTTTACCACAAGTAAAGCCCACACGACTTCGAGAATTGCAAGAATTATAACAGACGTTCCATACTTTTATCGCTGCTTTCCATCGCTATTCTACAGCCCTTAACAAGTTCACTGTTGTACGGAGGCCTCCCCCAAGGAATGCCACAAAGCACGATCCTGAGTCACGTCATCCTTCCTCCTGCATTACTTATCAGGTCGTCACTCCATCTAGTGGGGGGACGCCATACACCTCGCCTGCCAGTACGAGACCGCCACTCGAAAACCTTATTTCCCCATCGGTTGTCGGTTCTTCGAGCTATATAGCCGGTCCATTGCCACTTTACCGTACTTACCCGTTTGGCTACACCGCTTACTCTGGTTCAACTGCAGGTATACTAATATCACCTCAGTAAAAGTCATTGCATTTACATTTTTTATCATCCGTCATTTGCTTTAATATATAACAACTTACCTTGTACGGTGAGTTCGGCAGAACATGAGATGTTGCCGGTGCTGGTTTTGGCGACACACGTGTAGAGACCGGCATCTTCTGGCCTCACATGTTGGAACACCAGTGCCAGTGAATCCTCGTCGTCCCCAAGAAGAACCTGGAGAAGTGTTTTGGTGAAATCAGCAGGTAAATAAGAGATACAATTCCTTTTACGGAACAGCATCGCTCAGATCGAGACTTTAACACAAGACAAAATAAGCGCTTGCAATGCTATCACAGATTATAAACAATAGTTCATCCAGGGGTCGTTAGCGCTAATGCTGATTGTGATGAACCATACGATTAACAGTCGCTCAGGGTACGAATCACGGGTGGCGCCAAAATTAGTTATTGGGTTTGGAAGTCAATAAGAACACGACGTTTCACCCCCGATTCTCGGTAAGCACGTAAAGCTGTACTAGATGAAGTGACGACCTGGTAAGACATCCAGGAACTCAATGGATGCAGATGACTCAGGAGCGTGCTTTGTAGCATTTATTAGGGCGAGCCTAGTTTCAGCAGTGGGCTTGTGAAGGGCTGTAATGATGATGATAATGATAACGTAAAGCCGTTGTTCCTGCGCCCGATCTCTCTCCAGTCGTATCAGATTGCCATGCCATAGGGTTGAGAGGGAATAGAGAGTGAGAGTTATTGTACGTGGTAGACCCATGCTGCACCTATATTAGTAGTATTGTTGTAACACGAATGGGTCGGCTCGACCGGGGAAGGACCACGCTCTCACAGAATACCAGCGTCAAATAGCAGCTTAACACTGCTGTGTTTCGTATGGTGAGTGTAGAGAACCGGAGACCCTTTTTACTGGAAAACAGGCATTCCATCTTAGTCCTCACGGGTGACAACGCATCTGCATTTTGATTCGCAAACGAGGATAAATGTAGATGTCTATGGGCCACAGCAACCACTTACCATCATGTGGACTGTGTACTCGTTGGTCACCCTATCCTATAAAAAAGTGAACCTGTGCTTGCGCACACACTCGTGCACTATGGTTCTGTTCTGCATAGATGGCTGGTCTCCATTGAGATATAATGCATCTTTTAATGTTTGTTTTTATGTACCTTGAATCTTTCTTCGGGGTCGAAAGGCTGTCCATCCCTCTTCCAAGTGAATGCCGGTTTTTCACCTTTCGCCAGTAGGCCCTCTCCACCAGGAAGCAGTTCGCCGAAAATGTTCTTATCATCTACAATCAAAATATCCCCATCAAAATGATTTTTATTTCGGTTCATTGATTAATTAATTAATTTTATTCAATAGATACTTTTCTTTTTTGGAATTAACCATGAATGTTGTTGCATATACAAATAAAAATATTTAGTAAAATATGTAGTTGATACCGTCATTAATAAATTGCTACATTACATTATTGTAATTTGAATTTGCTTGTTTTAATAGTGTCATAAAACAATATCAAAGAAAACAAGAGATATTTATTTGGCCATTTCTTTACAAATTGTGCTGGGTACTGGCAACTCAATATAACATTGTCTGAAGATTTCTCTATAGGACCTAAACAGATGCCAGAGATAGTTGATTTTAGGGGTAGTGGATATTTATTTATTTAATTTAAAAAAAAAAACTTGTAGCTTACAGAAAATCCAATCAAATCCAATCAAAAAACACAAGGTTAAATTTTACATGCAGAAATAAAATTTCAAAATTTGTATCCATGCATAACAATAAGTATTCTTAAACCGCTCTACACTACACTGCGCTTAAGTACATAAACGTAATATGGATGATTATCCTCTCAGTAGTCTGTGTATAGATGGGTATATATATATATCATATATATATCACATCCAACTAATATTATATTTTAGACCGCAAACACACATATTCCGTGCGCGCTTCGAACGCGAATCCGCAGTGCTGCAGCCAAACTTTTTTAGAGTGTTAGACGTGGTAGAGCCATGCTGCAGCTATATTAGTAGTATAGTTGTAGCACGAATGGGTCGGCTCGACCGGGGAAGGACCACGCTCTCACAGAAAACCAGCGTCAAATAGCAGCTTCATGCTGCTGTGTTTCGTATGGTGAGTGTAGAGAACCGGAGACCCTTTTTACTGGAAAAGAGGCATTCTATCTTAGTCCTCACGGGTGACAACGCATCTGCATTTTGATTCGCAAACGAGGATAAATGTAGATGTCTATGGGCCACAACAACCACTTACCATCAGGTGGACTGTGTGCTCGTTTGTCACCCTATCATATAAAAAAAAGCTTAGCCACTGGTGGGAAAAAATTTGCATATCTTGCATTTCAATATCATGTTAAAATTTATCCAAAATTTGGATTACAAATTCACAAAACAGTTTAAATATGATCGTAACCGATTCAGGTATGATAGAGGATTACAACGAAATAGTTTTCACAGTAGGAATGTGTTCGAAGTGTGAATGAGATCAGGTTTAATGTCACTGGGTCTTTTTCGTTCCGTAAATAGAGTGGCCAAGTTTCACGTTTTTGCCTTTGTTGTGTAACCGCAGAGGCGATTCTAAATCTTTAACCGCGACTATATTTAGCGTACGAACGAACTAATAAACAAACATTGGAACACATCCAAACGGCGCGTCATTAACCGATACGCGGAGAGTGTAACAAGACAAGACATTATGTATAATGTAGTATTTAGTGAAATTATGCAAATAACCAGAGAAAAAGTTATTACGACGTAAAGAGTATATAAGTATAATAATAAATAAAATTGTTGTTATTCAGCCAATATTGTGACAATTTATTTGCAGGGAAATAGTTTTTGGGCAATTTCTTGTTTCTATTATCGTTGTCATAGCCGATTACGATATTATTTACCCTTTGTTTCCTGACATAGCATACATTAAAGCACTCTGCTCGCTATTTTTAAAGATATCTCATTTTATTTGATATACTTTGAGAATGATTATTTCTAGTAGAGTGATCCATACGAATCTAGAATTTACTAACGTAATTAGTGTTGCTTAACAAACAAACAAAAGAATAAAAACCGATATCCACATATAAGCAATTAATGTAATTTAGTGCCGTGTGGAAGAAAAACAAAATTGAACAAAAAATTTTATAACTCAAAATGAACTTAACATTGCCAGTTTAAAAGTATTCATGGATAAAAAGGAATTTAAAAACAACGATGCGTGTAATATAAATGTCTCCGTGTGATTTATACCGACCGTGTAGTCGCGGTATAAGAATATCCACTACCCCATATTATCCCGTGGATGTTGCAAGTGGCGACAGAGGAAAACAAATCAGGAGATGGGCAGCAGCGTCTCCTTAATAACTATTAAAAATAAAAATAAGCTTTAGTCGCCAATCCGCTTACCGAGCAAACTATAGCAAATGTCCCCCTTATGAGGCAATCTGTGGGGGTGGCTAATGTTCAGCAATGGACTTTAATAGGCTTATCTTAGAAAATATACTAAAAAATGAACGCAATTTAAACAAAGTATTACAGACAATTATAAAAAAAGAGATTCCACAAGGGTCCATTCATGGTCCGTTTTTATAACAGAATTAACGCGCATATTAATGATTGCACATTTATAAACTCGCTTGATACATGTGGCCAGTTTGGTCAAATCTATCGATTAATGAACGACAGCTGGCGCAGTATTAGAAAGACATGTCTAGTAGAGGAATTCCAAAAAAGCAAAAGTACAATATTTATTCATAGAAGGAATGGTAATAAAGGAGTAAATATAGCAGTCCACATGTAAAATTGGTGCTGTGTGTGCCAATTAAGCTTTAAAATAAAGATGCGTTGAATATAGAAAATCTCGTCACCAGTAATAATATGTCTCCGGTTCTCAGCATTCACCATAGTTACACAGCAGCGTTATTATGCTATTTTACGCTGGTATTATCTGAGAGAGTGGTCCTTCCTAGATCGAACCGACCTATTCATACTGTAGTCATAGCACATCTGCTGCTTAACTCTTCCACGTGTGAAGTATTCACACATACACTCACACAAAAATTAATGCATGATGTTTATAATAATACATGTTTTAAACTATTATTACTTATATTGGGACATAATACATGAATTTCTCGGTTAATATCAAAACATTACATACTTAAAAAACATTCTTACCAACGACAGTGACTTTAGCTTCGGACTCCACATCGCCGTAGATGTTCATGGCGCGGCAGGAGTAGGTGCCGGCGTCGTTTGTGTTCACGTCAGATATCACTAATTCGTAATAGCCCTTGTCAGCGTGAGTGCGGACAATGGATACGCGGTCGCTCTCCGACGTAGTGATGATCTCTTTGCCGCCTCGATAGCTAGAAGAATGAGGATAATTCTTGAGATATTTGGAGTGTAAATAAAACTAACATCAATTAATGTAAGGGAACATAAACGTTATGCAATCTTAGACGATTTCAACTTTGAATGCAGCCAGAATTTAAGCAGGTGATTTTTTTTTATTCCTGCCACATACTCTAATTACATTTATATCATAAATAACGAAAGCATTTTAGTTGTTATGGGAGACAGGAGCCCAAACTAGGTTACCCTGTGCTATGAGTCCCTTACGGGTGAGTAAGTTCTTGGTTTTATTTAAGAACATCAGAACTAACAAATAAGATATTTCCACAGATGTACGCACTAATATAAAGGAACTTTCATCCCATAGTCGTAAATTACGAGCATGGAAAATGTATACAGATAGTGATGTGATACCCAGACGGGCGATAGGGCACACTGTCAAAGGTAAGAGACGTCTGCAACTGCGTTCGTGAATCCATCTGTAGTGAGGATTAAGGACAAATTCTCCTAAAAACGGGAAAGGGCCACGTTTAGATCCGATGAGCTTAGATCCGATCCGATCAGTAGACTTTTTACATGCGACCAAAGAAGATAAATGTAGAACCACTTCTTGCCAAACTATTCGTGTCCGGGCTAACACTTATTTGTGCCCAAGACTCTCGATGCAGCAACCAGGTACTTTGAAGTATACGTCACGTGGACTTCAATAAACATTGGGTCTTCCTCATGATGACGGCTTTAAAATCTAAGATGTTGTCGAACTCGATCAATAGAAATGACAGATAAATCTTGAGGTATAGTGATAGGGAAACTGTCATCTGTAAGATTATATGATCTAAAATATCCGAACCAGTGACTGATGTGACCGAAAACATCGCGTAGTGTGAAATTTTCGGTGAAATCCTTTTGACTTAGAAGAGTCCCATATAGACTGACTGACCAGAACGATATGGACTGCAGGGAAAAGTGATAAAATATACGAGGCATTTAAAAATCTTTTTACAGTGGTAGAGCCATTTTAAAAAAAACTTTTAACAGTGGTAAAGCCACGCGGCAGCTTTTGCTGTCGCACGGATGGGCCGGCTCGAACCGGGGTGGTACCACGACCTCACAGAAAACCAGCGTGAAGTAGAGGTTTACCTCTGCGTTTCGCTTGGTGAGTGCAGGTGGCCGGAGGCCCTTTTTACTAGAAATGAGGCATTCCACCTTAGTCCTCACGGGTGACAACGCATCTACATTTTGATTTGTAATAGAGGATGGATGTAGATGTCTATGGGCCGCAGCAACCACTTATCATCAGGTGGACTGTGTGCTCGTTTGTCACACTTATCGTATAAAAAAATCACGCATACACTCGTGTACTATAATCAATAAAGCATGATGTTTTTGTTTAAAAGTATAACACTGAAGGGTCGAAAGTTGCTGACTCAACATAAAACTACCGTAATATTGGACATAATTACACTAAGAACAATTTGTCCATTGACAAGGATTGTTGCACGCACGGAGGAGTGTGAGATTTGGCATAGTTAAAGTTTATACGGAGAAGGAGAGCAGAAAGCAAAAAATGTATTTAATAAGGAGAAGCCGTAGGTCCTTCGTCTGATTTCTCTCCGATCGTGTCGGACTGTTGTTTCATCGGACTATGGTAGTAAGGGAATAAAGAGTGCAGTGTGCCTTTGTTTAATCACACACTCGTGTACTATAATCCTGCCTTACGCATGCTAGCGATGCTAGTCTCCGTTGAGACCGGCCGTCGTGATCGAAATTCGTCTTGAGGACATTAATCTAGCTACCAAGCCGCGCAGTTGACATATTCTTCTTAACACAAATAATTACTGTAATAAACATCCCTGTTAGCCCAAATACAATCCACAGGTATACACAAATATATTGTCTAACTTTTGAAAAACATGTTAGGATATACATCAAGGCAGTTTTATTCATAAAACTTTCAGTGCACATAAATATAACAAAAGTAAAATATAATTTATGCCAAGAACAAAATTGGATAAACTCAGGATTATTTTAATTTCTTACTAATAAATCCAACCCTAAGCAGTTCTTATAATTATTTATATAAAGATGATTAAATTTTTATAAATTTGCGATATATTGGTGATGGGCTAAGTTAAGAGACCATCGATTATTAATTCACAGACGCTTGTGTGTGCGTGTAAGTTACGTGTGATATAAGCGAGAGAGTTACACTAGGATCGTGGCAAATTGAAGACCGTAGTGTCTGCCTACCACTCTGGGTGACAGGTCTGAGAGTTTATATATGGATTATGTAATTTTATAAAAACAATTATAGCAATAAATAGAAACGACTATTTCCAAATCAAATCACGAAAACTTTTATACGTGTTCACATGTAAAACACGACGCAAACAATTTGAGAAGCGGTACTTATTATTAACACATCTTTAAATAATTGTATTGTTATTTCAAACGATGCAACTTCAGTTGGCCTAAAGCCCAGTATCTGAAAGGTTACGAACAAGCGAAAAAAATACTCACGCACAGCGTTGCGTAACAGATAGAAAACGAAATAATTACACAAAGCACTAATAAAATTGTATATTTTCACTGCCACATTTTACACAACTTTTATCACAGTGTAATTACAATAAGTATGCGTATAGGCTAAGCTACCAGCTATTATGCAAGATAACCTACTACTGATGCAGTATAATTTAGTCAAACTGACATTTTTTGGCACTACGCCTCACTAGGTTTTTTTTCATCTTAACAATCAGTAACAATTAATGATTTAATTTACTTGTACATAAAACATAGTCTGTCTGCCTCGTGCTACATTTAAATGCATCGTATCTGTTCGATATTCTGTCCGTCTGGTTGTACTAGCATACCCCGAGAGGTGAGTGCCCCAAGGTGTGTGCCAAAATAACAACTGAACTCGTTTAACTATTTGACTCTTGTACTACGGCTAGATAAACAATTGTATACACTATACAACGATGATTTTTTACCTCACGATGAAATAGTAATGTGTATTCCGTTATCTGTAGTATACAGCATAGTGATAATGAAAACAATAAAATTAGACAATAAATAAGAATACTGCAAAAAGACTTACAATTTAACAGTTGGGTTGGGATCACCCTTGACCCGGATCATAAACCGTAGGTAAGTGTTTTGCAAAATTTCAGTATCCTTAAGCGCCACCAAAAAGTAGGGCGCATTAAGTGCGTTCCTTTCTTTTCTTTCTTCTGGTGTCACTGTAAATTTTTAGTAAGTATATGATGAACAAAGTAACGATAAAAACGAAAGTTATAAGATAGAATAGTAAAAGATTGATAATAGATATTGAAAATTTAAGATTACAAAAGTAAATAAGTTGATTTTAAAATATAAAGATCAGGTCCTAAATTTCTGAGACATTAAGTTTTTTGGAGTATGTTGACCGGATAATTTATAGATATAAATTTTAATATTTATAGTCAAAATGAACAAGATGAAGAAAGAAAAAGAAATAAAGTACAACTGGAACAGAATCCATTATTGAAAACTTAAAATTGGCAAAATTTTTTGGCTTAATTTAATTCAGCAGATTAAGAAGCAAATAGAGAAAGACAGATAAATATAGCAAGAGAGTCAAATTGAAGGAAATGCTACAGGGCATGCAACTGTGTACAGCTACAAATACGTGAGATCAGTGACAAATACAAGAAAATTATGGGACAGTACAAGTGACGACGAGCTACGAGTTATACGCTTTTACGATGTCTTAATTGGTGAAGTCGCTTTGCATCATGCAGACTTAGAAAAGGTAAACTTAAATCAAAAGTAGAATATATCCCTGAAATTAAAAAAAAAATATTAAAATTTCGTGGACTTGATCGAACTGAGTTTGCTACTTTAACTGTAACTGATAATAAATTTTAAATTTGAACAAATCTTAATGTATCATGAAATACATCAAAATGTATTTTAAAATCAAAATATACTAGTAGTAAGTAATTCGACCAAGCCCTACGTAAGTAAAAGAATATTTAACATAACACTTACGCTCTTGGACGACTAACTGAGCTGTGCAATGGGCGTTGCCTTTTACGTTCTCTGCAAGAGCCGTGTAGGTGCCTGCGTCATCTTCCCTGCAGTGCATTAGAAGCAATTTGTGGCTGCCTTCGATCGATGTTATAGAGCAGCGGTCCATCAGCCGGTCGGTTAAAGGCTTGTTGTCCTTCAGCCAAGTCACTTTCACATCATCAGATTCGAGAAGAGCGCATTCAAACGCCGCGTTCTCACCCGCTGAGGATTCAGATCATTGTTATAGAAATGAATTTGTACGGTTCTGTGACACCGTCTGTTCTATAAACTTTTATAATGGGATAACGATGTAAAATAAATGTAGTAATATGTGCCTTTGAACCGTACAAATACTTTTTGGACATAGAAGCGTTGTTAGCACAATGTTTTGTGTAAGTTAGGTAACTAAAAGCATATGTACAAGCACTAAGGTGTTTCTACTGCTACGGTTGTGGTAGGTGTAGTGTACTTACGCTCGATGTTCTGCCCTTCGAGGGTCTTGCTGAAAATAGGTTTCCCATCTAAAGTTTCAGATTTCGTGACAGACTTTGTTGATTCATATTCTCCAGTCACTGAACCGTTAGACAAAGCAGTTTTGGAGTATTTTCTTTCGTAAATAGATTCCCCGTTTATTGATTTCTGGTAATCAGATTCGATCCTAGTACCGCTCTCATTTTCGCCGTCATAACCCGTATCAATGCTAAGCCTTGTTGAACGGCCTCCAGCCCTTCCATTGATGTCTCGTCCATATTTTGAAGCAATACTATCAATTTTACTAGTTGCCTCGATGGAGGATTCAATTTTATCTCCGCTTTCAATCTTGTCTCCGTCATAGCTGCTCTGGGCACTGTACTTTGAGGACCGACCTTCGATTTTTCCATTAGTGTCAATGCCATATTTCGATGCAATGCTATCGATTTTATTTGAAGATTCATAATTAGATTCAAGAGCATATTTTGATCCTCCTTCTGCCTTACTTTCATAGCTAGATTCGACGCCATAGGTAATACCTCCTTCTATCCGGGCGCCTGCGCTCGAATATTTAGACTCGTATTTGGAGGAGCTAACTCCTTCAATGTTACCGCTTGTCTCGTATTTACTGCTTTCTATTCTAGCGCCACTCTCACGTCTGGAGTAAGATGATAAGCTCGTCCCAGTAGATGACTCATACCGACCACTGCTAGACTTTCGGGTGCTGCTGGAATATTCTAAATTAAACAAAAATTTGCACATTTCATACAAGTCTATTACTACCGTAAATAATGAAATAGATTAGAAACATTATAGTGTTCGGCACGATCTAATTAAAATATTACTTTATTACTTTCAATTGTACTTACTGTTACTGTTACCGTTACAGTCTATTTCACTGCTGAACATAGGCGTCCCCCATAGGGGGGATATTTGCCATAGTTGTCAGGCTTGACAAGCGGGTTGACTATCGTAGTTTATTTTTAGTTTTAGCCGTTATTAGGAAGACGCTGCTGCCCAACTCCTGGTTTGTTTCCCTTTGTCGCCTCTTACGACATCCGCGGGATATATGGGGTAGTAGATATGCTTACACTGACAAGGTAAGTTACCGGTAAGTTGTACTTAAATAAAAGTTATTCAAAATATAGATATAAAAATTTACCTCCAGACAACCTCGAGCTACGACTATTATACCTCGACGACATCTCGTCTTCAACGTTTTCTTGTGCGGTTACAGTTTGACTATTTGTAACAACTCCTTCTAGTGATTCTGCGCCAGCGGCGCTTAATTCTTGTACTTTATCGTCTTTATTGTATTTCCTTTGCGAGTCTGTTACTGCAACTTGATCATTTGTTTCTTCAACAATTTCATTAGCAGTGTGGTCTTCTGACACACTTTTTTCTTTACTAAATAATGAATTATTTATCTGATTTTTGTCTTCTTCAGGTGATTCTACAGTGGTTGTAGTTACCGCTGGTTGTTCAATATATTCATCTACAAATTTATATGGTTTTTGTTCAGATAATTCGTCAAAAGAGTGTACTTGTTGTTGGGAATTCGAAACTTTAGTACTAGTTGCTTCAGTTACTGAATTTTGTGATATAGATGCAGTTTGTTGCTGTGAAAATGTTTGTACAGTAGATTGAGCCTGGTTTTCAGGAGTTGAATTGTCTTTTCTAATTATAGGCTGCTCCGCTGCTGTTAATGTAGTTTGTCCAACGGAAGAAACTTGTGATGTTTTGTTGGATATTGTTTCCCCTAAGTCTTGTTTTATTTTAGTTGTAAAGTCACTGTATTCCGCAGATGACAAAATAGTAGACTGAACTGTATTTGATCCAGTTTTTTTCTGTAGTTGTTGGTCAAGAGATTCCTCTTTATTAGGCTGATTATTAATTTCACAGATTGGATTAGCAGCTTGTGTTTGCTCAGTTAGCACCTGGTAAGATGTTTGTGACGATTGCTCCCCTGATGAGCTTTCTAAGGTAACTTTCGTCTGCTTTGATAGTGAAACCGTAGAAGATTCTTCTTGAACAAATATTCCCGCTTTTGGCTCTTCTGTCGAAACTTCTGAGGGAACAATTAACGTTTCTTCGTTTCGTATCTCAACTTGTGCTTTTAAAATTGCAGAACTAACTCCTTCTGCCTCGTCAGTCTCTATGTTTTTTATTTCATCTAAAGCAATGCTTTCTTCTACTACTTTTTCAGCCTCAGTCAATATAACGTTCGAATTTTTATGTACTGTAGTTTCTCCGCTTTTTCCTTCAGTTGATTTTATTTTGAGTTTAATTTGTTCAGTAAGATATTTTGTGGATTGAATTTCACAAATCTCGTTTTCTTGTATATCAACTGACGATTGAATTTCAAGCTCAGCTGTAATTTTGGTATTGTCTGCAATTACCACTTCGTGAGCCTCGCTTGTGGATGATACTTCTTGTATTTCGGATCTAGCCGCTTTTTTCGATTGAGCACTTTCTACAGATGCTTTTCTTTTTGTTTGCAGCTCTTCAAGAGATTCTTCTCTGGTCAGTATTTCAGTAACTTGAACTTCCTCTATTCGAGATCGCTTTTCCTTATTCGGATTTTCTTCTTCCACTTGGGAGTTATCTGTATGCTGCCTTTTCTTTTTTTTGTCTTCGGATTCTGAGGACAGATATTCCGATTCTGATGTCGTTTGTTCTGGTAATAATACCTGAAGATCGTCAGCTGCGTGTTCAGCTAGTGCAACTGCAAAAAATAAAAAAATACAAATATAATAAATTTTAGACACATATATTAAAAGGTACGCGGTGTAGCCACGCTGCAGCTGAATTACAACAGCAGAACAAATGGGCTCACTCGACCAAGGAAGGACACGTTTTAACAGAATATCTGCGTAAAATAGCAGCTCAGTTTTCTATGGTGAGTGTAGAGAACTGGAGACCGTTTTTACTGGTAACTAGTCATTCCACCTTTGTCCTCAGGGATGAAAACCATAGGATATTATACATCCAGTAAAAATGCATCTGTGACCTTTTTCATAAGTCAGTTGCAAGTGTCAAATCGTCTTTCACTTAAATATTATAAAATATAAGTAATCAAAAAATAGTGTGGAAAATTTTCACTTATCGAAATCACTACAGCCCATAAAATTCTACTACTAAAGAAATGCCTCCCCTATAGATTTCAACATAGCACGGTCCTTGTCATCAATGCGAAACTACTACTCAAGAATCTTTATTTCAAGAGTTGTCATTTCATCAAGCTTTCTGATCTATTTTTAATTCAGCATTAAGCTATTATATTACGCTGGTTTTCTGTGAAAGCGTGGTCCTATCCTGGTGGACTTGACCCATTCGAACTACAATCATAATAAAGCTACAGTGTGGCTCTACCCCATGCCAAAGTAGTGTGTTCAGTACGAATAGTGTTCATCTTAATTTGTCCTGAACCTTTATTAATACCTTCGCTGAGTAGTTACTTTTCATTTCATATTCGATCGCCTATTTAAAAGATCGTCTACCTGCACTAATGACTGAGTTGCAAAATGAACTAATTCAAAGCGATCCCAAAATATATTTTCTACTGAAGAGTAATCATGAGCAACATTATAATCGTTTTCTAAAATTGTGTCTAAAATACACAGTAATATTAACCTAATCTATTACCTATTTCTATTTCTGTTGCAATATCTATTTCAATTTAAGTTATCATGTTCTTTAATGTATCTTACTTTACTAGGTCGTAGGACAACTACAGACTATTCGAGCTGTGAGGCATTCCATCTTTGTCCTCAGAAGTGATAACGCATTTGTACCTTTTTTCTTTTTATTTGAAGCTTGTTGCAAGTATCCATGGATTGCACTAGCCACTTCCCTTACCATCAAGTGGATCTCATCTATGTTAAGCATAGTGTATAAGGTTGAAAAAAGATTGATTTTTTATCTCAGCTTGAAAACCTACATTGGATGGAGTATTTTTTTACATGGCAGACAATGCAGATTATAATGGTTCCAGTAGATATTGGTCGGCTCGAAGAGAAAAGTACAACAATTCGACAGAATAGCAACGTTAAATTGCATCATAAAACTGTTACGTCCCGTATAGTCAGCGATTAGAATCGAAGCCAATAGTGGTAACGGGGCATCCCATAGACCACGGGAATAACAAAGGTTTTGGTGCTAAGATAGTAAGGGGTACCAATATCCACTTACTACATTAACGCTTACCAAATTAAAAACAATCAAGGTTTAGTTACTCTTAATGCGTAGTTTTAAATGATCAATCATCAACCTTACCAATGTTAAAACACCACAACTAACACTAATCACTGTAAACACAAACGCACTATCTTACCAACTTCACTGGAGTGCTGTCTGATTTCCTTAAGCCATTTATTCTTAACTGACTCCTTATGCGCCGCGAGGGTGAAGATCAGCGGTGGTGACTTCTGATGAAGCTCGAATTTGAGCTTGTCTGTTGGATAATCCTTGACTTCGACGTCAGGGAGCTGTGATAGAAAGTTTAAAAATAGGCATCAATATGCAAGACGGATACACAGTTTAATTATCACAACTCTTTCATCAGCCTGTATAAGTCTGATGAAAGAGTTGTGATAATTAAGTTAAGGAAGAAATACGGTCTTATTAACTTCGCGTGTATCTTTCTATCTATATAATATGTAATGCAATCTTTTAATGTAATTTTCACCAACTTTTAGACAACCGATTGACTTGAAAATTTGTACCCCTATCAAGGACCGATGAAAATACAAAGATTTAATAACTTTATCCTAATTTAGGATACTATAAGAATCACCAGGATAATTTTCTATAGAATAATCACAGCTAAATATCTGTTCAATGCGTGTTTTTTAAGTTTACTTAAAATTTAATAATAATATTATTTAAGATTAAATACAGTGGTGTAGATCAGTAGTATTAAAAACTTAAAAAACTTACAAATTGTCGACAAAACCACAGACAATTACACATTTAGCACAAAAGATGCTTCAGCCGGGATTTTAACCTAGGCACCACGGTTTATGATCTTAAGAAAGCTATTGTATTTGTTAAAACCGAGAGCAAAAGAGGTTTGAGAGAGGCCTTTATCCAGCAGTTACAGATACAATAATTATTAGAATTGCTCGCTCACCTTGATAATGTGCTTAAGTATAAAAACTGATCTGTCGTCTTCGATCCTCTTGACTTTGCAGATCAAGATTCTAGCTTTGAACAAAAACAAGTATCTCTCACTGGACTTTTCTGCAACGGAAACCGTAAACCAGTCGTGGGTGAGCAAACGGCCAAGTTTGTAGATGTTTCCACGGTATCCCTCGATGCTTGATATGAACTTGTTATCGGTGGCACGATTCGGAACGCCGAGGAAAAGTTCTAGGGCGTTCTGTAGATCTGTGCAGTCTTCGCCGAGACGTTTCGAGTACTTTACAAGTTCCTACGAAACGAAAATTAGGTTAGCAACATTACAACAAAATGATATATTATACACATAAAAATAAATAAAATTGATGTGTCTGTTTGTAATTTCAAAATAACAGATTTTTTACTAAATGCATATGAAACTATATATAGTACTAGTCACAGAAAACCAGCGTAAAATAGCAACTTAACGCTACTGTGTTTCGTGTGTGGTGAGTGTAGAGAACCGGAGACCCTTTTTACTGGCAAAGAGGCATTCCATCTTAGTCCTCACGGGTGACAACGCATCTGCATCTTGAGTCTTTATTGAGGATAGATGTAGATGTCTATGGGTCACAATAACCACTTACCATCAGGTGGACTGTGTGCTCGTCTGTCACCCGATCCTTTAAAAAAAAAACTCATAACAAAAAAACAATTCTTAAAATTATCGTCTGTCTGTCTGTCTGTTTGTTTCGGCTTATCTCTGAAACGGCTGGACAGATTTTGACGCGATTCCCACTGGCAGATAGAGCTGATGATAGAAGGAGTAACTGAGGCTACTCTTATTTAAAAAAAAGAATTAGGGTTCTGCGCAAAAAAAAAATTAAAACCCATGAAATCCAATCGTAATAAATTCTACGTGGGTGAAGTCGCGGTGAACAGCTAGCTTTCCAGCTAGGGTTTCCAGTCTTACTTTAAAATATTGCACGTTATTTCAGGCGTAAGTATGCCAAAATACTTTATCTTACCTATTTTGACAACCTTTAATGTTTTTGGAACTTGGTCAAGAATTTGTACTTGTTTCTATTGTGAAACAAGTACGAGTGCTTAACCAAATCACAAAAATGACGATAAAGTTTCACCAAGTGCCGACAATCGCAAGTATAAATTACTTTAAGCTTTATTTAGATGTGTGTGTTTATGTACTGAAAGGACGAGTTATATATACAACGAGCTATATAACAATGCGCTATATGTACAAAGAAATAATTTACAAATGTTGCAAAAACTTTTAACGTATAATTTTAAAGTATTTATTAAACTTTGCTAAAACGTTTTTTACGTGGTAGAGCCATGCTGCAGCTATATTATGGTTGTAACATAAATGGATCGGCTCGACCGGGATAGGACCACGCTCTCACAGAATAGTAGCGTAAAATAGCGGCTTAATGTTGCTGTGTTTCGTATCGTGAGTGTAGAGAAACGGAGACCCTTTTTACTGGAAACGAGACATTCCATCTCCTGAGGTCTGAGGTCTTCCGCAGGGGTGACATGACATCTGCACTTTGGTTCCTCGTTGAAGATAAATGTAGATGTCTATGGGCCACAGCGTCCACTTACCATCAGGTGGTCTGTGTGCTTGTTTGTCACAATTATACAATAAATATATAAATATAATTATACTATAATATAGATGGAAAAACAACAACCAAATAAATAATACCTCAATTAAATAACGTTGTACCTACTTTACTACTTTGATCATAAAGGTGGCACCCTAATTGACTAATGCTGAGATATTATTTTTAATTTGTCAGTCAACACCTAAAACCTGTTGCAATGTTGATTCGTTACCTTTTTTTATAGGATAGGGTGACAAACGAGCACACAGCCCACCTGATAGTAAGTGGTTGCTGTGACCCATAGACATCCACATCTATCCTCAATAAAGAATCAAAATTCAGATGCGTTGTCACCCGTGAGGACTAAGATGGAATGCCTCTTTTCCAGTAAAAAGGGTCGCCGGTTCTCTACACTCACCATACGAAACACAGCAGTGTTAAGCTGCTATTTTACGCTGGTATTCTGTGAGAGCGTGGTCTTTCCCCGGTCGAGCAGACCCATTCGTGCTGCAACTATACTATTAATATAGCTGTAGCATGGCTCTACGATGTACAAAATACATTTAAAAATTGTTGACATACATTTAAAAAAAAATATTGAAAAATCAAGAGAAAACAGAGCTTCGACCTGTATACAAAAATAGCAGAAAGACAAATAAGTGACCTTCTAACTGACTTAAAACTAACTTTTCATTGGCAATGAAATTAGCGCAATAATGGTACATTAAAAGCGTCACGTCTTTTATATTTACAAAGATGAGTCGAGCCAGCAACAACGACTATAATGTGAACTGTGAATCAATAAAACTCTCCTTTAGTTTAGGTCTGTTTGTAATTATCATTGTTCCATGTAATGCAAGCTTCTAATGTCGGTTTAGTATTAAAATTAAATTGCAGATTTTTTAATTTAAGATCTTTAAATTTTTTATTACAAGCTTCGAGAACATGTACAGAAATTTTGAATAAAAATGAAATGTGATAGAACTTTTGGGCGAGAGATGTTTTTCTCTTGCCATCCAGTCCATCCAAAAATTATCTGGAAGAAACCGCTTTAATGCTACATGACCCACTCATTGCATTTATGTTATTCTATTTATTTTAGAAAGTAACAGCTATACAAAAAAAATATTTAAGGAAAAAGAGAGTTCTTTTTTGTAAAACGTTATAAAATAATAAAAATGTAGTTACCTCTATAATATAACTAAGAAATATTGTAAAATATCATAAAAAATTGTAGGCATTTTGAAAGTATAATAATATCAGTGTTTTTGGCGTAACTATTCGTGTCGTTTTGTGTGAGTCCTCTGTCTTCAATATTTGATTTTATTTATTGATCCTTTTTTGCAATCAAATTGAAGTATAGATTACAAAAGGCGGACTTAATGCCTTAGGCATACTCTACCAGTCAACTCTATAATAGTACACACCATATACTTATAATGTATAACATAATTTTAAATGTAAAATTAATTATTACACTCATGAATTTTAAATTAATTTATGATGTTATGAAATTGATGATTTGAGGACATACGAAGTATTAACAATCAATAGTATTGAAAAATTAATCATATTTGTACATATTTCTTAGCAGGTATAAGCTATGTTTCTTAAACAAGAGAAACTTTAGCTTGATCGTGAATATTATTTTGTGCCTAGGACTACGTCCAAAGTCTGGTACCAACCTATTACAAGTACCCATTTCTGCATCTAAACAACAATTTAGCGATTGACCAGTGTTTAAGAAAGTCAGTATAATAATAGGCTGTCTCCTGTTTTGTTTGCAGTTGGTTGCAGTTGTCATACGTTGCAGTAGCCACTTACCATCATGCGAACTGTTTGTTCGTTTGCGATTCGAATAGTATAAAAAATGTAAGTACCTCTAAGAAAATAGAACGCCAAGAAAACATTGCATTATGTTCTATGACGCATTCTGTGTAACAGATGTTTTACATGTTACGTTATATCTCATCTTATTAATAGGCATTTTCGGTTAGAATTTTTTCGTGGTTTGGGTTTAATATGTGGTTAGAAAACTTTTCATTGTAATATTACATTTGTATGAAACACAAAATTTTGCCAATGAAAATAGATACGTAGCTCGACCAAAAAAGTACCGCGCTCTCACAAAATCAAGCGTAAAATAGCAGCTTAATACTGCTGTATTTCTTATAGTGAGTGTAGAGAACAGGAGACACTTCTAACCGGAAACAAGGCATTCTATCTTAGTCCTCAGGAGAGATATCGCGTCTGTATTTTGATTCTTAATCAAGGATAAATGTAGATGTGTATGGGCCACATACATCTACTTACTATCAGGTGGACTGTGTGCCCATTTGTCACCCTTATTCTATAAAAAAAAGACAAACGCCTGCTTCTATACACGCTTGGAGAAAAATAACTAAGAAGTTTTTATTTTTATTTTTGATATGCAAAAATAAAAGAATACCTTACCTTCAATAGGAGCTGATAATCGTTGATCCTTTGTATGGGAAGCTTGAGGTGTTCGGCAAGACCTTTGTCGTCGCCGAGCTTGTCTGCAATATTCTGTGAACAAAAAAATGATGTTTTAAAAAAGTTTAAAAAGGCAACGCAACGCTCCGTGGCAATATGGCATATGATATGATGATCAATTGTACCCGTATTTTTAGAGACGAATAATTAGAAAGAGTATGGTCATTTCCCATGTGACTGACCCTAAATAGTATATACTTAGAGAATCGGACACGGAATAAATGACCATAATCTAATTACCCCTTATCAAGAAATATTGAATAATCTTTCAGTAACCATAGGTTCAGAGAAAAGGTTGTTTTCAATTCTACATGGGCTAAATTATGGCTCCACTCTCAATGCTGGATAACAGGATTCCCAATTCTCAATTTATTGAATAAGATTGAATGGCCAGTGTCAGCCAATTAAGTTATAACTACGTACCAAGATGATTCTCACCACTCTAAAGCGACACAATTAAGTCTATTTCAACTGAGGTCTAGACATCCCTTTAGTATCATTTTTTAGTGTGGAAAACAGTACTAGAGGGCTAACCTTAGCAATATTTACGTTCAAATTCCTATCCAGAAATGGAGGCCAACCGTCTAGTACCAGTAATATTTTGAGTTACGCAGTGTTAGTCTCGAGTTTTATGAATAGCCGAGCAGTTGACTCTTACAATATGGTGAGCGAAACGTCTTTTTTATTTGCGCATTTTCTTTACAATGGGTTAAGTAGCTTTCCCGTGTCTGTTCATTGTTCGGAAAGTTGTTCGCAAACGAATGTAGGTTTAGAATGAGTAAACCTCATAGAGTCACTTTAAGGGACATACTCAAAGAAAGGAAGATGAAAGTTATGGTTTTTTAGTGAGATAAAAGTAAAACGACATACAAAATAAGAGTAGAAGGGGAGTTAGTGAGCAACCGAAGCCTAATTACATCATTGTTACAAGAAAGTAGCAATATTAAATGATTCGAACATCAGCGCGGCTCTTGGCTCCGATCCAAACTATTGCTCTCTCGACGATCAATTACCTCTGCTCCTCGGCTTGATTCCGTCGATAGAAAGATATATGGATTTGGCAATTGCTAGAAATTGAATCAAGTCAACAACAATTTTCACATTTTGTTTCACACATCTCATTGCGATCTGTTTTATAGATGTTATACGATGAAAATGAATTTTATTACAAAAAAATAATTAATTAAATAACATAATATAACATAAATTCATACATCTCACCCAAAGGGTAAGGCAAAGACTACGATCTTTATTTGAGCATGATCCTGACACTCTTGCTTCTTTCACATAGATATATTACGATTTGACCCATCTTCAATATAATTTGGTCGATAAACGTACGTCTAGGGCTTCCATGCTGTCTCTACTACTCAATTCATTAGCATTGTCACTCTTTCCGCAATAATTTTCTACGCGTTCAAGTCGCATATGCAGTCCATTCTTGAACCTGGTCACAACACCTTCTTGCAAACCACACTTTTTTCTTATCACACAATTTCTCACGCTATCATTTGGAGTCAGGCCTAACATACTTCTTAATAAATATCTATTGCATTAGCATTAGTTAATATACGGCATTTGTTTTAGTCTCATGGTTTTTCTGCCACCGAACTTTTACTATCATACATTAAGGTGGAGCCTAACACTACTCACCTATCCCGAACTATCCTATCTTGAACCACAGAATAAATAATAGTTAAAAACTTGAACTAAACTATTGTATATATAACATTATGTTACTCAACTGATAGAACAGATATATACGGAGAGGAAATAGCAGGATCATAAATACATAAATGCTATAAATGATATCTGTTGTTTGTGCTTTGAAGTTAATATTTAAACATATTTTAAACAAGGCGGCCGGAATTTGTGTCAAACAAATTGGGTCATGCAGTTTTGATGTAACATAATTATACTGCATGTTATATGTTTATAATGTGTGCATCAAATAAATAGTTCTTATTTTCTAAGTCATCATCAGCCCGTAAAAATCTAGAAGATGACAACTATCTTATACATTATTTTCTTCGTTTTCTAAGACATTGGAACAATTTTCGCGTAACAATACAATAACGGTAAAAACATTTGTGGATATTGTAGTCGGCTATTAATCATGACAATTAGTTCTACCTGAATATTGTCGACAATGCCAATTTATGTACGAGTAGCAATAAACTACTCATTTAAACGTGTTTTAAACGTCCATGTTACAGTAAAATCCGTTCGAAAGTAAATTTAGAGCGCCTTGACACATCACGCTGAGAAACGTGCGTTAGAGTTTGAGTAGAGGCTGTTAAAATTTTGTAGGGGAATATTGTGAATTATGGGTGTTTCATTCATTCAATCTCACAAGTAAAGGTTTAATCGGTCACCACCATCCCATTCACCAACGCCTGTTTGAACGTAACAAATTTTTATATCAAATTTTGCTTTGATAGTTTACGATTTTTACAATTTAATATTTTAAAGCTGAAGATAAAACTAATAAGGTAATGTATTGCAATGTCCTCCAGACAGAATTTCGTCCACGGCGGCCTGTCTCAACGGAGTCTAGTCTAACTGTGCAATTCAGCTGTAATCGACGTAGCTTACGTATAGATATATCAGAAAAGTAAAATTAAAAAAATAATAATATTAGCAATGATATTAACATTTGAATACACCAACTCACCATGCAAACTGAGTTCTAAATACTTATGGTGGGAGTAGCTAATAACATTAGTCGAATGACAGATACGAATTTACGATTTATTAGAATAGAATAGAATAGAATAATTTTTTGTTCAATATTGATTATGACATAATTCTTATTGAAAGTCATTTTTTATTTACCACTGGTTCGGAAAATACCTCTGTCCTGGGAAGAACCAGCAAGAAACCCAGCGGGACTTTTTTTCCAAGCATATTTCACTTAACAATAATTTCGTTTATACAATTTTTAAATGATTTATCATAGAACCAGCATGGTGGCGATCACCTTATTCCCAGGGGTTATTTTCATTCATGTATTCCTTGATATTATAATAACCCTTTTTGTACAGTCTTTCTTTCATAAAACTTTTAAACTTGTTTATTGACAAACTTTGAATATGTTCTGGGATTTTGTTGTAAAAGCGTATACATTGCCCCATAAATGAATTACTGATTCTGTGGAGTCTAGTAACTGGTACTACAAGCTTATGTTTGTTCCTGTTTAAAGTATGCACATCCTTATTCTTATTAAAGCTATTTATGTTTTTATGTACACACATTACATTTTCATAAATATATTGCGATGCCAAAGTTAATTTAAATGTTTATTTCTTTAAATTTTTGTCTGAGGGACTCTTTATAATTTAGGTTATAAATCGCCCGAACGGCTTTCTTTTGCAAAACAAATATAGCTTCACTATCAGTCGCATTACCCCATAGCAAAATTCCATAAGACATTACGCTATGAAAGTAACTAAAATACACTAACCTAGCTGTCTCAACATCTGTGAGACTTCTAATCTTTCTTACAGCATATGCTGCAGAACTAAGTCTGCTTGCTAATTTAGATATATGGGGGCCCCATTAAAGTTTCGCGTCAATAGTAATACCGAGAAAAACAGTGGCATCCACAAGACTCAACTCCTCCCTATTTAACAGCACATTGGTATTTGAATGTTTTACATTAGGTACCTATTGTAAATTTAATACATTTTGTCGTTTAAGAGCAAAATTGTAACCAACGTACTAATTTCGATAGAGCATTATTTACATCGTCATAATTAATTAACTGCCGTTGGAGTTTGAAAATTAAAGAGGTATCGTCAGCAAATAATAGTATATCGTGATTGTCCCCTACAAGTTAAGATAAGTCATGAATATAGATTAAAACAGGAATGGGCCAAGAATCGAGCCCTGAGGTACGCCCATTGATACTACCGATCTGGAGGAACCTTTACCATTGATCATGACTTTCTGAGTTCTGTTACTTAAATATGAAGTAATAAGTCTAAGCGCCAAATTTTTTACACCGTAATGTTGTAGTTTCCTGATTAATGTCTCATGATGAACACAATCGAAAGCCTTGGAAAGATCCCAGAAAATACCTAAGGCATCTTGTGAATTCTCCCAGGCATTAAAGATATATTTCATAAGCTCAACACCGGCGTCAGACGCCGAGCGACCCCTTGTAAAACCAAATTGGTTTTTATGAAGTAATTTATTTGCATTAAAAAAAATTAACAATTGATCCAAAATAATTTTTTCAAAAATTTTACTGAGAGTTGCTAGTACAGAAATAGGTTTAAAATTAGCGGGGTCCAATGTACTACCAGATTTAAATAAAGGTGTACTTTAATGTACTTCATTAAATCACGAAACACACCAGAATCGATACAAGTATTAAAGATAATAGCAAGATGAGGTCCAATTAAATCTATTATGGACGCAAATCTGCGGTTTTCTTTACATCAATGATTTTGAAGTATTTTATAATATCTTGCGGTAATACTTTTTCAAATCTAAATTCTTTTAAACATGTATTAACATTCTGTTTGAGTAATGACTCTGCGACAGTTGGAGAAGTATTCAATGACTCTGTTGTCAAGATAGGAACATCAGTGAAATGTTTCTCAAACACCGCTGCGACTTCTTGATTTGATTTAGTCAATTCATTGTTAATTTTTAATTGATAGTTTGAGTTACGAGGTTTTTCTTTACCGGTTTCGCTGTTAATTATACTCCACGTCATTTTAATTTTATTTTTAGCCGTCTTAATTTTGTTGCTAATATGTAACGATTTGGCTATGGAGCAAACTCTTTTAAACATTTTAGAATAATTTTTGACATATTTTTTAAAAGCATCGGAAGGATTATATGACATTTCATGGTAAAGGTCATATAACCTTTGTCTGCTTTTATGAATTCCTACTGTCGCCCACTCATTAAATGCCTTGCGACTGTTTCTGGAAAATGTTTTAGAAGTAAATGTTTTTTTTTTAATTCATTGCTTATAAGGGTAAATAATTTACCATATAAATAGTCTGCATTGTTCTTATATG